TAATAATGGTTTCGAGTAGGCGTCCCCATCAATCAAACGAAATAAATCGCTTCGCCCCATACAGCACAGTATACAATACAATCGCAGTTGAAAATCTATTAAGAACATTCGAAATATATCAAACGCATATGAATGTATGTATGTGTGCACATATATACAGAAATTCTCGCGCTTGGTCCTAACTGCGAATATGACCACACGTTTTCTATTATAACCTATATGCTTCTTTACCGATCTTGATCAAATTTTCTGCAGTATAAATTATAAAAAGTATTATTTACAAAATATACAACAGCCTTAAAATTGTGGCTAATTTGCTGTGTGGTTCCAATTTGACAGTTTTCAAATATGAAATATACTTGATCTGTGCATACAATACGAGACGCTACGTGTCAAATTTGGTGACTCGACCTCTCAAAGGTTCTAAGATCGATGTGTACATAAATATGGTAAGAAGGAGATACCGACATGGCTACAATCGACTATAAATGCTTAGTAAAAGTATATATAATTAATGGAGTCGAAGATGCTTCCTTATTCCTGTTACATACATTTGCACAAAATCATTATTTTTTACAATGAATTGAGGGTATAAACATGTAAAACTTCCACAAATCCAAAAGGTTTAGCGTGTGTGTTGGGGGATTTGTATTAAAAACGCATGGGAAATTGTACCTTGAATATATTTTTAATATGGCATGCTAGCTCTCAAACTTTCTACTTTGAGCTCATACAAAGTTCAAATTGTACAAATTTCAGGGTATGACACAGTCAAATGCGAGATAGCTGATTTAATAAATCCTAAAGCTGCCGCCTATTGCAGCCTCAACAGACTGTTAACCCAATTCTCTGGTAGCATAAAGCTACTTTCAGCTCTCGAGATCCACTTAGGCAATATGTGCAGAGAGCACACATAACCCACACCAAGTATGCAGGGCATTTCTATTAGACAAAACATTCGATAACAATTTGTAAATAAGTTTGAATGTATTTATACATCACAGGCGGTCTGCTGAGATATCAGGCCCTACACGTGCACGTATAACTGTTCTTTGCCTCTAAAGCAATGAATGATTAATAAAGGTCGGAAATTGCCCATTTAGAAAATAAAATAGACAGCTTATGCCTCACTGATGCATATACAAACTAGCGAATAAACAACTACAACTATACTATATAGAGAAGTCTATCAGTTTCGATTGGCGCTTATTTGCTTAAATTCAATGCACGCGGAAGATTTTAATTGGATTTTGATATGAGAGATGCTCGCCGCCATCCGCCCACCCGACCTCCTCCATATGAATTATTTTTTTCTTTATGGCATTTACACGGTTGCAAAATATATTTTTAGCATGTGGCCTAACATTGAAAACGTGTGTACATTTCTCTGTGTATTTGAGCTTGCCGTCTAATTTTGTCCATAGTTTAGCTACCGGCTGTTGTTGTGGCCTATGGTGCGTATGCGTATTGCTTTTGATATTACTAATGAATAAGGTAGCAGTTGTTGTGTGGCTCGCTCAAGTGTTCACCTGAATAAATACACATATTTAAAAACATAACAGGAATAACACAAACATTTATACTGGCATAACATTTTTTTATGACCGGACACAAGACTCTGCAAGACTCTGTATAGATCATACAAACAAGCAATTAAAGAAGAATATAGATTTATGCGCATATATACAGTACATATCCATATACAAAAACTGAGTTATCATGGTATTTATTGATTAGCGCTGCCGCCTTTACTTCGCCTTTACTTTACTGCATTTGTTTGTGATAAGTATAATTTTCAGCTCTTGCTGCTGATGCTGCTGCGGTGTCGCCCCTTGGACACTTTATTGGTGTGTTTTAGTGGGCCCCTTGCCAAGCATTTTCTGAAACAAATTGTCGTCGCGCTCGACAACATTCCGCGTGTTTGCGCCTTACTACCGTCCTGGCAACGACGTCGACCCAGTGTAACACACTGTGCCAGTGTACCACTGTGCAATGTGCTGTGCGCACACATATGTATTTGCAATCTTTGTATATAATATGTACAGATGCATGCTTGTAAATACTTTTAATTAAAAAGCAGGCGACCGCACGAGGAGACATTCAGATACTTTGGCTTGGCCGTCACATTTTCGGCTTCTATCGTAGCTGTTTAAAATTTTCATGCTATTCGAAAAGCAAAAGCATTTTGCACATTGTATCTGTATCTGTGTCTGTATGTTGGTCTATTGCATTATGGGTGCGCCACATCGTTCTGCTTATTTTTGTCCGAGTTTGTGTATTTCAAAAAGGGTCTGCATGGCTGGTTGTCGACCGTGGAGATGGGCGCATAATCGTGACAATATATCACAAATTACGCCATTCTTAAGTGTTAGCTTTTAAAATTTGATAGAGAGTTCTTCATGATTTCATAGATGATTTAGCAGTTGATCAATTTAATCAAAAGTATGTAAGTTCTATTACCTGATGACATTTTTAATATTATATATATCAGTGCCAACCATGGAACGATCAGGCCTTAGCCTTTTTGTTTATTGTTACTTAAATAAAAAATGCAAGTTTCATGTGAACAGATTTTAGAATTTCTCTAAATACAAATATGTTGGAATTGATCAAAATTTACCTAAGTTATATTTGAAATAGAATTAAACTTCAAGATATGGCTTCGAAATGTAGGAAATGCTTAGTTAAGAGATCGAAAGTTCTTATTGCGAATAAGTACCATGGTTCAATTTGTATTTAAAACAGGTAATGTTATACATCCTACATCATCGTAGAATGCCTAATTAACAATACATACAAAAATGCATTTGATACTCATGTTAGATTGTGTGTATATATGTCCCAAGCTCGTTATTTTCCTTTTGCGACATACATGGGTCGGTTTGAAGGGAAATAGTTGATTTAATATAAAAATAAAGCTGTAGAACTTGCAATAAAATAACTCAAGCAAAAACATGCAGACGGACAGACAGACAAAGACTATTGTATATAAAAATAAATAATGAGAGACAAAGAAAACTAAGAAATTACAAAACAAAATTGAAAAGCAGAGTCGACGACGTTGAACTCGACATCGGCGTCTAAACCGATGGCAGAAAACGAAGCAAGGTAAATGGTGGGTCGGCGAATGCACACAATGAAAACAAGTAAGAGGTACCTGTCGGGAGCTCCCCACTAGGGGATACCCTGACCCCTTTTATATCAACACCAGTAGTAATAAAAAAAAACGTTCCCTTGGCTGGGTTCTAACTCGCAACTGGCCGCATTAATTGCTGCCGCCTCTTCTCAACAGCCACACCAGCAAAACAAAACAAGTAAGAGGTTCTAGTCGGGAGATCCCGACTAGGTGATACCCTGACCCCTATTCTTCGAACACCAAATGCAGCTCGCGCTACGCGCTCGTTTGCTTTAGTAGTAATAAAGAAAAATAAAATTAAAAAAAAAAAGTTCCCTTGGCAGGGTTCGAACTCGCAACTGACCGCATTACTTGCTGCCGCCTCTACGCAGCAGCCACACCAGCCAAAAACAAAAAAACTCGTCAATGACCGCGCTATTTTCCGACGCTTCTACTCAATAGCCACACCAATAATTATGTCTTGGTAAGAAAAAAACGAATTAAAATAGCAGCAAAGAAAACAATACACTCGCAATTGCAATGTTGTTGATAGAATTCAAAGCAGACGTGCATGAATGTGTGTTACACACACACACACACACACATGTATACAGAAATTCTTGGAATTTGAGCATGCTGCTGCACGTGTTTGCAGGCCAAAATCCATTTTTTTTCGTGTTTCTTAACCGATCTTGATGAAATTTTCAGTAGTAGATCTTATTGTACTATAAAATATTCGAGTATTCTCTAAATGACAATTGCATTTAAAATGTGACTAAATTAGGTAGGCAATACTAGTTGGTTTACATACATGATTTATAGCTTTTTGGTGGTAGCGGGGAGGTGGGGATAGGTATAAAATGAAAGATACTTGATATATATATACTAATCTAGAAGCAACATGTCAAGTTTGGTGACTCTAGCTCTTATTATTTATCCAATTTGCTCAAAAAACAGGATTTCGGAATCGATTTCATCGATTGCTTGGAATCGCAGTAAGTTATCGATTATCGGAAACAAACTCGTGCTGCGCATGGACTAGGAGGACCTACAGCACTAGCTCTTATAGCTCTCTAGTTCTTATAGGTTCTAAGATCCTTACGTTCATACATACGGGCGAACGGACAAACAGACGGACATGGCTAGATCCACTCGGCTGTTGATGCTGATCAAGAATATATATACTTTATGAGGTCGCAGATGCTTCCTTCTGCCTGTTACATACATTTGCACAAAACCATTATACCCTTTTTACCAATTTTCAATGGGCTTAGGGTATAATTAAATATAAAATATTCGTTTTTACAGGCTTCACAAAAAAGAAGGTGATATTTTCTCAGTCACGGTTTTTACATTGGTATGAGTAGTTTCCTAAATTTACGTTAATGCTCCAATGCTCAGTCACAGATGCGTCAACCTGCTAGCCAATCAATCAGTCACTCTGTCAGCCAGTCAGCCAATCATTAAATCAGTATGTCATCAGTGAGTTCAGTGGCCAAATGCACCATCCCGTATCTCAAAAACCAACTATCCAGTTCCATCTATTTCTTTTAGGTACTCTATATTTCATACATTTTGATTGTACTCCCATGTTTTGTTCATATGTTTCGTCAGCCTTCGTCTTCTCGTACGCCTTGGCCCTTTGCATGTATTTACTTTATTTCTTTTTTTGCCTCTCTATAGCAATCATCTTATGTTTTCTTGGTTTTATGCGCACATTTTTCTGCATCAAATATGGGTTTGTTGGTTTTTTTATTCTTCTTTCGATTTTTCTTTTCTGTTAAATTCAATTAGATGTCGCCAAAGCAAAACGCGCAGCGAACAATGTGAAACAAAAAAAAAAAACAGAAAACGTATATGTTCTATCATACAAACCTTTTTGCAGATTTTTGATTTTGTATCCCCATCATCACCACCACCACCACTACTACAACAACAACAATAACAACTATAAGAACAAGCACCACCACCAACAACAAGAACATCAACTGCGTCAAGTGCGACGATGGCTGCCATAAATACGGTAAGTACGCGAAAAGCAACGCCAACAACAACAAAAGCTACAATAAAACCTCCGTTTGTGTGCAATCATTCATAAGGCACGAAAAATAATACACAATATGTATGATCTGACATACACACACATACACATATTTATGCCTATGGCACAAATAGCATTTATTTATATAATCAAATTGGCCAACATTGCGTATGAGCAATATCAGGCATGCGCCAAGATAGCGCGCAAACACACACTGCATAAATAATCATCGAAATCAATAAAATATTTAAGATTAAAGCTAATCAAATATTAAACTCATTAAATTACGCATTTGCCGTGTTAAGTACGTTCTAAACATTGAACAAGCTGCAACACATATCATTTCTAAGTAAGTCAACAGTTGAAAGGCGCATGCATAAACATTTCTCAATTTAAAAAAAAAACATAAACGCCCAACAGCCTTGCGACTTGGACTTGGTTGATGAATGGCTCATGCTTATTGATGACGGCGTCGTTGACGAGGAATTCATTGCCTTTGCGCGAGCGTTGGGCTTTTCCAGTGGATGGCTTAGGCAGCAACCAGAGGGTTTGCCTGAACATGTGTTTCAACTTATTTTACTAATAAGCAAAACCCGATGACAAATTGCCGCCTAAAGTATTCAATTTTATGTTGACATATTCTCAAAAATGTTATGAATATGTATATGAATGTTATACGTACGAAATTATATGTGTGGCAGGAGAAGACGCCAGTAAGACAAATGCTCCACAGTAAAAAGCCGTCGAAATAATCAGCCCAACATCCAACCCTCCGTATTCGTATGATTCTTGCCCTGCTTTTCGGCGAAGAGCAGAACTGCTTGCTCCTATATTATGGACGCCAGTTTCAACCCGTCGAAGGTCTTACTTTTTTTTTTCGTTATTTTTTTTTTTTGGAGTGACATTGACAGTTGATTGACATATGAATCACGCTGTAAAAATATATACATTCGCATCACACGCATGCACCGTGGGGCAGGTGAGGATGGCATCGCGACATGTCGCAACTGGGTGTGCCGTCATGTTCGGTGGTGTGTGGTGTTTTTCTCATGGCTGCCCCCGCTGTGATATGACAGCCTGACATGTTAGCCGAGATTCTTTTTTTATGTCATCCCATGCGCATAAAATTCAGCCCTGCTAAACAATAATAAATATTAATCGAACATACTGTGCGAATAAATAACTTGCATTGTTGTAAGTAATTAAAAGCTGGAACATCTAGTCCAAGATACCCTACATCTTCTTAAGAAATGGCGTAACACCCATTCAATTACATACCCAATTTCACACAGCTCCCACACACACATAAACATAAAAGCACTTTGGACAGCGGGTGTCCATCTGCTGCCGTCAACCCTCACTATGAAAAATGAATTTATTAGTTAATAAACTTTTTTTATTTGACTGTGCGAAATTGTCAGAAAGTTAAATATGTTTAATTATGTATGGTTGTGTTCGTCGCTCCTATAATCTCCGGAGTATACTAGATAACTCGTGTCGATAATGGATTTGATTAGTTTTATATTGATATACATTTGATTTTTGGCTTATGCGCTTATTTCAATGCCACATTTATGCCTTGTAAATATGAAACAAACAAAATAAAGAAGTTATTCAAGGATGAATTTCGCAACGTGTGCTTGTTGGTGCATCCGAGCACATGTGTATATTTTGTGCATATGTACATCATAAATTACACATTTTTGTTACAGCTATTCGAAACTGTTTAGAGAGTATATGCTAGTTGGAAAAACTCGACTAGGGAAATCAAAATTGTTTTCTTTAAGGGAAAGTTAGCGTCAATCTAAGAATTTGTTTAATATTTTATTTAACGAGAAAGGGCTCTTTCTGTCACACGTCTGCAGGCTAACATAAAGTACATATTTGCTTCATTTCAACAGTCATATCCCTGAATAAAGAAAGGAAGTACGAAAGTTACCAAAACATGCATTAAATGAGTGATTAAACCCGAAACCAATTAAAAAGAGCTCTCACCTGGCCCATACATTGTATGTTCAAGCACTTTAAAATAAACAAAGCATTAACACAACATATAAAACTGCCGCTCCCTGAGCTGCTTATCCCACAGAGGCAGGCACTAGTCCACTTGGGCATTTGGCCACTTAGGCACTTAGCCACTTGTGGCTCTATTGCCAGTGACCAGATCAGAGTAACTTTTCATTTTCTTTGCGCTGTTCACTTTGCGCACAACTAAACAATAAACATTTTGTTTATTTATGCAATGCGAAATTGTATGTGCTCGGAGAAACTAATTTATGCGAATGTCTTCGTTTTAGTTTTTATTGTGGCTATCGTCACAGACACTTCTGGATATTTATGCCCAACTTTTTTGTTTATTTGCTCTTGTTTTGCTGGTTGCAAGCCTCATTAATTGGGCATTCGTTCTGGCCTATAAAGCTTTAATTGCCACACACGTCTACTGTTGTCCATTTGGCAAATATGCATGTAAATATGACCCAGTAAACTCGATCTAGCTCAGAATATCGACTCATGTTTTTATTGAATTATAATGAATATATACATGCGCTGTCATATCAAACATATCAAAAGGCTGCCCCTAAAATACAACATTGCTTTGTGCATATTATAAGAGCAGACAAATTCGTACAAGTCTAAGTATTTTATATTACAACGAGGACGTTTGCAATTGTTGGACGCTCGACTTCCGTGCTTACTATACAATACAATATGAAGAGGCATGTGATTCAAATCGAAATGCATTTAAATTCAATTAATTATGCGTCGCGTCTTTCATTAGGTGACAGTTGCCGCGAATTATCAATAATCTAAAATAAACCCGACTGACAGCCGCAGAAGACGCCTTCTGTTGTCGCTTAGTTTTTGGCAGTCTTTTAGAACGGACACGACAGCATATTGTTTTTGTAGCTCTGCCTCTTTCCAATTATCTCTCTTATTCAGTAAAGCACACAGATAAATAATGTATATTAGCATAGGTGTAGTCATAATTAAGCAGCTTTTAGCCTTTGCTCCTCTGTGTTTTTTCCGCCCGTAGGTACCTAAGAGCATACACCTGCCATTGACGAATCTCAGCGCACCGCGCGTGCTGATGTGCAGCGCATCTGTGGGCAGCGAGGGTTCCGTAACATTGCAACTAAGAGATGCGAATGCCTTGGAGGCAGCCGACAGCACGACAACGGCAACAACAGCACCAGCAACAACAATAGCAACAAATGCAATATCAACATCGTCATTAGGCAGCCAAGCGAATGGCGTCACAGTGCTTGAAACGTTCTCGGCATCGTCAGGAATAACGTCAGCGTTGGAAAATGCGTTGACCATTGGCTATCCGGATCCGGACATGTTAGCAGATGTCTTGGGCACCATACAGACCGCCTGTAAGTCAGGACTAGTACGCTTGTATGCTTGAATCGATTTACTACATTTTTGCATGCCATTTTCAGCTCTTAAAAACAAACAAATTAGCAGCAATACCAACATCTATAGCAACAACAGTAAGCGAAGTAGCTACATCAATGGTAGCAGCAGAAGAAACAGCAGCACTTCAACAACAATTCTGAACAACACCCTAGCAACAACGAGCTCTGGCGTACATCAGAACGGTCCCAATCAAATAACGATAACGCGACGCAGTGCCAGCAACAAGATCAGCGTGCAAACTGTAAGCGCATCCACAAATACAACCATTAGCAGCATTGGCGGCAGTAAGACCAACTACATAAAGAACTGTCTGATACGGAGCAGCAGCTGCAGCAACACGGCCACCAATGTCACGACGCTGGCACAGATTATGAGCAACAGCAGCACCAGCAGCGCAGCCAGTTTACTCAGTCAGCACAATAATAATAGCAACTGCAGCAACAGCAGCAACTTCAGCAACGCTTCATCCGTGGGCAGTAGCATTAGCATTGGCAGCAACAGCAGCAGCAACAGCAGCAGTAACGACAGCAACAGCAGCAGCGGTCTCAGTTTAAGCTTCAAGAGCAACGGTCGAAATAATCCTGGTATTGTAACTGCAGCAGCATCCACGAACACCACAGCCACCGGTATTGGCATTATCACCGTCGATAACGCACCCAGAAAGAGCCGACCCAAACTATCCTCACCGACTCGTCACGGACCCCAGCAGTGTCAGGTGCGTTTATAACTGTACTGACCAAGTGCCAAATTTGTATAATCTGTTCGCATAATAAGCAAAAGTTATATTGGTTTTGCGCAATGCCCGTCATTCTGTTCGCCCGTCTGCAGAAACGGAATTTCTTAAGGCTCTATTAAGAAGCTTAAAGCTTGGTTATGGGCATACCGCAAAAATCTATATTTTCCCAGACCACAATTCGGAATGACCACTTCAGAAGATAGATTGCGCAACTCGAAACAATATTATGGCCGTAACAGATCGTTTGACATTAAATTAGAAGAAGCGTTTGTTGAATAGAATTATTTAATGATAATAGATTCTTGTCTTTTTTTTAAATTTTAGATAAATTTCGAACTTTATTTTTAACATTTTAATAATACCCATCCAACAGGGTCAATTCAATATAAAATCATTTTCTGTTTTGTTTTCAAAAATATTTAGGTTCTGCCACCAAGATATTATACGGATTATATTAAATGGGGTTAGTTAAGTTTCGTAATTCTATTCTTAAGTCTGTACTCGATTTAACACCAATAAAATCAACTTACGGATCAACTAACTCTGATATTTCGATATTCTCATTATGTAAAATATTGCCCGTATTAGGAAAAGGTGTTCTGTTCATGTCGAAATTTGCGACGGTGGCTATGCTTATTTCATAAACACAAGCATAATTATGTATTACGAATTACGTATGTTATATTACGCATACGCAACGTGGCTCATTAAAATTTTAAAATAGCCTATAGGGGCGTCTGCAAAGCTTTCAGTAATGTAGACGGCATCTGAGGTCCGAGTGTGATGCTAATTACATTTCACTTGCTTTGGTGTACTTTTTATAGATTTGTAGCAAGATCTTTGGAAATGCTTCGGCACTGGCCAAGCACAAACTGACGCACAGCGACGAGCGGAAATATATTTGTGCGCTCTGCTCGAAGGCATTCAAGCGGCAAGATCACTTGTAAGTTAATGAAGCGCTCCGTCGATCTACTGATCTACTAACCTACTCAATCAAAATTTCCTGTTCCACCCCAGAAACGGACACATGATGACGCATCGCAACAAAAAGCCTTACGAGTGTAAGGCAGATGGCTGCGGCAAATCATATTGCGATGCGCGCTCTCTCCGCCGTCATTCAGAGAATCACCATGGAGGCGTGGCAACGCTCAATAACCACTCACTCTCGCCCACAGCTAGCTCAAACTGCGGCAGCGGAAGCAGCAGCAGCAGCAGCAGCAGTGTGGGTGTGGGTGTGGCCAACAGCTCACTAAGCCTTTCACCGGCTACAGCTAGTGGGGACGCCAGCTCGCCAGATGGGGCCACTTGCATTCGCACCTACATTTCCACAGGCAGCTCTGTGGTGGATGCTGCCACTGGCATTGCGCTGTCCGATGAACAGATCAAGGCTATGAATTTGCCCATTAAAACGGGAGTCACATTGCTGTCGCCCACCACTTCTACATCTTCAATTGCATCGACGTCAACATCCTCATCATGCTCAACATCTTGCGGTAGCGGCAGCTCCGTTCAGAATAGTTCGCCCACAATTACGCTTAGCGATGGCGCAACCTTAGAGGGCGATGGTCTCACGCGCGAGCAACTCGATCTGATAAGCAAGATCATGCAACAGACGAAGCAAACCAGTGCCCAGGTTACGGTCTCTTCGCCGAACAGCGTCAGCTCCTATAAGATCAATACAGAGACGGCGCCAGTCTCGGCACGTCCACGCACCTGGAACATGCAATTGGTATGCATTGGTTGAGCATAAGATTTATTGACTTCTAACCCATAACTTGATGTTCATACTTTCAGCTTAATAACGCGCAAAATGTCACCGTAACCGTGGAGGATGGTACCGATATGGTTGCCTCCGCTTCAAGTTCACCCGACGAGGTCAAGGACGATGAATTGAACCAGCAGCTAGTGGCCGCTATTAATCCCCACCTGCTCAATATTGTTAAGATCGACAAGCCAGTTGAGTGCAATCTATGTCACCGCAAGTTCAAAAATATACCCGCTCTCAATGGGCACATGCGTCTGCATGGCGGTTACTTCAAAAAGGATCCGGAAACCAAGCGCAGCGAGAAAAAGGACTCCAACGCACCGCCCTTGCAGACTGCGAGCATAGGTGTGCGTGCCCTTATCGAGGAGAAGATCATTAGTAAGCGCAAGGACATCAATAAGGTGATTTGACATAAGCCCCCGATAAAACGACTCAAATTAATGCCGTCTCCTGTCTCGCAGGGCGCCTTCGTTGTGCCTGCACCACCCAGCAGCACCGCAAACAACGGAGGTGTTGGCGGCTGTAGCAACAACAGCACCAGCCTACGCCGCTCCATAAGCGACTTAGAGAGCTTCTTAAATCCGAAGAGTAACACGAGCAGCCTGAGCCAGACACTAGCCACCAGCACCAGTACTACTACAGCGGTGCTGCCTGCGGCTACCACTATCAAGAGCAGCTCTGGGCTAAGTATACAGCAGATTGGGCTGCCGCAAAGTATTGAGATCTTCAGCGGAGGTCACAGACATCCCAAAACCCTTAATTTGGGCAGTGGTGCCAATACTATTACCATTACCACCAACAACGTGCCAACTACAACTACCATGAGCGCACTGACGGCTCTTAAGGGCGGCGGTAGCATCAGTGGCGTCACTAGCAATGCGGATTCCAAGGACTCGACGTTAATTGAGTTACTTAAGCGTGGAACGCGCATTGCCGTGGCCTCTAAGAAAACACAGCTACAGGCACAAAACAGTACAAATCTGATCTTAAGCAATGTTGGCGGCTCAGAGCTCACAACCATTAGCAGCAGTGTCCAGGCTAGTCGGCAGATTATCACCAACAACAATCGCACAGTCATCATACCTTCTGATGTGCACGTGGTGTCCACTAAAAGCAAGTTAATTTCAAGCAACGCCCTCACAGCCAACGACAGCAATACAGCTTGTTCTGCGAGCAGTATATCATTGCCTGACGGGACTCCCCTCTCCCTGACCATTACGCCCAGCCAGGAGCGTATAGGTGTCGGAGAAGCAAGCAGCATAGCTGGTGGTGGGGGCGTTTACACGGTTACTTACACTAGCGATGCGGATGCATCCGATCTCTTCGACGACGCTGAGGTGTACAATGTATCGGACACGGAAATGCTACTGCAAACGGTGGATACTATGGAACTGCTCAACGATGACGAGGACGTGGTGCACAAAAGCGAACATTCCGAGGACTTTTCGCTGCTTAGTGAGGCCGGCGATAATGTTCACACACAGCTGGTCAAGCTGGAGCCTGATCCTATACACAACAGCACAGCCAGCAGCCTCAATAAAACGACACCGTTGCCCACTTTTCAGCAATTTCATTCCAAGGAGATCATCATGCAGAACAGTTCTCAAATCCAGGCCATCGCCAACATGCGTGGAAGCAGCACCCTAGGAGTGCTCTCGTCGCCGTTGCATTCACCACTAGCCTACCCGACGCCACCCTCCAGCCACGAGAATGTGGCTCAATCCTCACCCTTCGTAGAGGATGCTGCGGGTCAGTTTGTGGATGCCAGTCACACGTTTTTTGGCGATAAAACAGACTTCTCACACGTCTATTTTAAAACAGACGAGAGCGATTCCATGCAACAGCTAAGTGATAATGACAACGAGAAAATACTCAAACTCAAGTCGGTGCTGGAAGAAAGCAGCTTCGATCCATCCATTAAGGTGGAAGATCTCTTAAACAGCACCGAGGACGATGCCGAATGCGACCTGCGGGAGTTTGCTGAGACGAATCTCTCATTTCTCGATGAGGATCAGGAGTTCCTAAATGACTCACGAAATGCTACCTCGCCTCTGTCCGAATCCTTCTTCACCAGTGGCATTGGATCTGCAGAGGATGTTAAACAGGTGCTACGTGAGGTGCTGCCCGACGAAAATATGCAACTGCAGCTAACTAGCGAGCAGCAGGGCGAGAACATCATTGATCTTTACTATTTACCGGGGCTGGGCCTGCAATCCCAAATGATGCCAAATTCTGATGATCCGCTTTTGTCCTCCTCACCAAGGGAATTCGGTCAGCAACGACAGGTTGTCCACACGACAACGTCTACGACATCAACCACACAACCTATCGAGCAGTTGCAATCTACCACTGTACTTTACGATCAACATCAACTGCAACAGCAACTGCAACAGCAACTGCAACTGCAGCCCCAGCAGCAACAGCAAGAGCAAGAGCAACATCAGCATCAACAGCAGCAGAAACAGCAATCCCAGCAGCAGCAAGAGCAAATGCAATTGGCACAGCAACCTGCAATTCAATCTGAACAACCACAACAGGAGCAACAGACAGACTTTATGCTCACCAACTTTACTCCCGTGTCCTGTCAAACACAGTACCTAGATGCCAATCAGCAGACGATGATGCTGCAGCCACTGAATAGTTTGCTGCAGCCAATACTTTATGGCAGCAACAGCACATCCAACGATAAACAAGCATTTACCTCGATGCTTAACTCGAATGCCGGTCAGACAACTGAACTCGATGCTAGCCTGCTCTTTGCCTGCGGCGACAGCATCAAAAATAACTGCAGCAAACCTTTGCTTGCCGCATTACCCGCAGCAGTAGCTACACCAGTAGTTACTCCAACACCGAGTGTTTCCAATCTACAGCCGCTGTCCAACCAAACTAATTCCATATTAAAGCGTCGCCTGCGTTCAAATGGAGCACAGGATGTGCACAAGTTCTCTAAATTCCAAACACTTTCACCGCATCGCTCAAAGCTACGAAAGCCTTCGCGGACCCACTACACACCCGCACCAATTCTTAATCCAGATCGCAAAGGCACTGGACTCTATTGCAATGTGCGTAAACAGCTCGGCCAAGGAATGTTTGACGTCTTTGACGATGACTTTGGCGATCCTGTGGGCTTAGTTGATTTCTGCGATGAGTCCAAGGTGAATCTTGGTTCCACTTATCAAGCGCAGATCCCACCCTGCAAATCGCCAGAAGAATCCACCAAGGAAACAATGAGCGCAGACCTACTTTGGGATCCAAGCGTACAGATAGACGAGAAGATACTAATGCGTTATATAGATCTCAGCAAATCTTCGGCCGTACCCTTGGGTAGCCATTCCGAAGAGGTAGCCCTTCAAACGTTGCTCGAGGCCAAAGGCAATTCAGCGGCGGCGGTGCTCACCTTGTTGCAAACGCAGTCCAGCGCATTCCAAATGAAATGGACTGCCTATGAGCTAGAACACTTTCTACGTGGCCTGGAGAAGCACGGGAAGGACTTTGGAAAAATTGCCAGCGAGGTAAATTTTACTAACTCACAAAATGATGTTTATATTTTAGTCTATAGGATCGATCGCTTTATGTTCTTCATATTGCGTGGAAGTATTTCAACGTGTTCAATCCTGTCCAATTATATTTTTGAGTATTACACCAACTATTCCAATAATTACCTAGATAATTTAGTGGAATTTGGTAAACATACGAAAAATACCAAATTTTAGACGCTTTTGATGAAAGCCTCTGCCTGTTTGAGCCTTATTTGCTACCCAAACGTTGAAACACTGGTTTCAATATCATTGTTAAGTATGATTTGCTTAAGCCTGATAAATTTTTACCACGCATCTATGGAATCAATAATAAAAAGAATATTCTGTCTTCCGTCCTCTCGAGGCCTTAACTCCAAATTTTGTGCTCAGTATGCCGACGCTTGGTCCTCTACGCTACTCAAAGCAAAGCTACTTGACAAAGCCAACAAAGAAACAAATTTTAATTATTATTGATTTTAACTATCAACCCACCCATTTTCTATTTCTTTGTTGTTTTTTAATTAATTACTATTATTATTTTATTTATTATTATTTATTTATTTATTAATGGTCGACAAAACGAGTGTCTTCCTAATTATTCAATACATTATATATACAATTATGAAAATGAAATGCTAAAAGCCTAGTTAGAGAACACAAATTTCTAATAGCATCGCCGATGGAGGTGTTTTATAAGCCAGTCCGGCCAGCTGTGCCCCTTTTCACAGCTAATTTTGTCAGTGACGCTATTAGAGCTACATCTAAGAAGAAGGGTGTAAGTAGGAAAAAAGGAAAATTAAAAATAATCTTAATTTGCTATATTAAAAGTAAGAAGTAAGAAGATCATCTCTATATATAAAACTGTTTGTCCTGACTGACTGACTGACTGACTGACTGACTGACTGACTGACTGACTGACTGACTGACTGACTGACTGATTGGTGATCAACGCACAGCCCAAACCGTAAGAGCTAGGAAGCTGAAATTTTCACTGTAGTTACCTTATGTGATGTAGGTGCACGTTAAGACGGGGTTTCGGGAAATTCCACCCGCAAGTGTGGAAAAATCGCGAAAAACGTTTGTATGTAACTTTTTTGTTTACCATCCGATCTGCCTCAAATTTATTTTCAAAGGTCTTTGTTCAAATTCATTTGAGGGGTGTTTCGCCCTTTTTGGAAAATCCATCCCTCCTTGGTGGAAATGGGGGTCAAAAATTTGGTGTGTGACGTTTCGCCCTGAAATTTATTTCCAAGTATCTATATGAAAATTCATTTGAGACGTGTTTTTCACTTTTCGCAGAATTCAAACATCTTCGGGGTGAATGCGATTCAAAGATTTTTTGGGCGAAGTTTTAAGTTGTGTCCGATTTGCTTCAAACTTATTTTCAAAGCTGTACATAAAAACTTAATAAATACGTATTTCAGCGATTTGGGAAATTCCACTCGCAACCGTGGTTAATTGGCGGAAAACGTTTGTATGAAAGTTTTTTGTTAACGATCCGATCTGCCTCAAATTTATTTTCAAAGATCTTTGTTCAAATTCATTTGAGGGGTGTTTCACACTTTTCGAAAAATCCGTTCCTCCTTGGTGGAAATGGAGGTCAAAGATTTGGTGGGTGACGTTTCGCGCTCAAATTCGTTTCCAAAGATCTATAAGAAAAATCATTTGAGACGTGTTTCACACTTTTCGAAGAAATCAAACATTTTCGGGTGGAATGCGACTCAAAGATTTTTTGTGCGAAGTTTTAAATTGTGTCCGATTTGCTTCAAAGTTATTTTCAAAGCTCTACATAAGAATGTAATGAATACGTGTTTCAGCGATTTGGGAAATTCCACTCGCAACAGTGGTAAATTGGCGGAAAACGTTTGTATGAAAGTTATTTGTTTACCGTCCGATCAGTTTCAAAATCATTTCAAATTTGTTTGAGAACATTGATTTTATAACATACGTGCCACGGGCAAGGCCGGGTTATACCCGCTAGTTGTTAATAAAGTAAAGAACTATATGCCAGATATACATATAGAGTGTTAAGTAGATAGGATAAAGAGATAGTATTGGGAAAATAATGGGAAATCACCGACCCGGTGGGGGAAAATTTACAGCCTGTCCGGCAAGCTATGCCCCTGCTCATAGCTGGGTATGGTCAGTGACTTCCCGAAGGTATCCTGAAAGCATCGATTTTATTAGGAGTAAAGAAAGTTCGGTAGATAAAACGTGATGCATATTATTGTAATTTTTACATAGCACGCGAAAAGGATTGTGCATAGCGTAGTCTGTTGTGCACGTCGATAGGAATAAGGGGCGATAATTTCTGGTTGGTCTAGCCGGAACAGAGAATTGAAGACGTCCTAGCAGAAATTGAGAATCTATATCGCCAACAACCAACTGAACAGATTCAATACGATCCTGGCTATTGTTATACTGCGGAGACCAGATTCTTTCCAAAGAGATGGAAAGATGGATATAATGAGAAATAAAATAAACAAAATTGATAATTGTCAATACACTTGAAACAGCAACATCTCGGTCGTTAGTCCGACGCTCAGCACCTTAGCGCAGCAGGCTCATGATATCACGTTTGCAAAGCACACCGATATGATTACATTGATTTTGAAGTGTTTTTCACAAAAGACTAGGTCTGAAAATCGATATTAAATATTCTGTCGAAATGAAAGAGGATTTCAAAAATAAATGATAAACGTGGTATCTCTACATCGATAAGCATCGATACCAACCTCCCTTGTTTTGGTTTGTTAGAGATTTGAACCAACAAAATAGAAACAAGAATGAGTATGTTTGTTACTGTAAAGCATATAAAGAGAGAATTTTTGGGCACTCTTGCTGGTATCACAACTATACTTACATTCCTTTCAGTTACTTACGAAGACCTCGGGCGAATGCGTTCAAATGTATTATTTTTGGAAAAAACTATGTGTGGACTACAAGGTTTCTCACCTAAAGATGGAGCCAGTTCCTGCCAGCACTCCAACGGTGGAACAGAAGCCCTACGTCTGCGAGATTGCCGACTGCTCGGCGGTAAGTTATAGTCTATGAATGCTGCGATATATTGAGTCCGGCATATAACCATAATTAGTCTTGTCTAGCCCATAGCACAACAAAATATCCTCAAAACTGAATCACATTAATTTTTCCTTTCTTTTTGTACATACTGCTTATATCTCCCCCTGCGTTTGACTCCGCGTCGGTGACCAAACTATAGAGCTTCACCTCGAAAGCAGCTCTGCATGGTCATGTTCGCATACACGCTTATGGCAGAAATGCCAGCAACAGTAATAGCAACAACAACAACCAGCATGCCACGGCAGTTAGTGCCAACAACAACCATACTTGCAACAATAGCAGCAACAACAATAGCAACAACGCATGCGCATCCCAGACTATTAGCCATAGCAATCAATGCAACAGTGCAACAACAACAATCATAACGCACGCCAATGGCAATAACTCCACCCTCAACAACAATATTATCAGCAACAACATTGCACCAGGCTCTTCCATAAATACTGCAATGTTATCAGTAGCAGCAGCAACAGGAACAGCATCGACAGCATCAAAAGACAGCAGCAACAGCAACAATTCCAATTCAGCCAAGGAGAGTGAATTTCCCTGCAAGGTGTGCGGCAAGTAAGATTCCCCCAAGAAAATATCCACAACAATTCGTAAAACCTAAAATGCCAGCTCATTAAAATTTGAATTACGCAAGCATATTGAGCGATTTGAGTGCCCGTATTGAGTTAAGACCGTAAAGCACGTTATATCGTAACCGTAACTTTCGTCTCAAAAGTTATTCGTAATTGAGCCCAAAAATCTGGGTTAATAACTATCACTTTGGTTTCATGTTCCTTTTTTTCTTTTTCCGTCTTCCGTTTTCGTGTAGAACGTAAGTTTGTTTTCGTTGAAAATCTATGATTTCTTATAGTAAGTTCTGCTGTTTACTCACTACACTTTCAAGCTCCTTTCCTATCGATCTACTACTTATATATTCGCCTCGGTTTGCTTCATGCCTTTATTTCGTAGTGTTCTTTTCAGCATTTAGTTTATTCCATGTATTAATCCTAAATTTTCATGCCATTTAGTTAGCGTTCTCATTAAGCGATAATAATTGTTGTTATTGTTGTTGTATTGTATTTATTGTTCCATGATGACAATCCAAACAAAATTAAACTATATTCAATTACAATACGCGCGCCTACTCAAACCATCAAACCAATAAATAAATTCAATAAATTGCAATTTTAAAGCGAAGTGTCACAGGTCGCAAATAGGCGTAACTGAAATCAACTCCTCACAATATCAGCCTCAGGGCGATTAAAATCGCTTGGGCCACGATGTCAAAACCAAGGGTAAGTATATATATATATACATATATATTAAATACATATTTATAATTTTATGTTTTCACTTTGCGTTTCTTTCATTTCATTTCTGTTTGTCTCTTAATTACTTCGAAACTCTCTGTTCTCTGATTTTATGTATTTTTGTACTTATTTTGTTTTATAAATGTAGCGCTAAATGCCAATTGATTTGATCTATTGTAAATATAAAACCCACATAACCATTTCTGGGAAATTCGTTCATCGATTTTAACCAATTTCTAAATGTGAAATTCTTTCATACATACCATGATGGAGCTTGCTTTATGCGTGATCCTGAACATCTGATTGGCTTAAAATTTGGTCTAAATTATACAAATATGTATATAACGCATCGTTTCGAGATCACAACTGAAGAATCGCCGCAATTGTATTCATTATGTTACAACATTCCAGCGCACATAAATTTTAACTCTTTCGTTCTCTTACAACTATACCTATTAATTTTCTATTTTATGTTTTGAAACTTTCAAGCAAAACTCTGTACTCTCCATAGTAAATAATTACAACAAAGCAATTTATCTTCACACAAGGCTAAGTAACATAATACCGACAAAAAGAAATTAAATAAATAGAACAGAAAAAGCTTTTCGTGTTTTTGCATGCATCGCCGTAAAAACTTATCTGCATGTAATTTAGATATTAAAAATTCTCTGCTTTATCTGTGCTCCCTTCTACATCTAAGTGTTCTTTGTGCTTATATTCTATAGCTCGCATTCTAGTTAAATTACGTACTGCCCCAGTTAATCCAAGACTCTAATATAAGACATTTGCTACTATTCTGTCTTTGTATTTACCAGAGTCTTCAATAAGGTCAAAAGCCGCAGTGCCCATATGAAAACGCATCGAGTACAAGAAGCGGAACAATCATCAAATTCCAAACAGCAATCTAACAATGGAAGTCTGTCTGCAGTAGCAGTGGCAGTTGCAGCATCAGCAGTACCATCGGCTCCCTCTGCAGTAACAGTTCTGGCCACTGCATCTTCTTAGATATGGATCAACCAGGCAACAGCATCGATTGACAATCGCGTTAAGCAAGCAGCAAGCATTGTTTACCACTCTTAGAAAATAAAGTTAGTTTACAGTCAGAAGTAATGTTAAATACAGACATTTATGAAAAAAAAATCAAGCTCAGAGTTAAATGTGTATTGTAAGTAAATTAATATTGTAATTTTGATGTATTTAGCAGTTAAAGGCATTTTTCTAATTCATACTTTTCACAAGTTTTCTACACACTCTTCCTATCTCACTATCTATCTACCCATATATATATCTGTCTTTGCTATACAACTCTTGGTCTTGATAATTACAGATATAGATCTGAGTCATAGTCTAATTTGTACATAAATTTAACTAACATTGAAGCAAGTTCAAATTGAATTGTTATTAACTAGTTATTGTAGGCAAATGCAATATTTGTGTTACACACTTAAATATACCTACCGTATTTTTATATTAGGCGTTTTCTTTTGACTCTCGACTCGACTGTAGTTTTAACCTAGTCCAAATCAACGTTGATTTAATCTAGTAGCCCGTACGTACTGTTTACTACATGTTTTTCTACTTAAACTAGTTGCATCCCATTTTACAGATACTTTTTTATTGCGATACGTGTTTAGCTTGTAAGAGTTACGATATGCACATGGTTGAGTACATACAAAAGTATATAGCTTATACGATCATTGTTGTTTTAGGTTTTAAGCTCCAATTCAGCAATTTCAAGCAGTAAAACTTAAACTTTTATTGTACGTACACATCTAAACTATTGCTATATGTAAAGCAAATAAAAATTCTAGTGAAATCAAGTGATATTGAGTGAGATCAAAAACGATTTTAGCTAAAAAGAAAAACAAAGTGTAACTCAAATTGAAACATTTTAACTTTTACCGCCATTTTGTAAATAAAGAACAAAAATGCATGCATATAAGTAGATAAATATATTGTATATATACTTATATACATAGTAAATTCTTTATATACATATACATTTGTATCTAATAAGTAAATGTTATTTTAATGTTTCTCCAAATGCATAAAAGACATAATATCTATCAATAAATCAGATACATACAAACACACACTCATTCACCTCAAGGCGAAAACTTAGAGTATAAAAAACAGCTTTTCGTTTAGCCCTAACTAAACACATATATATACACATAACGTTTTTAGTAGCTATTATAGTACTTAAAAGTATATATTAATTAATAATATAAATGTTTATGTACGTGTACCTAATTGGTACAACAGTAAATCTGCCAGTAAAATGATGAATAACAACAACAAGAATCACACGTTTTCCATTTGGACAGTGAGCTAATGTACTACAGCAAATAGATCAATTGAGTGTACGCAATAAATGTTTACGAGCCCAGTGGTATATTATGACGTAAATAAGTATAATGTTATGTAATGTAATGTATCTGTAACAAAATGCATGAAAAATCTACTTGTATTAAGAGCTACATACATCAAACTAACCAACTCGAACCGACACAGCCAAGCAAAAAGCAAACAAACTCTTAGCAATTTTCAAGGTTGTAATTTGCTTATTAATCGATCAATAGGACATCAGCTAGTGTAAATAAGTATTAAACACGGAATCCAGTCCTGAACTTCAATACTCAATACTCAGACACGACTGCAGGATGCAGGATACTGCTATACATATTCACAAGTTCCGATGCACAAACCTGTGCCAGAATATCTTTTGCTCCTTACGTTGTATTCGCTTAATTTTAAAATAGACCCAATATTCATAGCCCTTAGTTAGATAATGTTCATAATTGTTTGGTATTTGTGAGTGTAAACGTATGTATTACTTCTTGCTAATAATTCAAATACACCCATACATACATACATATATACGTAATTGCATTATGTAGGTAAATAATTGCTCATAAATACAAATGTAATTAGGTACAGCTACAGCCAAAGCAACCCACCACTAAGCATCTTCAGAACTGTTTGTTGTGGGCTACGGAAGCAACTTAAAAAGACTCTTCTCAAGACAGCTACACTATTTTTGTACCACACGTATATACATACATATATACGCGTACAATCACAAATGTATGTGGTCTATGTTAGCAGAAACGAATCTATGCATACATAAAATAAAACATACATATGTAAATTCAAATTCTGACTATCAACTTATGTTGTCTGCATTTTCTCTACGAATTAGTCAATACATTGACACAATTTCCCATCCTTTGCCACAATGCTTTACTTTGAAAAGCATTGAAAAAAATTTAAAAAAATGCCTTCAAGCTTAAGTCTTAAGTATTATGAATAAAGTCTTCAAATGTGTGCTTAAGCAAAAGTATAGACCATAAATAATAAATATGTACTTAGCTCTATTATTTAGCTAATGTTAAGTAAAATTCGGTACTTTGTTGCTTTACCATAAAGTTTCCTAAAGACAAAAAAAGCTATACTTCGAATAAGAAGAAGATTTAAATAATAACATATAGCATATTAAAGAAGTCTGCAAGTTGTAAGCCCTACCGTCTAGACAAAAGAGAACTTCTTGCCCGATTCATTTTTGTCTTACACCCATATTTATACATATGTATATTCATTTATTTTTATGTTTAATATTTCCTTATCTTTTGATTAAATATTCGTATCTGTTATTTCAATGCGATTTGGGTGCATTTTTATTTCATTAGTCGAAACGCAAACAAAGTAGATATGACAATCTGTGAAATGTATTTTGTGCTATATTCACTTTTCTCTGATTTCAAAATAAAATGCAATCTCAGCGGCGCCAGCACTTTATTCGAATACTCTGCGTTGTGATTGTTCATTAAGTGTACGAGAATGTATAATATAATATATATACATATATATATATATATATATATATATATACACAAATATATACATATAGAATACACACATACCTTATACACACATGCACATACGATTACATCTAAAGTATGTGTATACTATAAAGTCTAAATATATATATATATATATATGTATATATATATATATATATATACATATATAAACATAAATATATATATAATACACACATACCTTATACACACATGCAAATACGATTACATCTAACGTATGTGTATACTATAAAATCTGTATATAAACTAAAAAAAAAAAGCACGCGCTCATGGGCCACTGACTTATTTTAGCTCAAAACTCAAACTCAAGTGAAATAACAATATAAAACTCGAATAGTTAAGATAAAATTGTACTTACTGAAGCTTATGCATACTTATGTATTCGACGAAATCACTTTCTAACAATAATTTTAATATACAAATTGTGTGCAATACGAGTAACTTCTTATATGAAGTTAACCATATGCACAAGTTCATATAAACAAAAACAACTGAATTACTTCGAGAAACAATACCAAACAGAATCTTTTTAAATTTGAAAACGATTGATAATAGCTCTTAGACATATCAATTTTATTTAAAATACAAAAAAAAGAAATTAAAACTATTAAGAAAAGCATTCAATACATGTATACATAGTAAATACAGACATCATCATCTAAATTTCTATGGATGATTGCATTCCTGTTTAGCATGTAAGTGACAATTTCAGGCAAAATGCCGATAATGCAAATATAGAAGGCATACTTTTTAAAGGTCTGACGAACTAGTAATGAACGATGATTATATTATAAATTTCTTAGGCAGAGTGTGGTATATAAATATTTGTATCATTTTTCGTGAGATCTTTTATTATCGTGAGACACGATTTGATTAAAATATTTATTTGAAGGTATGAACAATATACAGACCCTTCTAATCAATCAGCTAAATGACTCATAAGCTTAAAGTTATTTTTAAATATATATTGTGCCACACAATAATCTAGCCAAGATTCATCGCAACGAATTCAGGCATATAATCACACGTGCACACATTAATCGCAACTAACTTTACTGCTCAGTTTTACTGACTCGATCAATGTGGGTACACTCCCGAATCTCCAGCAGTACGAATGTAAAAATAAAGTACCATATACAAGTACACAACTCTCAGACGTAAGTTTTAACTGTAATATGCAAATCTTTTATAGACAAAGAAACTGTTACTTTATGGCATTAGTTAAAATGCTATAACCTCTTGTTGAACGTAAATTGTACTTAGCATGTAAATTCTCTAAAATACAAAAAAAAACAAAGAACAAACGAAGACACACATAATTATATTGGTCTAAAATTATTGAGACAGTAAGAAATATTTTACGGTACATACATATGTACGTATGTGTACAAATGCGTAAATGTAAACATAAATGTTTTCATGGTTGTAACTGATGATCAAAATAGGTGTAAATTGAAATGAACGGCAAATGGATTTTACATGCTATCATTTAATACAAAATTGCTTTATCTATGCTTTACATTTTTGGTACCTACTAATAACAAAAGCAAATTTTTTGGCACATAACTTATGCATTTTTTCAACGAAACTAAATCGAAAACAAAAACTATATCTCTTTCGTTACTGAAACAAAGATGAATATTATATTTTTTTCTTATACACATGGAAATATTCTTTACACTTACATTTGATATCAAATTGAGTAACGTAAAGATATTTGAGAATCATGAATATTCCCTCCAAATAATTTTTAAAATTATGTATTGCTAAAATGGTCAAAAATGTTCGACTATGGCTGCGTCTCTGATAAATATAATAGAATGAAAAGTTTTTAGCATATTGGATCAATTGTCTTATAATTATGGCATATTGTATTTAGCATGATGTTACCAGTTGTATTAAACATTAAAATAATTATGATTATTATGATTATTGTGTATTGTATGTGTATGTGTAACGTATGTTCTACATGTAAACTCTTTAAAAACAAAAACAAAAACGAAGGTGGCTCTTGCCATTAACTTGTAGTCAATTCTTCGAATGCATTAGGATAAGTAAAAAAAAGAAAAATTACAAAAAATGTATGCATAGTTTGCAAACCAAAGGTACCGTCTGGATGACGACCACGAATATGATGATATATGGACACTATTTTCTTAAAATATTACAACAATAATTTATTGATTTGTTGGCAATTTTATACATACATACATACATACTTATGTATGCACTTATACAGTTAATTTTGTTAGCTAGCTAAATGACAACGAGAACGTATGTAGCGCTGAGGTAGTTAAACTTTATGAATGTTGTACCCAAAGCCCAAGTCCGGTACACCCACTGGAGAAATCTGTACAGTCAAGAATCCTGCCTCAATGAAGAACGACTCACGATGTTGTTGTTAGCATTATCGTAACCTATCTAGTTAGCAATGTTCGCTGTCTCCTTAGAGAAACACACACATATACACAAACACACACCCACAGACACACATACACACTCTCTCTCTCTCTTACAATTTGTTGGATTCGTTGTACTTTGCCATTTTTGGTGTGATATTCTATTGGTTGTGCGGCTGTTTAAAAGTCGTTATACACATTGTTGCATTTCTACAAAACAGAACTAAAATTAATGTTTGTAATGGGTTCAACTTCAATTTCCTGATGTTGTTTTAGTTTTATGTCCTTATAAATATTAAGTATTTATTTGTATACGTTTTTCTGTATAAACAAACTGTAACAAGTTGTTAACTATTTTAGTCCATATGTTACATACCTTTAGGTTTAAGCCGCGTAATTTAATCGAAAATCATTTGAGCAACTTTAATGGAAATGAATTAAACTTACAAAAACTCTAGTAAAAAAATTTTAAAATGAAAACACAAATAAACTGGTGGTCATAAAAAAAAAACAATAGTTTTAATTATTAAAAGATTCTTAACAAAAATTAACCATTTCAGCTTATGTTCTTTTATGGCGATTCCGACTCGTTGGTTTCGAAATAAGCTAGGAAAGCTTATCAAAGACAATTACCAGCAATTTTTTAGCTTTTGCTATATTTACTGTGTTCTGTTGGCCTTTCCTTTCCTCCTCTCTCTCTCTTTCTCTCTTTCTCTCTCTCTCTCTCTGTCTCTCTCTCTCTCTGTCTCTCTCTCTCTCTGTCTCTCTCTCTCTCTTCCTCTCATCATTTCGCCTCCCTTACTCAGTTAGCTTTGTCGTTGTCCTTTGCTTTCGCTTTCGCACTCGTTTATTTAGTTCAGTGTGTTCAGTTGCGTTCTGGCATTGTGTCCTGTCGTTGTCGCAGTCGCTGTTATCCTTTGCTGCTGCGTGCTGCGCTTACCTCAGCTGTCGGAGCTCGACTTTGAGTTCATTAAGGGTCGCCTGCAGTCAGATAAAACAAATCGAAAAACACCGATTTACATTGGCAAAAGCGCATTTGTAATTGCAATTGCTGTTTGGATAATACAATTATTGTGTCGGTGGTGGATAGGCTGAAGTTAGACCGCCTAACGCAGCTCACGTCTAGTTTTTGTTGAACCCCACCCCCGTCCGGTCGGCAAATTATAGTTTTCGCGGTGCGCTCGGCTTTAACGGCTTCAAAATTAACTACTCAAAGTATCATCACAACGCTATGTCCCTTTCGGCCATAGCCAAGGTAAGTCTCGCTAGAATGGCGCTAAAATTTTGTGCCTGCTTCGGCAAAAAATCCTTGCTGAAAACTCACTCATACTACGGTGCCAGCGGCTGCCGCTGGTTTGAGTCAAACTCATACTGCCAGCATGCGTTTTCCGCACATGCGCAGAGCTGAAAGCTTTTTTCGCTAGCGTACACACTGAGAAATGGTGCGTACAGAGTTGCTAGGCTATGGTGGTGCCTACGACAAATGGAGCACGGATTAGGGAATAGATGGACTCGACAACCCTGCGGATTGCGTCCAACTCAAACTACGGTGTGGCGTACACTCAGAAGCAACCCCTATAAAAGCACCCCGGCGAAACTTGTGAGCCATTTTGTGCTGCGCTCGCGATAACTCTTGAGCGCAGCGCCATGGACGTCTGCGAATGTCCTTGGCGCGTCATACGGGCCTGTTCTTGCTTAATAGCAACCAGGACAACGTCGAATTGGTTAAGGTTAATGCCCCTAGCCGACCTTGATGTACGACACATATCGGAGCTCGTTGCTGACTCGGCCTACTCTCGGCTCCATTCTATCTCTGGATACTACCGACTTTACTTTCACATGGGTTCAACGAACTTTTAGGCAACTTATTACGCTCTCATATAGACACACACACATATATACGCACATTTTATTGTTGGCCTATGTGGGCCGTCATTTTTTCCCGGAATCGCTGCTTTTTGACCGAACGGGATAGGCTCCTTTTTACAAATACAAATACAAATACAAATACACACACAAACATATATAAGTATGTTATTTTGGCGCTTGTGCGGAGCCATTGGCTTTTATTACTGTTGCTCTACACATTTCGGTTTTTGGTACAGGCGGTCAGTGTGTATATAACTTTCATATCGTTTGCAGCATAGTCAATTAACGCACGGCCCCTATATGAATCATGTGGGTATATCAAAGAAAGAACAATAGGAATAAATCAAATTGTGCTTAAAGCTATAAAATAAAGCAGGTTGACGTCTATTTTAACTGTTTCAATAAATTTGCATGATTGTATGTTAAAACTGTTCAGTTGATAAAATTTTCATGTTTTTTGCAGATAGTGATGTGTAAATTCCTAACACATATTAAATACAAATTATATTTATATAATTATTGTTATTATTTTGTTTATAAAATAAAATATTGACAAAAATGTAATGCTTGATTTATATATACTATAAGATACATCACACAGTAAAATCAAAGTTGTCTTAAAACAGTATTTATATTGCCTTTTGTAACACACTTTTCTCTTGTTGATATTAACACTTTTAACTTCGAAAAATTCAATCCTGCCTGAGGAAAATTGAAACAAAGGGATACAATTTGAAATTGTAGACTGCACTTAAATTCTAAAAAAACCATTCCACAAAGAGAGAAATTAAATGTTGTGTGTACTATCTATCTATCAATCTAATCCATCAATAGTTTAACCATCTGTTTTAATAAAAGTAGTCAAAGAAAATAATTCCTTTTCCACATTTAAAATCGAATCTGAATATAGCTTTGAAGATAATTTATTATATACGAAAACAGATTACATATACATATAAAGGCATTGTTTAGATTTTTCTATTAGTATTTAAAAGGAATGCCTCATGCTGAATAAACAAGTAAAAGTACTCCAGTCGGGAGTGCTCGACTAGGAAACATCCTCCCCATCGCACCCCATCAACGTGATGAACCGAACTAAAATAGCAACAATTGCAGTTTTATTAATAGAATTCAAAAAATATCTCACGAATATTGGCCATATGTTGTCTTTAACAACTTTGGTATTTTCAACTGTTAGAACATAGAATATTTGTGTGTATATTCGAAAGCGATAATATTCGAGTTCTAAAGTTTTGTGCTCTGCTGAGACATTTAATCGATAGTGAATATGTCGCACCTCAAATCCTTAATTCGTTTGAATGTACATTTTTTATCACCACGTAGTACTAGTAATAAAAACAATCGTGTAATTTTAGCAGCGGATAGAGAAACAACAAGCAAATTAACAAACTCGCTGCTGAGCAACTGGTTTGACCAGATCACCTCTGAAAATATATGAAGAGTCTGTGCCTTCATTATCAGTATCAACCTGTTCTGTTCTATGTCGACTTACATTATTTATTCAAATGAACAGATATCACTAGAAATGGGTCTGAAATGGCAGTTGGCTGACTGAGGGTTTCATTTTGTTGTCAGCATACCACGAACTGGCAGCATAGCAATAAGCAATTCTATTAAAATGTCAACTAACTCTGCTCCTATCGATACACAGCCAATACTCTACTCGTATTGGCGTAGCTCGTGCTCCTGGCGTGTTCGGATTGCGATGAATCTTAAAGAAATACCCTATGACATCAAGCCTATTAGTCTCATCAAATCTGGGGGCGAGCAACACTGCAATGAGTATCGCGAGGTAAACCCTATGGAGCAGGTGCCGGCACTGCAAATTGGTGAGCACAGCATATGCCACAATTTTGTCAAAAAGGTCTCTAAATTTGTTTAACCTCCGTGTAGATGGACATACACTGATCGAGTCAGTGGCTATTATGCACTACCTGGAAGAGACACGCCCCCAGCGTCCGCTATTGCCGCAAGATGTACACAAACGAGCCAAAGTTCGCGAAATAATTGAGATAATTTGCTCTGGTATTCAACCACTTCAAAACCTAATTGTTCTAATCCACGTGGGCGAGGAAAAGAAGAAGGAATGGGCACAACATTGGATAACGCGTGGCTTCCGTGCCGTGGAGAAGGCACTGTCCACCTCGGCAGGCAAATATTGTGTGGGTGATGAAATCTCAATGGCTGATTGCTGCCTTGTACCACAGGTATTCAATGCCAGAAGGTAAGTCCCACATAATTAGAATTCAGATAAAATGAGGCTTAAGACAATCTTCCTTAGATTCCACGTAGATTTGCGCCCATATCCCATTATATTGCGCATTGATCGTGAGCTGGAGAGCAACCCAGCATTCCGAGCTGCCCATCCTTCCAATCAACCGGACTGTCCACCGGAGCTGCCAAACAAATAGAATTTTCCGACGACAACTGCAAAACGCCGTAAAACGAAAAAGTGAATTGCAGTTCGTAAAACAAGCAAATATATAACTCAACAGAGAGAAATAAACATTTTTGGAGCTAGAGTCAGATAGAGAAGAGGCGAGATTTGATTCAAAGAAACAGTCGGATGTGATTTAAAAAATTGCTAACAGCATTTAACTATGCATAAATGCATAAAAATACTATCGATAAAAATAAAATTTTAAATGGCATGCTAACAAATCAATATTAATAATTCTCAAAACAAAAACAAATAAAAAATACAAAATGTATTTTCTTTAGTTTTCAATATGTAAAATGGTCTAAAAGATAAACTCATATATAAACGTATTTTTATGAATTTTATTTAGGCTAACAGGAGAAAAAAATTCAAGAAGAACACATAATGAAAAGCAAAATTTAATTCAGGGATTTAAAAAGCAAAAATAGTTTAAGTGCAAATTTACATTACCATTATAAACCAAAATGCGCAAATATATAGAAGTATGCATACATATGTAAGTTAAAAATGTTGGGCGCTTTACAAGGAACTTTTTGAAAAGTACAAAACTTCAGTCTACTCTATTAGCAGGCATTCTGATTATAAAATAAAGAACAACTGAAAAATACAGAACATTTTTAAATTAAGGATACCTAAATACCATAACTTACATAGACATCAAATCCGGTGACAAAATATTACAATAAACAATGAATGTCTCTTTGCTACCAAAATTGTATTAACAAGCTAAGTGTGAAAACTGTATTTCCTTAAATTAAAAGCACTAAACAAACTATAACCCAGTGAATTAAATGCACAAAATTAAATGTACGTAAATTACTCGTTTCCTTTTTGAAACACGCATTCATCGATCCTCATATCGAATTGAGAGTCTATCCTATAGATTTAAACAAACCGCCTGATTTCGCATACAATTAGACTATGTTAATATCCATAATATTGTAACAGTTCCAAATATTAACTACATATGTATTTAACAAATAAACTTCTCACTTAACTTTATTCAGTCGATCGTTTGTATTTCATAAATATCGATTTTGGCTTAATTCTTAAATGAACGTAGTATCGCACGAATGTATGCATTTTGTATCGATAGTTAATCGGTAGTCGGTTAACAAAGTGTATTGTTTTTATTATATGGCTATATACAGCCATACACCGCATATAAGTAATATATTCCATCTTTATCATCGGAAAAACATATCAAAGAGATTTGCTGATAGTAGTCACAATTTTCTTAAAGTTGAACACCGGTACAAACTACCGCAACAAATTTATCCGTAACTTTCGAGTATTTGCCTTTACACTATGAGTGCATTCAGAAAATCTATAGCAAAGTGCATGTATTTGGCTGAGAGTGGAATACGCAGGTCCAGTTCTATGGTTTCCCCCGATACAAAGCCAGTGCTTTACTCGTATTGCTACAGTTCTTGTTCCTGGCGAGTACGAATTGCATTGGGATTGAAAAAGATACCTTATGAAATTAGGCCTACAAGTCTTGTTACGAATAGAGCTAATGAATTCACAACCTACACGAATGAGTACCGAGAACTAAATCCTATGCAACAGGTACCAGCGCTACAAATAGGTAAGTATCCTATGTGCCTTAAGATGGCATAATTTTTGGTAGTTTCAATATTTCTTTTACTCGTGTTTAGATGGACAGACACTATGCGATTCTGTGGCCATTATGCATTACCTGGATGAAACACGACCGCTGCATCCGTTGTTGCCACAGGATCCGCACAAGCGAGCCAAAGTGCGCGAGATTGTTGAGATTATATGCTCTGGTATTCAGCCGCTGCAAAACCGACTAGTATTGTCACACCTGGGCAAGGACAAGAGCAGGGAGTGGGCGCAACATTGGATATCACGTGGCTTTCGTGGTCTGGAAAAGGTGCTTTCGCTCTCATCTGGGAAATACTGTGTGGGCGATGAAATATCCATGGCTGATTGCTGCCTTGTTCCACAAGTTTTCAACGCCAGAAGGTGAGTTTGAGCATCATAAAGACGTAATATTTCTTGCATTTCAAACCTCTTTCAGGTACAAAGTTTCCTTGGATCCTTATCCTACAATTTTGCAGCTCGACCACAGTTTGACTACTAATGAAACTATTCGCGCCAGCCATCCACACAGTCAACCAGACTGTCCGCCGAAGTTGGCAAATAAATAAAATATTATTTTAAACAACTCATAATCCACAAATTCGTCTGAATTCCACATCCACCTGTAATTCTCTTAACTATCTAGTTATGCCTGCATTTAAACGAAGCGAATCAACAAATAAAATTGTCTTTAATATTATTGTCAATTTTTTTATCTTATATTGTTGTAAACTATGAAATCGACTTTCTGCGTTAAATTAAAAATTCCAGCATTACAAATACACTGACTAAATAAAATTAAAATTCCAGGAATATCAGGCTAAATGGCTATAGGCATCTATGGGGTTGCGTTTCATAGAATCCCTTTAGAATACAACTACTACAACTAAGCGAGTTTAGGATGTCCGCTTTTCGATTATATATTCGCTTGGTTGAGATCAGAAGGCGCTGATCGATGCCAGCGCAAAATAAAACATATTTAAATTAAAAAATAAAGAATGTCCGCAAAGTCGCTTGTATATTATGTAACCCCTTAATTTATTCTTTTTGAAACTGCGACCTTTTGTCTACTGAGGTTTTTGAGTTTGCAAATGTCCTGGTTATTGGCTACATTCTTTTTTTAAAGGCATCAGTAAAATGAGAATAAATATTTAAAGAAAAACCACATTTTTTTTAATATATTCTTTATTAGTTATGTTTTGTTTTTATTTTTATATAATCTTTCTTAAATGAGTAATTCATGTTATTTGTATGTGTATTTTATAACTCTTTATGTACCATGACTTGGATTTTTACTTTACAATTACTTCTGTTTATTCATTACGGATCTTTTAGTACCTCATACAAGTATGTGACATTTCGTGTATGTATTTGTATATATATGTACTCAACAAATTTGACTATAACTACTATTTCATACGTATGCGCCAGACGCACATCATAACATTACCATTAGTATTACATTCAGTAGAATGTCATATCGACACATCGGACCTACCTAGCTTTATATTTGCTTTCTATAAATTGTATCCAGCCTGCCGCTGTTTATCTCTGTTGCGCTGATCTTGAAGAGCTTTTTGCAAATTCAATTCGAGTATGAATTTCTTAGGTTATATGTACTATGCATTTGTATATAATTATATGTAGATTACTATTTGTTGTATACTTTTGGATTTGGGCGGTCCCGTTAGAGCCTCTTGCCAAATTGTACAAGATCTGATTTATTATTAGAGTAGGTTCAAAATTACGTGTTTTTTTTTAAATTTGAATGATCTACGTTACCTTTTGATTTTTATTTTTTAACACTTTCTAGACTATTTTTAGCTATCATTTTTTGCATTTTTCATAAACAAAGAGACGTCAAGAAATGAATTTCTGGGTTACTTGTATGAAGATTGTGTGTGAGATATAATATATAGATTTTAAATTCAAGTAAAATAATAGATAAATATATTTATAAAATCTTCTGCTTCGCTAGCTGAACCTCATCTTTAGAAAACTTCAATCGATTATAAATTTTAATAGAGCATAACTAAATATCATCTATGTTTTGTTTTAAATTTTTTATTTATTTTTATTTATTATTTATTTTATTTTATTTAATTATTGCATTTTGTTAATAATTAAGTTTTCTTGTTTGTTATTTTTTTCTCGATACCTTGCTCGATATTTTGTTGCTAAAATTTTTTTTAAATATTTTGCTAATATATATAAGTAAAACTTTAATATTTATTCGTTTTGTTTAGTTTTTTTTTTGTTTCGCAGTAATTAAATACATACTTATTATCGCTATTTAAACAACATATCCTAGGCCGCACATGGTGTTGCACTATGAGCACGTACCAAACAATTTTCATTCTACTTATTGGGTTTGTTAAAGAGCCGCAGTATTGCACCTACTTCAAGATTATATTCGTGTGTATACATACATTCAATTTATACATCCTCTATTTTACAATTCATTTGGTAATTCATTCACTTCATCTCTTTTTGTCATTATTTTTATCACAGTCAAATCATAAAAGATTTAGTACTTTTACTTTTGAATGAGTTTCCATGATGTTTTGCTTGCTTGAATGTTCTGCGATTACGAGAATTTCAAATGACCACCGTTCAATTGAGGTTTTTGCTTCAAATTTTAAAATTGCATTTAGAGTTCGTTTCTTTGTATTCGTAAAGTGCAAATGAGGTTCGACAATTTTGTGTGAAAAGTGTTAATCCTTTGCTTATCTTCGTCATAATTTGAATATTCATGTTAGTAAGTAGTTGACTTTGTCTAAGAAATGTTGAGGAAAGTGTTAGTTTCTATATTGTTTATATTTGGTGTTGCTGATTTAATTGTAAAATCTAGTGGCTTGTATAACAGCTTCAAAAGAAATCCCACACGTTGTTTTGCATTGTTGCAAACTATTGCGATTATTTGCAATTGCAACAGTTGTAAGTACACAACGTGAAGGCAACGTTTAAACTTTGTCTATTATTAGTTATGTTTTTCATCCTAAGGTACTCACGTATGCTTCTACTATCTTAGGTTTCCATTTATTGAAATCTACGATTTTTATTAAGAAGACTAAACAAAACATTGATTTTCCACAAACGTTTACTTTGGCCTTACAACTGACTGACGTTATTATGAAATTAAAATTATTGTAACTATGTTGTTAAATTGATATATCAAATATAAGAAGGTCTCGTCTGACTGTGACACTGTTAAATGAATTATTACCTATGATGTGACAGTATCATGCGTACATAATTTTTGTTTCGCCATGAGATATATGCAAACATACATATATATATGTTGACTTCACAAATCTGATTAAAGCATTTAGATTGCTTTAATGCTTATATTAAACCAATGAGCGCAAGTCTGCGTTGCTTAAATGAATGGATGACAAACATCGCTTGATGACAAATAAATGTTGCAAGGTTTTGAGCTGAGTTGCACATTTTCCCGCGAGGGTACTTAGTGGAAAGTACAAGTCGGCACAGCACCATTGGATGCTCGTTTTGTATCAACTTTAATCCTTTTACTTGTATGAATTAAATAATAATAATGTTATGTATCACGCTAACAGCTATTTTTGTATAGTATGTATGCATTTACTGTGTATGTATATATATATATATATATATTGTATATTACACACATACATATAAATATATACATATAACAAATATATTGTTAAATATTTTAATAGCTTGGGTTTGTTGCCGAACTTGAACAGGGTTTCTTCTTATTATTGTTGCCAATACATTTTAATAGACGCAATGGCAAATGGAGGCTTGTATATATGAATGTCTGAATATGTATGTATGTAGCCATATATCCCACATACCTTTCGGTTTCTAGAATGGCATCATCATACCCGACATTTATCGCATTATGTAATAATATCGCATATATTATAAATCTGTAACGTTTCGTCTTTCCAAAAGATTTATATTATTTCCATTTGCACTTGTTATCGGTATATGTATATATAGGTTTATTAATGTGTGTGCATATATTTATATATTATCTGTATATAAATATATGTGTTATTATGCATATAATTGTTAAATTGTCCTAATAACAGTGTGGAGGCAAAGCATAACAAATTATAAGTAACAACTTTTTGTAGAATTTACATACTACTACATACGTATATATGTATTTTTATGATTTCTTTACCATACAAGCAAAACAAAACTGATTTGATTGTTAAATGTAACATCCTTTTGCACTTATTATATAATTTTATTTTATAATTTTTTTATTATTTTTTATGTTACAGAGCAAAAACTGCGGTTCAATTATATTATATAACATATTTTTCGATTACTTGCGCTCTTCCGATTCTTAGTTAAATGTTTTTGTTTTTTAACCATTTAAGTCAAGTTTGAAATATTTGAAATACGTAAATATATAGTTAATAAAAGTTGTTTCTTTTTTTTTTTTACTAGTTAAACTCTAATAGACTCCGTCGCTGAAATAACAGCATTATATTTTACCATTAAATAACTTTTATAAAACTTGCGAAATAAAATATGCGTACGACGCTCCGAAGAATTTATAAATGAGTTTTTAGCTAGTATAGGGGTACCGCGGAGGTTGACGAGTGGTGACTGTTGTTATGAGAAATATGACTGATTAATATGTAGACCGTTCGATTTGATGTTAATTATCTGATACTCGTTAAAGCAATCAGTATTATCTTGGATTATGATTTTTCAATATGATTTCTGGATAACTAAAGCTGGCCTTATTATACAGCAAAAACACAAACGCATTTTAGAAAAAAAATCTATATAATGTTAACAAGCATAATCACGTGGACTGTCCGGCAGGATAGGACCCAGAGCGCAGCATTTTGTCTTCTTTTTCATCACACACAGTCGATCTTGCATCGGTCGGCATGAAGGCGTGGCATATCTAGACATGGGTTTCATTAACACTGAATCGGGCATTGATTTGGCTTCGATTTGGGGACAAGAAGAAATATTCGGACATTCGGAACGATCAGTGCAAGGCTTTGCTTAGAAAATGACAAACGCCACGCTGCTTTAGTTGTTTTTATTTGTTTTGCTTCTGAAGGAAAGCTTTTCGTCATTTCAGAATAAATTAATTATTTCATAATTAATTTCATGTTTCGTTTTAATCGATATTTATATTTCATATTTTTGCTTGTTTTCTCTTTTTTAAATACATATCACAGATCCAGTGCAAATATACATAAATATATATATTTGTTTTATTTTTTGTTTTCTCTACTTTAACTTTAGATACCGTATAAAACTCATACATTAAACATAACTCAGTGAGCAGGCGCATATGATCCTATTTAGTACGACCAATGTGTATGCAACGTGTATCTATGCATATATGTGTGTATGTATTTAGGTGTGGGCATATGTGTGCGTGTGCGGATGTGAGGTAACTGTGAATATGCCATGTGCCTACGCATGCTGCATGTACAAATGAACTGTTGTATGCATGGCGCCTTTGCTTGTCTCTGGTTTGCCATGACAAAAAAGACGATAAAATGTACGAATTTTGTTGTTGTTTCTTGTATTTGTTGTTGTTAGGGGTCAGAAGTTGGTTTAGTGTCTTATGCTTGTTCTGATTTTGTTGCATCGAACACTTAAGTTTGTGGTATGCGATATTGTGGCTGTAGAATTGAATGTTGTCGTTGTAGTCCTTATTGTTTGCTCCTTCTTTTGTATCTTACAATTTTATTGAGGGTCTATTTTTTTTTAAATTTAACTACACTCTGTACGCCTTGTTTCTCTTACTATCAATTAATAATTATGTAAAAAGGTAATTATTATTCATAAAATAGCGAACAGAAATCTCCATTTTTCTTTTCTTTTCTTTTATATTTTTTTTTTTTTTTTGTCAAGGCACACTAGCATTTTCGACTGTACTTTCAATATTACTTTAAGTTTGGATTTGTTTGACTTAAGATTTTGTTTGTTAAACTTGTCACAATTTGGTTTTTACGAATATTGTAACTATTTAACTCTTTTGGCGCATATTTATTATTATTCTTATAATATTTATATAAATATTGCACAAATAAGAACAAATGAAGGTAAGCTTTAACAATAATAGCAAAAAAAAATACAATAATAATGTGAACAACTTTTCAACTTATTTTGATAAACTTAGCTTAGAATCGGGTTTCTTTTATTCTTGAGCGTTTTCAGTGATTGTATTGTTGTATTGAACTGAACTGAAGTTAAAACTTATATAGAGCTGAGCTGAGAGATTGATTAATTGACTGACTGACTGACTGTTGATTTGACATGATAATGTTGCAGAATTGTTTAGAGTACGCTGTTAGTGGAGCTGTGGTTGTGAGTGGTGATTTATGCGCCATGTGCCGGGTGCTTTCAATTAAACACATTAAAATGTTGGTTTATTTCGTTTTTGGCAATATTTTATTTAAGATTTGTATATTTATATTTGTTTTATTAATAAAATTAAACTTTAGAGTAAATAATGTGGCGCCGAAAGTAAAACAATATATTTCATTACAGGTAAATCATATATATCCATGCGTTTGTATGTTTATGGGGGCTTCCATGAATTAAACAAATTCAAATGTGATGTTTAAATAACTCTTTGCTTTGCAATGTTTGGTTCTTTTGTGGATTCTTGTCTATATAATATGAATGTATATAAAGTACAACGAGTTCAAAATGTATCCAAAATAATGGGTAATAATTGCACAATACTTAATAATTAATAGTGGTATCTTTTGGCCGATTTGGTGTATGTATGTTTATTTTACAGAGATATTGATTTATTTTTTAAGATAAAGTTACTTGTGATGCTTTAGGTGAAAAAGAAAATAGGTAATACTTAAGATTAAAGTGTATGTATGAAAAAATAATGGTGGAAACCTTTCCAAAAACAGAATATAAGTATGATGATTGTAACAAAATGCCAAACGGTTTCATTCTATTGGGGACGAAAAAAAAAATATTTATATATATATATATATATATATATAAATAAAAATATATATATAAATATAATATATATATATATATATATATATATATATATATATCTTTAAATATAAAAACAAGGGATCCGTACCAAACTGGAAATTAAAAAGTCGCAATTTGTTGCTTACGAAACAGACGTGTAAAATATATGAGGATTAACAAATTAGGGGCATAAAACCAATATCAAAAAGGAGACTCACGTGCGCGCTCAAAACATTAACACCACTTGTTTGGTATAATTTGTACCACTCTTTCGAAAATTAAACAACATTATCATGATCAACATTTTAACAATATCATAATAGAATATTAAGGGCTAAAAACGTAATATTTAAGAAACATGTGTGTGTGTATATATACAAATATATAAACATAGCAATAAGCACAAAAGGGCAACAACAGAAAACAGAAACAGAAACAGAAAACAAGAAACGCAATAAGTTTTGTCTTTGAGGTAAAAAGTGTTTCAAATAGTAATCACTAGCCTGTCAAGCGTTCATTTTTTGTTTGTTTTAGGTGTATTTGTTGTATATATTTTATAGCATATACATATGTACATATGCATGTGAATGTGTGTAGTAAAATATTTACCTTATTTGGACACCATTTTGGAAAATCACCTGAAGTTTTCACTGAAAACGCTCTCATTACACAAACATATCCATTTTTTAGTCTCAACATAATGCTAATTTACTCGCTTCAATTGTGAATATGTGTATAGGTGTATTATGCATAAATGTGTGTGCGTGTGTGTGTGTGTCGTGTCGTGTCGTGTATTTTCTGTAATATGAACACGAGTCAACAATTAGTGTATAAAGTGCATATATGTACATATGTGCATACATATACATACATGCCTTTCTATATGTAAGCGCAGCAAACTTATGAATATATAAATATATATGTGAATATAAATCAATATATATTTATGTATACATCTGATAGGATTAAGCATATCAGAGTGCCCAAAAGAAAACACGCAACATTTGACAACAACTAAAAAAGGCAGGAGAAATATCATCACAAGTGTACCTCGCAATACCTTGGTCAAATTTAAAAATATATATATATGTATATATATATATATATATATATATATATATATATATATATATATATATATTTATATGCTGAATTTGTTTGGCACTCTATATAAATATATATATATATTATATAAATATATATATATATATATATATATATATTTATATAATATATATATATATTTATATAGAGTGCCAAACAAATTCAGCATTATGATAAATCGTAGTTTTTTTGTCAAATCAAATTTGCTAAGGGTTCGAAATCATTTCTCTGGGGTTCTCTTACTAATCATTTTATCAATAGTTGCAACGCATTGCTAATGCCTTTTTTAATGTGTATTTGCTTGTGTGTTTTTGTTTTTATGGCTACTGCTGACGTTATTTGTTGTAAATTAGCTTCTTTTTTCCTTTTTATTTATTGTGTTTTAGGCTTAATCTCCTTTAGTTTTCTTTGCATTTTGTTTGTTTTTTTTGTTAGTTTTTTTTCTTTTTATAAATGAACCGTTCTTTGAGGAAATGCGTTTTAATAGGGGATAGTTGTTTGTTGTTGTTTTTTGTTGTTGTGCTGCTTGCTTGATTGCTTGATTATTAATTCACAACAGTGGTTAATGGAATTTGACGCGCCCTCTTTGTCTCCTCCTCGTTGATTTTTTGTTCAATTAGATACTGCGCTTTGGCAATGGCACTCGGCTGACCAGTTATGGTTACAATGCGATTTCTAGTGCCAGGTGCGAATATGCCCTTTTTGGAAATTTGCACATTCGCGCCAGAGACATGTTGAATTTCAACTAAACTACGACCGTTCGGACCTGGAATATTTGCATCAGATTATGTTAAATATTATAGTATATAATTGTATATGTATGTGTGTAGGTAATTTAAGGCATATGAAATGTGTCTGTGTAAATACCAAGATGTTGGAAAACACAATCTGGAAACATATTAAGAGCCAATTAAGCTAAACCAATACGAATATGTAGCTTAACCTAAAGATCTAAACAAACCGACACTGACATTGAGGTAATTACTAAAAAAGTAAACAAATAAAAATTAAACCCAATAATTGCACTATTCCAATGAATATAATATAATATTCTAGGTATTTACATATTCAATATTGACAAAAAATTCGTTGTGCCTTAAACGTTCTCATCGTATTGCCCACTCCTAATTACAAAATTAATATATATACTGGGTGAGCGAATTTTCAACTTTCAGCAGAAATGGCATGTGGCATCATATGGATCATGGCTGGTGCTATGTGTGAGGGGGCAAGAAGTTGACTAGAAATTTCGCTAAATATTTGTGTAATTGGGAATGCCTTAAGGAATGCTCATGCAAAACAGTCAAGCAACTGCCTGCCAAGGAATGTATAATGGCTTGGTTTTTTTACGTCTATGTCTATAACTAAAACTAAATCCTACCATTAAGTAATCGCAAGGTTAAACAGAAAATAGGCAAAGGGGCTTGGGCATGGGAATTGGGAATTGGGGTCGGGGAGTGCTGAAAACGATTTGAAGTGTCTGCTTGTTGGTATTATTGTCGGTTTTAGTAGGAATAATAGAAAGGTTGCCCACCTAAAACAGCGCCAATAATCACTTCGGGCACCTCAACGTTCTTGGTATCCTTGGCACCCAAATCACCAGGAGTGGGGCTCTTGCTAAGACCGCCTATCGAGGCGGCAGCTCCCAGTTGCGCGCTGGTCACCGTACCGGTGGCAGCGGTCAGTCCAAAGCTGTTGTTGTTTAGAGAAACGGGCGTGGCCGCAGGCGCAGTGGCCGAGCCCATATGGCGGAATGAATCAAATTGCACCTCCAGCTGAGACTGCGTTGGCCGACTGGCCGCCGCAGCAGCGGCCGCCGCGGCGGCATACTCAAAGTTAACCTGGCCGACAGCGCCGAAAACATTGCTCGCTGAGGCCGCCGTGGCCGCGGCCGCGGTTTGCTGATCTAGCGTCGTCACGCCCAGATAGTTGCCCAGTGTAGGATGCGCGCCATTGGCGTGTGGTACGCCCAGACCCATGCCCAGCACGCCGTACTTTGCTAGCACACCGAGGGCCGCGCAGACATCAGTGGTGGCGGTCTCTGCGTAACCAGCACCTCGCATGGCAACCTGCATGCAAACAGATGAGTATTGCCGAAAATGTTGATTAAGTAAAGCCAAAATGACGTACCTTAATGTGCTCAAGCAACTGTGTGGCAACTGCCAGATTGGGCGCTGGGTTGGGTGCACCCAGGTTGAGGGATAAGTTAATGCCTGCGCCATTGACCAACAGACTGGTTGCAGTACCCGCACCGCCGATGGCCGTGCCTATCGTAGAATTCAGCGAGGCGGTACTTGAGTTGATGGCATTCTGATTGGTGGCATAGGGTGAACCGGTTGGATTGAAGTTGGCAACGGGTCCGTTAACGTCGGCGTAGGACACGTTCAGGCATGTGCCCGACTGCGGATCCTCCACTATTTTGGAGAGTATCATTTTGCAGGCGTTCTTGTTATTTTCCTTGTCGCCGATAATGGTAATACAACGCTCCTGCAGTGATACATCCTTTGGCTTTTGCGAAATCTGGACATAGGAACCACTTTCCTCCTTTATCTGCTTGATGAAGGCGCCGCCCTTGCCAATGATCATGCCAGCGGTCGAATTGGGCACCAGTATTTTAACTTGCTTATCACGTTCCTGTGCCTGCTTAGACTCGGCATCAATGATTTTTGTAGTCAAGTCGGGCTTCTCCCTTATTTTGTCCATTATAAAGTCCACCACAGTCATGATACCATCCACAGAGCCGGTGATTAGGCAGACGCGCTCAGTAGTACCTGCGGAATAGGGATGGGGACAGGAAAAATCTTGAGTACCGCACTCAATTGTAATAGCATTAGCAACTCACCTGGATAAAAATCGTGAGACTTGGACATCTTGACTCTAGCACCCGTGTCCTTTTGCAGCGAGGCGATCGTCTCGCCCCCCTTGCCAATAATGGCTCCGGAGGCCACCGCAGGCACTAGTATCTTCATGTGAAATGTGGTATCGCCTGCAAGTCAAAAAAACAGTTCACAGTGCAACCATTGATTAGTGTTCACATTTTCAAAGGGATTCGGCACATTGCAGTTGTTTGTAACTTTAACTGGAGTGGGTGGAACTCCATTTGGTATAGCACATTTCTGGTAGCTGCTCAGCAGGTTATAAATTAAAAATAATAACAGCATTTGGTATTCGACCGTTCGGCAGGACGCGCGCAACGAGACTATTTTTTTGAATCGAATTAGTTGAAGTTGAAATTTATGTTTGAATTTTCGTTTGGTTTAGTTTAGTTTGTTATGATGGGGCGTTTATGGTTTTGGAGTGGCGGGTGTCGATTAGGGGTGTTGGGCGGGTCGTAGTGGGGACATGCATATTGATAACTGTTCGTGTTGCAGCTGTTTTCTACTGTGGAAGTTCATGTTGTCATGTAAATGCTGTAGTGGTTTTAGCTGGCAAGCCATGAGAGTGGAATACGCTTAATGAGGATGCAACACACGAAAATGCTGGCGAGGCGAGACGCATGAAAAGCCCAAACCAAAAAAACTGTCCCACAAGCAATAGTCCAAAGCTCAAATGTTATTAAATCGGTCATACAGTCAGACAGTTTATATTGGTCAGCTGGTCAGGGGTTAATGGGCTGCCCGTTCGTCAGATTCGTTGGGTCAGAGCGTCGAATTGATATCAGCTTTCGTTAGACAGTTGATAAGAGGTTCAGCTTAAGCAGTGACAGTCTCAGGTTCGACAAAAGCAGTAAGTAGGAATAAGAGAGAGAGAGAGAGAGAGACAGAGACAGAGTAAGAGAGAGAGACAGATAGAGAGATTAAAGACACGCACAAAACGAAACAGTTTGGAAATGTACAGATTTTTCGCTGCGTTTTGCATTACATAGATGAATGTTAATGGTATTTAATGAAAGTATGACAAAGCTTACCATGATGATTATGATTATTGTTATTATTTTCAATTTCAACCTCAATTCCAGAACAAACTGACTCACCTAAAACGAAATAGAGGTAAAAGATATCACATTAGATAAATTATACAAATGATAATTACATTAATTACATTTATTAGACAAAGGCAAAGATTGCAATTAAACGACATCATTCTCTCTGTGTCTGTTATATGTGTGTAGGTGTGTGAGTGTGTGTTTGTGAAAGCATTGGACTGTCAGTACATGACCGAAGCCACATCCCAAGCAAGATGAAATAATTTTCAAAACCCAAAGAATTATACAGAACCGAAATTAATTGTAATGTTGTGAATATGATAGATCGATAGATAGCCAATTATGTGATAACACGAGCATGCAGTCAGAATGGCTTTGCTTTAAATTCATTATAGTCAAAGCAGTCTGTACCTCAGATTGCAGCAACAATCAAGTAAACAAACAAATTTCAATTAATAAAATGTGTCAAGCGAAGATGCTCTATTACCGAAAACAATCGGTCAAAGCAAAACAAAAAAACAAACAGCACACTCGATACACCTGACTGACTGCTCGCCTACCCAGCCAACAAACCCCTCTGACACTCTGAGATGAGCGACTTGACGTCTGCTTGTCTCGCTAGTTTTAATTTTAGGCGATCCGCTTGATAATATCCCCACGTTCCATCGCACAGTATAATTGAAATCTGTGTCGTCCACTTACAGCAAAGTGTCCTTCAAATACTATTTCTCTAATTAGATACAAGCGGTGAAATGAGGCGAACATCTGTCAGCAAGCCAGAAAGTAGAACTAGTGCCTCTCGTAGCTCTTGGCTCGGGCATGTCACGCCACAAATATGCACGTCTAAGGAAATGTGGCAACCCTGCCAAGAATTGAGCCACTGCGACATGTGTTCAACCCACCTAGAATGCCTGACCCAAGCGGGTTGCCCGATGCCTATCGGCGGATTGCGGCATTCTCATCTGCGAGTCTAAAAAAACTGACAGACAGCGAAAAAAACGGAAAAAACAGCTAGCGCTGTGCGCCAAGCCGTACAACAGCTTATGACCGAAAAGTGAGATATGGCCCAAAAGTGCAGTCAAACAAAGGTGAAGTCTGTTGCCACATTGGTTTTTTGAGCCAAAAAGAGGACCGGAACGCAACGAGCAGCTCGCAATACTCTTGTTTTTATGCCAGTTAGTGTTGAGCAGCAGTTTAAATTATGTCTTTGTTATAAATAACTCTGGCAACGTACGCGTTCGGGCACTACTGCGAAAAGAGGCGTGGCACCTTACGCTAATTTCCTATGCATACTCGAGTCGCAACAGCGACTAGGCTAACGACCACAACCCTCTCCAACAGCCAATCTGTTGCACGCAAATTGTTGAAGCAATGCCGCAGAAAGTGGCTGTCGCGTATCACGCAACGTATACTTAATGTGGAATGGACTAAAATCGATACCCAAAACTACTTATGTTAATACTGCTGTAAGGGTGTGTAAATATGTGGGTTGTCGTTATGTTTATTGTATGCTGGATAATGTGTGAATATTATTTCATTATTTATCACAAGTTGAATAAAATCCTTTTACTTTTTCTCTAGCTTTTTTTTTGTGTTTGATGCATTTTGCTGTAATTTTTCTGTTGGTGGCAGCATTTAATTGGCATTTTTTTGATGACTCGACGGCAGCTACAGATGTTGAGATGTTGAGATGGTGACATGGTGATTGATTGATTGATTGATTATTGTAGTTGTTGTTCTTGTTCTTATTCTCACTGTTGGTAACGAACGCAGAGATAGAGAGCAATATAGAGATACAGAGCGAAAGAGAGCGAGGGCGAGGGCGAAGGCGAGAGCTAGTGTTTCTTTGTGAAATTGTAGATGGGTTGTGTAATACTTAGAAGAAGTTGTGCGCATCTTTTTTTGTAGTTTCTGAATTTGATTGCGTGTTTTGATCAAACTCACCGTAGCACCAACAGGAGGCAGTCTTATAGCTGGGTGATGCTGCTGCCGTTGCAGTTGCAGTTGTCGTTGCAATTGCTGTTGCTGCTGCTGCTGAAGCAGTTTCCGTTGTCTCATGGCTACTTATCTGTTGTAGATGTATATGCTGCTGTTGTACTGCGCTCCCCGCCGAAATTGGTGATGTTCTCAGATCTGGCGTTACATTGGATGAGCCATTGTGATTGAGGGGCTGATGCTGCTGCTGCTGCGATTCCATCTGATTATAATGATGTTGAGTATTGCTTAGATTAGGGTAGTTTTGTGCCGAATTCTGTGGCAGCTGCTGAAGCTGCTGCTGCTGTTGCTTATAGCTAAGAACGGCTAATGAGTATGCAGCATTGTGATTGATACTGCTTGCGCTGCCGTTGCTGTAGCTGCTGCTGCTGCTGCTGCTGCCGCTGGTCAGCGAATGTAAAGATGAGGGCGATGTAGCTGCTTTTATTGTCTTGGAATGTCGTGGCTGAAGCTGATTGTTATAATTTAATTGCGTCATGTGTGTGGGCGTTGAATGCTGATATTGGTATGCATAGTGTTGCAGTTGTTGATGTAACTGTTGCTCTTGCTGCTGCTGCTGCTGCTGCTGCTGATGCTGATGCTCCTGGTGTTGTGGTGTTGCATATAAATCTGTGCCCATCTGCTGGGCCGCCGATTCCATGAACACTTTCATAATACTTTCCATAGCGTGCAAGCGTTAATAACTATTGCTGCTGTTTCTATACTGTTGAAATGTCATTCAGTCTTATATTTGTATACTTGTATGCGACGGAAATAATTTGCTTATTATATCTTTTTAGTTTTTCAATAATATTTCTGTTTTATTGCTGTTGATTTTAATGTGTTTTTTTATTTTGATAAGTTTAACTGCTGCTGCACAGCTTTGCTCTATTCTACGCGTTTCCAATTCAAGAACTTGCACAATAAACGAAAAGAAAAAGAAATAGAAATTGTTTTCAATTAAGCTCAGTTTTTCAAAGTTGGCAATTTCGCTTACAATTTCGTTACATGAAACACACAAAAACATTTTGAATTAAGCAGCTTTTACACGAGTCGAGGAGTGAGAGGCAGACAGAGAGAGAGAGAGAGAGAGATAGAGTGAACCAAGTAAGCAACAGAAACTGCGGGATGGTCAGTTAAACGCCACTGAAGTTGCTTTCAGTGTACAAAACTCTATTAAATATTCAACAATTTAATTTCTGTTAATTAAAAATCGGATTAAAATTTGTTGTAACTTGTTTTGAATTCGGCTTAATCCTTCTCTCGGTTGGCGGTCGTGTAAATGCAGCTTTGAGTACTTGTTTTTATCATGATTTGCTCTTTAAACTAGGCCCTGTGCTGTTGCTCTGCCTTTATGAGGAGACTGCACTATAAAATGATGAGGGTGGCGGTGTGTGGTAGTTATAAGTATAGATCATAGATAGGTTTATAGAGTGGTAGCGCCATTTGGTTTAGTACTAGTTGCAGTGTTTGAGTTGAGTTGAGCTGATTCGATTTGAGTTCAGTTGATTTGATTTAAATTGGTTTGGCTGGGTTGCATTGATTGGATTCAAAAGCAGCGCGCTTGATGAACATTGTAGAAGTAGTAGACGATTAGTTATTTCAATGACGTTGTTGACATGTGGTGTTCTTGGATGGCAATCAAGATGTTTATTGTAATGTTGGTGGTGCTTGGCGGTATATGGCGTTCGACAGTGGGCTTGGTACTTATTAAGTTATAGTGTTCTTATCAATATCTGCGCGTAGTTTAATAATTAATTCAGTAGACAACGCCCACATCAACAAAAACGACAACATCAAAAACATCAACAACAACAACACGAGAGAAATTTATATATACACATACATATATATTTAGACAGAGAGAGAGGGAGAGAGAGAGAGAGAGAGAGAGAGAGAGAGAGAGAGAGAGGGAGAGGGAGACAGAGGGAGAGAGAGACAGAGGGAGAGAGAGAGAGAAAGAGAGAAAAAGGGAAAAAGGGAAAGATCTCCCTTTATGTACGCATATTTTTCTATGCACCTAAAAACACACACACATATTGACAGTTACATAAAGTGATTGAGATATATGCAGACCTATTGATTGATTGATTGACGCCTGAAGTTGCATATCGAGTTATGAAGCGGCGGCAACAGCAGCAGATGCAGCAGCAATTATTGTTGAGTCAAGTGCATTGTTAAGAGATTGATAAGTTGATTGATTGATAGACTGAAATTGATTGCACGATTGATTGCCGTTAAGCAAATAACCGAATAATGACTGATTCGTTTCTGTATTATGTACATAAGTACTTATGTTATAGTAAATACCGATGGCAACGGTTGCTTGATGGAATGTTATCAACTACATTTTTTGGTCCTTTACTTCACTTTATGCTTATGATTATAATAATAATAGGTTGTAATAAAAATACAGTAGTAGTATGTGGCATGTTTTTGCAGTTACAAGTTTTCAGTCTGTGCTATAGATAGTATGTCCATGGATATATAGAGAATAAGATAGTAGTTGTTAATGTTACACAACATCCAAAAATGGTATGGAAGGTGATGGTTTTATACATTTAGAATACGATTACTATGGCAAAAGTTTACCATTCAGCAGTTGAGATAGGTGGATGGTGGATTCGCTCCAGTTTAGTTTCCTTCCGTGCAGTTCAGTTCAGATTAGTTCAATTCAGTTCAGCTGCGACTTGTGTGCTCTTTAGTAGCTCCGGTTGCTGGTTTTAATTCTGCGATGGTATGATCGATTATTTGTAGACCCGCTTTGTAATTGGTTAGCCTGATGGCTCCGATTTTTCAATTATTATTGCGCTTTATATTATTTTTTTTTTTTTAATTTTTTATTCACAACATAGTTTCAAGTTTTTTCCTTTTTTGTTTTCCATTTTTTTTATATCACACTTGAGTTGAGTTTTTATTGATTTTGCGGAAATGCTGCTGTGCGTTGAAGATAATTTATTATGAGAAACAAATTGTAGTGTTGTCGCGATAACAACAACATCGACGTGTGTGTCGGCGATGAATCTTTTCAGAATGTATATATAGATTTTATTTAAATATTTAAATAAAAGTGCATACGTTTTATTTAATTTCGTTTTTTTTGTGTTTGTATTTTTGTGTATAAACTCAAAAGATATAATAGCGCAGCATTTGTGTTTTTTAAATACAAGCACATATGTATGAATATAAATTATTAAAAACTTTAAAACAAGAAAGATGTAAAAAAAAATTTTTTTTAATATATTTATGTATTATGTATATATATGTTCTATTCACAATTACTTAGACAAAAAAGTTAGTGTAATGACCCATTGAAATACGCAAATTGGATTGAATAAAAGAAGCAGTCAGATTTGAACCAAGGTTAGTAGCCATCAAATGACCCAAATCGTAAGCATAGTTTATATATATATATTCTCTCTGTTTACCTTTGCACATAACCATAAGCCAGTTCACCAGCATATAATTACGACATTCTAATCGATGCTAGTCAAATGAACTCAGCTGTAAACAGCGACTGTTTACAAAATCTAAGCAACAACCTTGACATATTTGAAGTTTGGCCAATTACTAACTCCAATTTGTGTGACCAGGAAACGATGTTTTGCTTGGCCAATTGCAATTACGTATACAGAGTAAAAATATTCGAAAATGAGCAAATGCTTCTGTTCATTTAAATGTTAAGCAATGTTCAGTGAAACACAAAAACAGTTACCAAAAAAATATATATATATGTATATATATAATAGCCCACTCATTTAGAAAATTATATACATATGATGTGGTTTCGTTATGTAGCTAAATGCTGGTTAGCCAATAAAACAAAGCAGAAAACGTTAATATATTCGAATTTCAGCTAACATTGACACACACTCGACACACACATACAGCAGACTATACCGAAAGGTGGGCGTGTAAAACAACAACCACTATGACAGCAACAATGGAAACTAAATTATGTGTGAGATCATCTTCCAGACCTTGTGGTGTACACGATATGGCCACAATTGATTTATCTTGGGGAAGTCACAAATTTTAATTAACCCCTCCATAAATATAAATAAAATAAACTAAGTAATAAAATTAAACTATAAGATTTAGTCGGCAGAATGCGTGCCCGCGTCGTCTTTTGCCAAATGACAGAAATTAACAACTGGTTGCCAATAGCCGTCCACTTCGATACCTGCTGCTGCTTCTGCCATTGCTGATACTATTACTACTGGTCATATTACACAATGAAATCAAAGCCAGAGCTGAACTGATTGGCTGGAATCGGTATTGGAATAGGGGTTTGGAGTCTGCCTGGGCATATATAAGCCACTGAATTTCTATCACGCATTTATTTTCGAGCGATATTTTCGAGGTGTTTTGCATTGTCAAATGAGCTGGCTAGCAAAAAAGCAACAACAAAATAACGTAAATGGCCCATACGTCTGGCTCTGATGAATGGAGTACAAACACTGACCGCTCTCTGCTGGCTGTCAAGGTCGTTTCTATATATTTCTGGCTTCTTCATTCTTAATTACATACATACATGTTGCCCACACTCAAACGTTTGTCAAGGTTATGTTTTGCTGACAATTGCTTTCCGCTTTTTGAGTCGAAACTCCGACACAGCCATTTCAAAGTAACTCTGCAATAAAACTACCCACACTCATTTTCGCAATACCTCGCTTCTTTTATGTTTTGAAAATAAACTTTTCACATCGAAGAATATCGTGTAAGGCGATATTATGAATCCCGAATTAATTTCAAGGTATTCAAAGGAGAATCTGATGCTCAAGTAGGTCGTTACTCCAATTCGATCAAGCTTCCAACTTCAACTCCAACTGCTTCTTCGTGTCAATGTCAATAGGTATGTTATTTTTTGTCCACTAAGTCTGTCTAGTTTTGGTAATATTATAATGCAGCTGACATTGAGCTAAATTTGCCTCAACTTCGAATCGAGGAATTTTGTAAGCAAATGCTTGCTTTCGAATTTATTCCACATACTCGTTTGACGTGTCGATGTATTCGAATGGTTGCTTTGAGCTACGATCACGTATTGAATTGAGTAAACAAAAGTCAGGGAGGGAATGAGTGAATGAGTGTCTGGCTGACAGAAGTACTTGCCTTGCTAGGGCTGAAAACTGATGACAGCTTTCGAAAGAAAATGAGACTTAGACACTAAGATTGTCACATTGCGCATACGCAGCGTGGATCCAGATATATACATGTGGCTAAGCTATTGACTGACGTCTCTGCTCATGTGATTAAGTTCTTAATGAAAATCACAAATACAACCAACTAGGCAAAGCCAAAGGCAGACACCAAATTAGATAACAAAAATATATTCGCTTACTGGCCGGGCTGTTGTTATTGCGATTCGACAAATTGCAGCAACGATGCTAATTAACAAGGTCATTGAGTAATTTTTAACTGCAAGCGATACCGAGCTCTTATATGTGCATCTATGTGTTATACAAACACAGCTGGGTGTGGGTTTTTTTGTGTGTTCGTGTGTGTGTGTGTGTGTGTGTTGTGTATGTGTATAACTTAAAACTGCACTTGAAAACACATACACAATTGTTGCGGCGGCGTCAATTGCTGCTGCGGCTGCTGATGATGATGTTGAAGCGGCTGCTGTTGTTGCGTTCTGCCAAACAGCATGCTGGTTACTTGACAGCCAATTTAATTGTACTAACAAAATTGCTGGGCGGATGAAAGGCGAAACAGCGAGGAGCGAGCGCAATAACTGAACGACGATCGGCAACGGCGCGCACTGAAACCGCACTGAAGAATTTTGTTGGTCTGTGGCAAAACGACGATGGAGACGGAGACTAGAGATAGAGACAGAGCGAAAAGCGGGCCCAAAGCGAAGAGTTCAAATGAGAGAGAGAGAGAGAGAAAGAGAGAATACGTCACATTTAAACTCAGAGAGCGCGAGTGATCCAAATGACTCAGTCATTGCGATCATATACCGTCAGTATATACAACTTATACATGCACAAGCATTGTCTGTGTGTGTGTGTGTGAGTGTGAGTGTGAGTGTGAGTGTGTGTGTGTGTGTGTGTGTGTGTATGTGTGTATGTGCCAAGAGTGCGCGCTATGATCTAATGTGCGAGTTTTGATGTTGCCTCACTCCAAAAATTGTTGTTTTTTTTCTGTTTTTGCTTCCATTATCAGTAGCAAGCGATGACTGAACAGGGCAAATGGTGGGAGGGGTTGACTCTGACTAAAATAGAAAATGCTGCAGCGGTGTATGTATTGTGAAACGAGCCGATAAGCCAAAAAGATACAGAGTAAGACAACGTGTCAAGTTTGTCGAGCAAGCAGAAAAACTTTATTAGAAGTTTGCATGATATTCGATGATAATAAATCACAGCACGCCCACATATGTTGACAAATGTAATAATAAATTAAAATATATATACATATATGTATGTATATTAATTGCTTGGTTATTCATTCGTAAAACAAATGCAACGCACGACATCTACTAAATTTTTTCTCCGCGATCTAAATGTGTCTCTACATAACAAATTGTTTTTTCCTTTTTTGGTTTGCTTTGGTAAAACCTTCCACATCAGATTTGAGGTCAGTCTTATTCTACTTTAACTTTTTGTAATTTCCCAAAGTCTGCTTAAATAATTAGTAGCAAAGCGGTAGTGATTAACACTTAGTTATTCGCTTTTAGGGAGTAAAGTGGGTATAAATAGTTTGCAGCTATCCACGTTGCGTATGTGTGATTTATTAATGCGGCACACCGCAAATTGCTCATTCGTCTCGTGGTCACATTTGTTCTTTCTACTAGTGCAAAAAGCACAACAACTGGATTTAGCAAAGTGACCCAATTCTACTACGTATGCCACTGCCGTTGCACCACAAAAGCTGAAAACGAAAGCCAAGCCTGTGCCAATCTATCGATAACCGGGCTCGTGTTTTTGAGGACAACATAATAGGAGGAAACTGCCTAGACAGAAGAAAAAACAACCACACTCTCACCTATCTAACCAACATGACACTCGAGCTATTAGTAGGCTACTTGAGGGTGTACAGAGATGCTTTACAAGTGCAGCAGCAGCAGCAGCGACACGGCCACATGGGCAACACTTGAGTAGCAACAAAAGAATGTGTTAAGAATAAGGTAACCCAAAATATACCCAGAGAGACACCGAGAGAGCACTAAAAGAGAGCGTCACTTCACAGAGTGGGCGAACAAAGAGAGCCCGCAGGCAATAAACGTATTTGAAGTGGCCACGCGACAGGCGACAGCATCACAGTTTGAGTCTGCACAAGTGGCCAAGGTGTAACCCATTTTCAGTGCAAGTGTTTTTGTGTATATGCTAGCTTATCACTGTGTGTGAGTGTGTTGTACGCGTGTATCTGTGTGTAAGCTCAAGGACGTTGCCATGGTGGCTCGAATGCTGCGGCTGCCGCTGCAATGGCGCCCAATGCTGCAGTGCAGCAGACGACGCATTCTTCTGCACGGCTACTGCGCAGGACCTTGTCTTTTCAATGGTTATGTGCCACACACAAACAAACTGATGCACAAGGAGACACACACATATCCACGCACACTCGCACAGTCGCACATTGTCAATAAAGTAGGTCAACAGCGCAGTCAACGCAGCAGCACCATCAACCGCGCGCTCTCTTCTACCCTCGCACTCTCTGTCTCTCTGTCTCTCAATCTCTCTTCTTGCTCTGGGACAATCGCTCGGCTCTTGGCTCGGACTTTCTGGTGCCTGCGCATCTATTTTCAAGCAAGCTCTATCACCATTGATTACGTAACACAGCGACACATGTGAACCCACCCCATCCAGTTCCCTTTTTAGTCACTTGTTTTAGGGGTTTTACTGCATTTCCTTGCAGCCTTGCTGCCGCCCAGCAGCCGCCCATTACACCCAGTCCGCAACATATTCGGCATTTATGCTACGCTTTTTCTGTTCAATATGGCTTTAAAGTGGTTTCGGAACCGAATTTTGTGCCATTTCAAGCCGCTACAGCAAGTGATAATAAACAACAGAACGAAATAAATATTAATAAATGGATGGCTGTCAAGACAGCTAAACAAATAAATTGTTTGAAAACTAATAAACAAGTTGCCCATCTGTGCATGTGTTGGTGTGTATGTTTGTGTGTGTATGTGTGTGTGTGCAAGCACTTATACATTTATATTCAACAACATTTGACACATGCCCTGGACCTGTTTTACGACCAGCAATGACGATAGCAACAAAAATAACAAAACTATACATATGTATATATCTACAAATATTTCAATGCTAGTTAATTAACAACAATACCATTAGCAATAACGGCAAAACGTACCTCGTGCTCATGGGTAAATCAAAAAATTGTTGACTTCAAACAACTAAAGTTTCTTTATTAGAACAACGATGGATAAACTTTGCTTAATCTTCGGGAAGCCTTCCAAGTAATTAAGGTTGGTCTGTAACGTAGCAGGAATATAACAATCGAATCTAAATACTTTTATTAAGTTTGAATGATTCCTGCCGTAAGTCAAAACAGTATTTTTATATCCTGAGCCCATTGAAAATGGATAAAAAGGGTATTATGTATTTGTGCATTTGTATGTAACAGGCAGAAGGAAGCTTCTCCGACCCCATAAAGCATATGATCTTGATCAACATCGACAGCCGAGTCGATCTAGCCATGTCCGTCTGTCTGTCCGTCCGTCCGTCTGTCCGTCTGTCCGACCGTCCGTCTGTCCGTATGTATGAACGCAAGGATTTCAGAACCTATAATAGCTAGAGACTTGAAATTTTAGCTGTAGGCCCTCCTAGTGCCCGCGCGGATCTAGTTTGATATTTATTCGATATTCGATAACTTGCCCCGTTTCCAAGTAATCGATAAAAATCGAGACCGAAATCCTGTTTTTTGAGCAATTTCGGCAAATAATATGAGCTAGAGTCACCAAACTTGACATGTAGCTTCTAGAATAGTATATATATATCAAGTATTTTTCATTTTATACCTATCGTCACCTTCCCGCTACCACCTAAAAGCTATAAATCAAGTTAATTATCCAACTTGTATAGCCCATCAATTTAAGCCACAATTTATTTTCAATTGACTTTTTGAGAATACACAAATATTCTATATTCTATTCTACAATAGGATGTACCGTCGATAATTTCATTAAGATCGGGTAACAAACACAAAAGTTATGTGCGCACGTGTAAGCAGCAGCTAGCGAAAATTCCAAATTCCTGAATACATGTACACACACGCATTCATGCGCGTCTGCTTTGAATTCTATCAACAGCATTGCAATTGCGACTGTATTGTTTTTTATGCTGCATTAGTGGTTTTTTTCTCATTAAATGTCAATTATTGGTGTGGCTCTTGAGTAGGGGCGGCGGCAAGTGGTGCGGTTAGTTGCGAGTTCGCACCCTGCCAAGGGAACAACTTTTTTTTTTTTTTAATTTTTCTTTGTTACTACTAAAGCAAAAAAGCGCGTAGCGCGATCTGCATTTGGTGTTGGAAGAAGAGGGTTCAGGGTATCCCCTTGTCGGGAGCTCCCGACTAGAACCTTTTACTTGTTTCCTTTGAATGTGTGTTACAATCGTGTATTCAATGACTTATTTTAACGCATAGACCTATTGACTTGTTAAGCTCAATAAACCAACCATTTGACTATACTTTAAACTAAATTAATCAAATAAAATTCTCACTAAATCTTTCTTCGTTAAAATTCGTCTTTCAATAAGGTATTGAATATTTAATGTACTATTATGCAACTATCTTTATTCACAAGGCGCTAGATTTTAACTAGTTCTCTGACAGGCAGGCATTAATAGGCCAGTCAGTTAGTTAGTCAGGGTGGCAGTCGGTCAGTTGCTCAGCACGCTTCTGCGCACAATTCAGAAATTCCAAATCCAAACAACAAAACGTGTTTTTGACTTGGCAAACACACACATTGCGAATGATCTAAGTATTTTCAAACTAAAAGTCAAATGTTAAGCAGGCGGCGAGCACGAGCGGGAGCGCGAGCGGGATTTGGGCGAAAATAAGACAAAAACAAAAACAATTTAAACACGAAAACAAAACCGCCTCTGAGATTTACGGTCTTTGCTATTTTTATGTCTCTGACGGCGATGACGAGACAACAACGCGCAACGCGATTCGATGCGATACGATGCGATGCGATGCGAGGACAGGTAGTTGGATTGCGTCGCGGCTCACCTTGAAGCTAGCAGGTTGCCAGTCGCACAAGCAATCAAGTCAAGCAACTAGCCAATGGCTGATCTGGCTGTGTGTCTGTCCATGTCGTGGTCAAATGATTTGAGATGCTTTGAATATAATAAGTAGGCAGCTGTGTAGCATCATCATTGAAATCTCAGCCACTTAGCATATAAATGAAGGAGACATTGCCGACCCATTGAGCATTCCAACATTCCAAATGCATTTACTGATATGTCACCATGCCAAAGAGGTCACCATAAATATGGGTCAAACTGAGTCCTGTGTCTGTCAAAGGCATTTGTGTACGTCTGATTTGGACATCGTGATTGATTGCCTTCTACATTTATTTAGAAGTCCGTTACATCGAGGGCTGCCTTAAGTGAGTCTGACGAGCTTAAAGGACTGGTCAATTAAAAGATGACAATGGCAAAAGAGCAAACTTATTGAAATTAACAAAGCAACAAGCTGGGCAGCAATGCCTATGCTTAAGTGAGTTGTTTGGCATGAATTACAATATTTACACGCTTTGCGGCGATTGGTAAAGAGTGAGAAATAGGGCAGTGAGTATAAAGATAGAGATAGATAGATATATAGATAGTTAGATAGAGACAAAGAGCACGATAATGATAGTAGTATATGTAAGAGCGATTGAAATTTACTTATTCCTCATTGTGTACTTTGTTTTTCTCTTTTTTTTTGGTTTTTTTTTTTAAATGATTGCAAAACTTACCGGAACTGAAATGTGAGCGTTTAGTTTGTTCATTTTCCGGATCGGAATCGAGCGGCCTTTTGCGTGAGTCGCCCATCTCAGGACTTGGACATGTCTCCATGGCAGCGTCTTCGGCCATTTTTAATTGAATGTTGCTGGCTTTTGTTTGAATAGTTTAAAGATTAGTCTTCAACTTTTAGTGATGATTGCCTTAGTATTTGCTTTTTGTTTCCGTTTGCTTTAAGTTTGCAATTATTTTGATTGATCCGCTTCTTTGAAAAAATTTCTCAATGTTTGGCAAATGAGCCTTCGTTTCTTGTCAGAGCCTTTCAGAGCGAACGGTCGATCAAGCGAATACGGATGCTTCTATATGAGCGATTCCGCAATTGGCATCTGAAATCAAAACAGCTTTCTGGAGGGCTGCCTACTTTGATGTTGAAGAATCCCTTGGCTCTAATGATCGTTATTCACACAGACACACATATACACACGCTAACAAGCTGACGCAATATGCATATGCGGTCGGGCGACTTACAATTATAATTATAAGTTTTCAAACTTTTAGTCAAGCCTCTAAATATACTATAGGTATATGATCGTGTAGTCCTTCTAAATTTAGTTTATTGTTGATTGCGTTTGATTTAATGGCGGTTTTTATTTATTGCGTGACAATTGTGTATTATTATTATTTTTATTTCATTATTATTATTATATTTTTTTTTTTGAGGTGGTGGAATGTGCGAGTTGTTTTTGGTAAACGTTTATATGAAAAAAGAAAAAGAAAAAAATATTTATGAGTGATTTATGCAGCAATAATAAATATACATACATACAGTAAACATTTAGGCATCATATGTAAAATGTATATTATATTTATGTGCGTATCAATATTTTAATACAGACGTGATTCTAGGGTCGAGAGCTGAGAGTCAAGAGTTGAGAATTGAGAGTGGCGCGTTTAATAACATTTACAATTAGATTAACACAAAACACTTTTCATTTATGTCTTTGTACAAAATGAGCGCAATTAAAAGCGGAGCATTCAATTAACAGGCAGTTGGCAGGAGGGGGCAAGGGGTCACGCAGGCAAATGTAATCGATGCAACAAGACAACAATTAGATTCGGCTAAAAATATGCATGAGAATGTTAATATTTGTGTGTTTTTTGTTTGAAAAAAAACTAGACAACAACAAGATGACTCATTGGAATGTGTAAGTTATGAAAGCTGACAAAAAACAGTCAGAAAAATATCATCAGTAAAGTAAATTGATTTTTGTATGGATACAGTTAACAAATTTAGAAGACAAAAACAAGGTTATGAAGAAACGTCGATCGTGGTCCATATGATATGTAAGAATGCAACTTCAGCAAACAATTTTAAATTCACCATCTAATTTAAGAAATAATTTAGCTTTATTAGTTGTACAGATGTAACGGAAATCAACTGTTCGGATTGATTAGTCATTGCATATACACGCAAATAGTCGTACAATTCGTGATAGACGCCTATTTTAAGTATATAATCAGTATGTTTATCTATAGACTTCTTTATACATAAACTTCAAAGAAGTATTTTTGCTGACCATTTGTGCACCGTTTTCCGTTCAGGTTGGCAAAAGATTAAGCTTCCAATCTTACAAAAAACCCACTAATCATTCTGTCGGTCAGCACAAACATTTTTGTATATATAGAAGTAAGATAAATAAGTAGATATTCGATACATTTCGCAGAAGGACAAAGTAAAATTTTCCGATTTGTGTATATACTACTATACTATATAATATAATATGTACTATATTTCTTATGTCTATTACATGTATAATTTGTCGAATGGTTTTGTACATATGTACTTAAACATATGTACATGATTTCGTTACATAAAACAATATTAGTACAAGTATGTCATAATGTCATGAATGCGGCCAAAGCAGCCATGGCCTATAGACCATAGACCTATCTTTCAATAGTTTTGCAACCCTCAAATTTATTAATTCGATGCACGCGGCAATGAAAATTATAACTTGCAACTCAATTATGGATGAGTTGGTTTTTATGATTTCATTGGTAATTAAATATGCGCCAAGACAATACAAGAAAAACAACAACATCAACAACGGCAACGGCAACACCAACAAAAAGTGACGCGCATTTATTTGTTTAAAATGGCATTTAATTATACAAATATTGTGATCGTGCTTGTTGTTGTTGTTGCTGCTATGGCTACGGGCGAGTGCGGGCATCGCATTATATGTGCTCGATGGTATGTGTGTGCGTGCGCGAGTGTGTGTGCGCAAATATAAGTGTATCTGATTTGACTGCAAACGACCTTGACCATTAAATAAATTTTAGTCTGCTAAGCAGCAACTGCAAAGCAAAATAAGCAATAAATCGACGAGATGGCAACGCTACAAAACAGCAACAACACTAACACAGTAGCAACAATAACAGCTACACGAGGTGCACAGACAAGACATTTCTGTATGCAAGCAGGCCGAAAGAATCTACACAACGCCAAATTCGTTCTATAGATACTTTTTGCATATACACTCGTACATTGTTCTGGTGTTTTCTCTTTATTTTATAGAACCTGTCATGATGGCAAAAAACAAAAACAAATTTGCATTCACTGAAGAAATTAGTAATCAACGAGAAAAAAATGTTTAAGCAGCAGATGCCGCAAAACAAGTTCCTAGCTTAGAGAAGGTTTCGGCTCTGAGAATATAGGAGCGAGGGACAAGTAACGAGAACCTGTTACTTTTGCGCGATTAGTAATTTAGTATTTCAATCAAATAAATTAATGATTTGCTAGAAAATTTCCGCTTAATATGTCGAGGTGATTCAAAATGGCGATAAATTCGTTTTCTTAAACAAAGCCAGAAAACCAAATGAAAAACTTGGCAATGTGAACGCAACTGTCATTTAGCGGAAATCCCCGCAACCCTCTTACCATTGCAACACAAAACACTCGACTTTTTAGTTAGGGTGTGCGTTGAGTCCTTGAAATTTAATTTTTAAATAAATAAATCGAAAATAAAACCTTATATATATGACGAGAATGCTAGACTGTTAGATGAGCTAAAATTTTGTAGCTATAAAACAGTTTTGTGCATTATTTTTAGGTTTCTGGACATCTTTATTTATTCGAAAGCCAGTCTAAAAGTTCTTCTTCTTCTTCTTCTTTGACTCACTTAAGCCATGGCTAATTATAGCTATTTATAAAGCCCAAGTGTTATTAAAATAATTGGCACAAATTAAAATATTAACTCTTCGTTTGCCCCGAAATATATCAGAATATATATATTTCTATATGTATCAATTATATCAGGAAAATGCTGAAGACTGGTCTCGGCATACGGCTGATTAGAGAGGAAGGCGAACATGTCGTCGCTGTCGTTGCCATCGTCCCCAACGTCACTGATGCACTCAAGCCGAAAATGTGTTAATGATGATGGATACCATGCAGCTGCTGCTTTGGGGCCTTTTCATAATAAAGAATTTTTTTCAATCAGAGCGAGGATTTTTGATTGCGGTTAAAAATTAAAAGCGGATTCCTAATAAATTTTTTAAAATTATTATTGCATTATCTTAAGGTTAATAGCTGATAAAAGGTACAAAATAGTGAGAACCACATATAAGATGTCTATGATAATATGACACGTTTTTTGTTCGGCTAATCTAAAACCGGAATGTTGTAAAATCTTTTGTAAGACTGTTGTCTTTTAACAAACGGCTGAATGGCATTGTCAATGTTGTATACAGACGTAATACTTTAACAAATGTGTCTTTCATTTGCTAAATATATTTATTAAAGTTAGGTCACGGATGTTTCAAAAATATTTGTCAAGGTGACAAATCATTTCATATACATATTAATAAACAAACTCAAATTTGAATGTACAATGACATATAACTAGTTAATGCACCTAATGAATAAAAAGCAATTATTTTTCAATAGCAACAAAAACTTGATTTTGATATATCACGGTTGGCGCTCATGAAGCTTAAGCTTTGAATAGGTTGAACTTGTTTCCAACTGAAAAGCGCTCACTACTAAGCTGAAAGCAAACTGAGCCCCCTGTGCAAAGCTAACAAAATGAATATATATATAATATAGAATATAGAATATATATGCATATATATATATATATATATATATATATATACTTATACATATGTAAAAAATATGCTCGCTTATAACACACATCCCTCAGACACATAAAACAAATTCAATCTTATCTCGAAGTCGCAGAACTTATCAGAACAGCGGAGCCGATAAGGTTTTCATATTATTTTTATATATAAGCAGTGCTTTTTTATTTTTACTTATGTGTTCGCTGATAAGGCGAAGTAGCAGACGGACAAAAAACAACAGCCAGCCAAAAAATACCAGAAACGAGAGCCTAAAATGGCCACAGAAATTTTATAAATGTGAGAATGAAAATTAAGCAAAAGTAAATCCCACAAATCAAGTGAAGTTACTTAGTTGCACATTCAGTGGGTTTCAGTTCCCCCACCCCAGTCACCCTATCAATAAAATGATTTGGCTCAAGCTGTTGCTTAATTAAATGGTATGCTTGCAGCCTGATAAGAGTTTCTTTAACACTTTATGCTTTTGTGTAGATTGCGGCGCCGCAATCGCATGAACCACTCCACACTCCAACTGCGGGCCGCCACTTGGAGCTCATTTAACAAATTGTTAGCGTTAAAAATTGCCCAAAAAAACACTTGGCGCACTCACATCAATGTATTTTTTGGATTCTTTTTTATATGTTGTCTTTTTTTCGAATTTAGCTGCACAGCACACTTGAAAATACTTTATGTCCGCATAAGTAAAAAGTTCTCAGCCAGCGAGCTCGTAGCTGTGCGAGTACGTGAAAATCAAATACAACTAAATTCAAAAACTGAAAACAATTAAAAACGAAATGAATTTCAAGCGAACGTCACACACATACACACACACACACACACACACACACACACACACACACACATACACACATACACACAGACACATATACACACTCGCACTCACACAAATGCACACATGCACACTAAAGTATCTACGAATTTCAAGCGTTTGCCGAGGGCAAGAGCAGTGAAGAGAGAAATAGAGAGTGTATGGAGGAGAGAGAACAAGAGAGTGAGTGAGAGAGAGCATTGCTGCTGTTGTTGGTATATCTTTTATATACTTTTTCTAAAAACTTTTTGACTGTTTGCAAGTGTTTGCTCAGCCGCTCTCACAAGTGAGCATTTTAGTTTAAGTGTGAGTGTGTGTTTGTGTGTATTTACATTGTTATCAGTAAATAGTTTTTATTATGACTGTCTTCACTGGCTGCTCAGTTGCTTTATTATTGTTTGTGTTTTCTTGTCGTTGATAAGCGCACATCGAGTGAGTGCATCAATACATACAAACATAAGTATTTAGCAATAGTTAGTAAGCACACAATTGCCTGCCTGCCATTATTCGCATTGATATGCAATTGCCACAACTTTAGATACTAATCTACAGCCATAAGTCACTTGACAGAAACAAACTGAAACAGCCGCAGAACGGATGCCCATTTGTAAGAAGATTGTTTTGTTTGTCCATTTGGTCTCATTTATCGCCTTTTCTAAGGCTGAACAAATCTGCTGACAGCGGCTGTTAATGCTGCCATCGTATCTTTTTCTAAGCGGCTGTATCTTTTATCTCCACACTTTGACAAACATCATGTGCGATAAATCGTGCTGTCTGTGGCTTTTCATCAGCACAGGGCAACCGAATTACAAAGGATACACACACTTGGACAATCGTTTGACTAATGCTCTTAGGTCCTCTTTTACAGTATGTATATCGGCCTGGTTTATGTTTGTTAAGACCTGTTCAAAAATACAAATTTTCAAATATTATGGACTATTTTATCTGCTTTAGCTGTTCCGTATATAATATATGTTTGGGGTAACGCTCATATGTACATGTATATACATAGAATCACCAACCTAAATGCAGTATTTATTTCTATTGAATCTTCCACAAGATCAATGTACCAGGATTCTTGAATTTAAATTTGCGAACCAATTAGTTGAATGTTTTAGAAAACAATAAAATCTATCCGTATTGTTGTCTTGAATAATAAGTAATTGTCCTCACAAGTTGCCAGCGTTAAGCAATAGTAAAAATAAATGTTTTTCGCCCATTTTATTTCGGTGCATACTTTTGAGCTTGCTCAAACTTAAACTTTACCCTACCGAAAGTTTTCGTGGGTGATCAAATCGGAGCCACAAATACTGCATAAAGCAATAAGCCGAGCGAGTACCAAATAATTTCCCCTAATGGATAGTTGTAGCTCGGAAAATGGATGAGAGCAGGGCAATGTAACAGAAGCCAGAGGAATAAAAGAAATACAATATACAAAAAGAAAATAAAACACACGCTATTATAACAACAGCCGTAACCAATGAAAATGGGACAACAAAATGCGAACACACATAGTTAAATTAACAATGGAAACGAATCGAGCCGAGCAAGTTGTGAATCCAGTGCTGCCGGGCCAGTAGATAACTGGCAGCGCCGAGCTGGGCCGGGATTCAGTAAGCTTTGTGAGCTGCCAGTGGCTCAGGGAAGTGGAAGTAGCGCCAGAGCGGAAGTTGCCATCGACATGAAGGTGCATAACAAAAACGCAAATGTCATACGGTTAAGCGTCAATCGCTTGTGCTGGCCCACAGGACATTTTGGTGTTTGACATTTAGTAAGGCATATTTTAATATTGGTACCGCTGGCAAGGACACTGCCTACAAAAGGTAAGCACTTCAGAAACCTAAAAGGGCGCCAAGTATGAATGGGTTCGCGAGAATAATGCGAAATGGATGCCACCAGGAAAACGACGTAGGGGCAGGTGGCCAGGAGACGACCTCTATTACATTATCGACTCCCGTTCGTGGGTTTAAAACTTGAAATACTTCTGTTTGTATTTTTTACCTTCGTCCAGTGTTCTGGGCCCTAGCTAATCCAACTCGCATTTGTAAACAGTTGTTCTTGTTTATCGTGCTGCTGACTCGCATGTTGCATGAAAAATGAAAGCGAAAATCAATAAAGGAAGCACGCGATATGAAATTACCAACGCCCACTGACCCCCAGTTAAAAGTAGCAATTCCCATGGATGGATTGGAGGAGGTTTCGTCAACAATGAAGGGTACTCTGACTCTGAAGGCTTGTGTGTGTCTGTGTGTGAGTGTGTGTTTGTGTTTATAAATAATTACACAGGGTATAGTATCAACGCGTCGACATCTATTCAAGAAATATAAGTGACCGAAATCACGCCCCTACTTCCCCTTTTCTTCCCACAGCTCAGGCCAGGTCCAGCTCCTTCAGTTTGAGTGCTTGTATGCAAATGCCGAGTAGTGCTTCGCGGCATCCCTCTTTACCATTGCATCCTTTGTGCACATAATTTATGCTCATTGTTAGCCGTTATTCGCAGCAGAGACTGCGGCATATTTGCTGTCATTACGGCGTACACTTATATCATTTTTTATTTTTATTTGGTTTTTGTTTTGAGGGTTACAGCTTATGACCGAGAAGCAACGAATGGGGTAAGCGGCTTTATCAGCTCTGCTGCTCGACTACTTGGTTTCCATGGATTTTGGCTTTAGATTTCGTTGACTCGGCTCAGAGATCTTTTGTTTTACATGCAGATATGTGTGTGTAGTCGGTGTGTACTTGTCGCTTGTTATAAATATTATATTGCTTGCACTGTTTGTGTCGGCGCGGCATAAAAGGCGCCGGCAGGGACTTTTCAGCTGTTTGGTAGCCAAATTATAAATTTTAATAAGCTTATATAATTAGAATTTAACACTAAGCACTGGTTGTCTGATGCATGTACCCTGATGTTGCCACCATATAACGTATACGCCACGCCCTCTCTCCCGCAGCATGTGCTACTAATAAATAGAAAATATACATACGCTTTTTAACTTGTTACATAATTGTCTACATATTTGTATATTCTCTAAACGCAGCTCCAAAATAAACCTAACAAACATGTTCGAATTTCGAGCTGTTCGTTTACCCTAAATAGGTGAAGGTTACCCCACGTAATAATTTAAAAATAAATAAAAGCACAACAACAACTAGCCAAGCATATTGAAAGCACGCTCTGGCCAATGCTATAAAAAACCAAGCAACAAAAAGAACGAGCTACAACTAAATTAATAAAACATATTCAAGGTGCGAGAAATGTGCAGTGGCAACAGCAAAATGCTGGGGCTAGCAAAATTCTGCAAGAGAGCATCACGAGGCATCGCGAGAGAGATAGATAGAGAGAGAGAGAGAGAGAGGGGGAAGAAAATGAGAAAATACGAGAGAGTACGATTGAGCGCAACATGCACATTGTCAGCTGCATTGGGCTGAGCGTTGGAGCTGGCTATGCCGCCTCCACGTCATGGAAACTAAATCAAAAGCGCACAATTAGGCCAAACGAGTGCCTCAGCGTCGATGTAGGGAGGCGGACAATTAACATGCAGCCAGCTATGTCTGTGTGTGTGTGTGTGTGTGTGTGTGTGTGTGTGTGTGTGTGTTCGTGTCTGTGTGCCTGCGCTGTATGCAAATTTGTGTGGCAAGTTGCGGGCGAGTACAGACCAGCGCAAACTATGTCGCTGGGTCGCTCGTCCAACGTCGCGCGTGTGTGTGTGTGTGGCGGTGAGTGTGTTTGTTGTTGTTTTTGTTATTGTTGGCAGGTGCCTATCCAAGCAGCAGCAGTTCTAAATAAAAGGTGCGTCAATAATTTATCCATAAATAAATCAGCAAAGCGAAAAGGCAGTCAAATGACAACATCAACAAGAACAACTAATTGAGTGCGGCATGGGGCCGAGACAAGTAAACAAGTGGAAGGACTCTCCTTTCGTTCTAATCATGTCTACTTGTGTGGCTGCTCTTGAGAACTGGCGCGACAGTGTGCTATTTGTGTAATTTTGTTCTATTGGGGCTCTTATTAGAGACGACGTGAAAACCTACAGAGGAGCTAGCCCATTAAAGTGATCAATTTGAAAATGTGCTTAATCCGGCTTTAAAGCTATATTAAAATAGCCATTTGACTGCTAGAATTCGCTCACTCTTATTTTATTATTTCACTTATAAAAATTCGCACGAGTTCCGTTTTTTAAGATGTTATCCTTGACTCCAAGTGTATTCATTATCATATACAAAGGATAATATATGTATGGAATCAGTATTAGCAATCCTATTACTTATTCGTACGTCAAGAAAGTTAATGTTTATTTGTTTTTGGTCGTGCTTCTGACTAGACTATTATACAATATATATATGATATATAGTAATATCCGGTTTTCCAAATAAATGTGCATTTATATCTAAAAGTAAGTATTAGCTAATATATCAACGAATTCTGGGACAAATTGTGGTAGCAGCTGCTCCATTAGCTCCTTTGGCGCTCAGCTGACGCATTAAGCACGCCGCACAATTAGGCACAGTAGGGCGGAGAGGGCGAGGAGTGCAAAGAGAAACATAGTTTTGTCAACACCATTGCCTAGATACCACTGCTCATGCAAACTAATACAAAACTCGATTACACTCCCCTGTTGGGTGACCCAACAATACTTAACATAGGATTCGCAGGGTATGTACAACGATACGGAAGCGCGTAACAGAACAACCATTTATCGTTGGAGGCATGTATGCACGGCGATCATTATGGATATGGATATTGGATATGCCCCTTATTTAAACTTGGCTTTACCTAATGCTCGTATTGCTGTTTTTTTAGCGTCTTTGTGTGTTGTTTATGCTATTATGGCATTTCGATTAAGTTAACAGAACACCCAGACTTAAATCAATAATTTTAAAAAACACAATTCATTTTCAAGTTCAACAAACATATGTACATACAATCAAAGATGGGAAGTGTTTCATAAACATACTATTTATTCGTCATATGTCAGGTCAAAATAAATCACAGAACAATTTATGAATTACCATTAAATGTTAGATGTCCAATTAGGAAGCTTTTGGAAAATTCTAATAATTATTAGATTGATCAAGATTATAATCAGATTCCTCTGGTTTCTTAGTTAGTTGGATTCAAACCTTAAATATGACTTTGCCTAAATCATATCCCAATAAGTATTGTGATGTACATGTTTGTATTTCGTTTGTTGTTTGTTATAAATAATCATCGCAAGGCTGTTCAAATTGTAAGGGCAAATTGTTTAATTCTGTTTAATGCAAATTCGATTTATTTATTAAAACTTCAGAGTGTTTCTCGACCTGCCCGCCAAAACCTGCACCGTGCGACCCGAGCTAGCTACGAAGCAGCTCTTCACACACACACACATACTCCGGCTCGGGCAATCAGTAGAGAGTCGGAATCGCCAGTTGGCTCTCACTGTTGCAATTATGCCAAATAGGTTAACAGCCGTTTCGTGCCTTTTGCTCGAATTTTTGGTGTGTTGCTTTGCTTGTTTACATAAGCCTTTTCTCATTTCGTTTTTTTTTATTTACCTTTGCCCCACTGTGCCTACGGTTGGCTGTCCGTGCGAATAGGCTTGCTTCGTTCGGCAACGTTTACCCCAGATATTACTAGGTGCTCCATGAATTGCACAACGGGGCTCAGGAGGATCGGGGAGGATATGTTAGCGGTTGGGCAATGTAAATGAAACGCAACGACAAGCAACGGGCAATTTAATGTCTATTTGCATTCGACAACAACAACTGTGGAAGCAGCAGTAGAAGCAGCTACAGCAGCAACAAAATGTAGAATCAAGAGTCGGAGTCGGCGAATAAACGAGTAAATTAACGAGTAGTAGTTGATATCCCGGTCCGAGTACAGAGAGGCCTGCAGCTCAGCTTGATTAGCTGAGATCGTTTGCACGGAACACATATGTATGTATACACTTTTTATTGCTTTGCAAAATATTAAATAGAAAACTACATTAGACAACAAGTTTCAGCTAGGGAATCAACACCACAACAATGCGCAAAGACGATTGGAATTACTGCATGGCACTTATCAAAAAGATGTGGAATGTCGGGATAAACTACAATCTGTTAAGTATGTAAGTAAGTTTAACTATTACACAAGGCAGTAATAAAGAAAATAATTGAATATTGAACTTATGCTTACATATACTTAGTATGTACATATTTTATGTTCACATAAATATATTCACCTTTCTGCAAGGAGTCGTGCATACAGCTGCAATTAATTGAGTGCGGGGCTATATTTACTAGTATATATGCTGTTATTGTATTCGTTATATCGTATTTTATTATATTAGGATTTCAGTTGTTAACGTGTACACTTTTGTATAATTATATTAAATATTCTGCTTTTATTTCTTATAAATTACATACGACACTCAAATGTTGTTGTTTCTGTTGTTATTGCTGCTGCTTTCTCAAATTTGTTGATGCTCTTCTCGTTTTTTTTTTTCAGTTGTTGTTGTCGTTATTTTAGTTGCTTCGTTTGCTTTAATACGTGTTATATAAACACAAAATACACAGACACAAACACACTTAATAGTTCGCGTTAATTTTAATGCGAGAATTAAATTTGCTTTCATAGAAATTTTGAAAATAACGAAGACATCACTTTAAGCGCCCTGGTATCGATCTAAAGAGAATCGAGCACAATTGCAACGGGCACTTCTTTACCACTGTATGTATGTATGTATGTATGCATGTATGTATTGTTTATCTATATATATATATATATATATATATATGTATATATAGATAAACTTGTGTATATATATATATATATATATATATATATATATATATGTATATATATGTACGTATGAATGTATATAATGTATATGGAAGTGCTATAATTTAAAATAATATCTACACATACACATGTATATTTCCTTTTCCACAGTTACTCTGCGTATGCGTCACGCGCCGCTTTGCGTGTTCGTCTTCGCCTCACGTTTGTTTCTAACGCAAAAATTGGTCGACTGTCGATGCCGATGAATTCGGTGCCGTTGCCATTAGCGCCCTTCACGGACCTGCGCAATGAGGTGCCTTCTCTTTAGGCTCAGCATACAGCGGAATGTGGTGGCGTGAAGGCCCCTGTCAGCGAGCGCATTTTTATTCAAGCTGACTTGCTTGTAGCTTTCCCTGTGCTTTTCTTTAAATAAATCAATCAAGTCAACAATTGTACAACCGAACAAATATCGACGCATTGGCAAGTTCTATAAGTGCAATTCAATCGTTCAGCCGCCGAGTGGCCTTGTGTACGATAATATTCAATTCTTCACTAGCCTTTGGGTTGATTCTTCTCCCAATATATCATTAAAAAAAATAAAAGGTTTAGAGGAGAGAGCAAAACAAATGTAATCAAAAAACAATATACAAAGCGCGCACATACGTAAGTCTGAAGGGTAACCTAAATACAAATTGTAACATCCAATGGGCTCAAACTGTAAAAACATTTGTTAGAAACGCTTTAAATTTTGACGCCGACCGTTCGCAAATGTAAAAAAAAAAAATCCTTTAGACAATATTTTATTAATAGTTATTTAAACCAATTGGCGCAAAAAGTTTTCTGCCAGCATCGCTGGACGCACTGCCGCTCTTTCTGCCTCTCAGCAAACACACATTGTACAATTATACAAATGCGTGTGCCACGTACACGTGCCCAACTGATCACATTTTTTGGTGTGTGAGTAGCTGTTGCGTATCCTTTTTCTTGGCGCGCAATTCTGTTTGCCCATTAAATTGTAGAATACTGTCATCCGGAGGCATAGCCTCAAAATTTTGCATTGAATACAATTGAATTGCGTTGTGAGCTGTTTGTTTTAAAATTAATTTCAATTATATTTTGTGTCATGTACTTTTTGTACCCACTCGACAGCGCGCTCTCATCCTAATACTCTCGCTCTCAGTTGCCTACCAGAAGCAGTTGGATTCTATCGCTTTTACTCTCTTGCTCTCTTTCTCTCTCACTCTCTCTGTGCTTGTGTGTTACTCCCTGCCTTTCTTTCACATTGTGTATGCCGTTAGCGCTTATTAGGGCACTAGGTTTTCATGCAAGCCTCGGAAAATTGCTGCACACACACATTTACTAGACAGTTTTGGGGCAACTCTTTTATTTCCTGTGCCCCTAAAGGCTTTCAATAATAATTATAAATTTTTTCATACGATACGTTTGACTAAAGTATTTTGAATGTCTATTGAACACCAAAACCAAATTGCTTATGACATAATTCAACAACTACATACATACACAAATACGTAAATATATTCGTTCGTATGTATTTACACATATATCTGAAATATGTATATAACTAAATGTATTTACATATGTATAAGCTTGTAGAAGAATGCTCTCGCGCCATATGTTTCAAGCGTCTGCTAGAAGCGCTATGAAATATGAAAATCTCGTGTGTTCGCCTACGTAAAAGTGTACGTGAGGGAGCCTAAGTCTAACAATAACGTGAAAAACTCGTTAGCAAACGAACAGAAATCATTTAAATAAAATATATGTATGTAATATAAATATGTGTATGTTTGTAAATTATGTATACGCGCAGTGTGCGCTGCGTTTTATCAGCTTGCAGCCAGAGGAGAGCAAAGAATAGAGAGAGCTGAAGAGAAATAGAGAGTGAGAGCGACTGACTGGTAGAAAAAGCTTTGCCACAGCTCGCACACCTCACAAACACACAGACAGCAAGACTGTAATTGTGTGTGTGCGCGCTGCTACTTTGACACACTTTTATATGACGTCGTTGATTTTAATTTTTCGTTTGTTCGCTCATTTTTTCTGAGCTTATGTCGTTCTTCTTCGGACTTGCCAGATTCTGAATGTTTTTCTGTGTTGCTTTTTGCATGACATTTGACCATTGGAATTAGCTGAGCCGAGTGGCTAAGGCAGCTTGTTGTTGCCAATAATTAACACATGTTGTTCTTGTTGTTGTTGTTGTTAATGTTGGTGGACCAGCTGCTTTCAATAAACAACCAGCCTTATCCTAATGGAAATGTGATTGTTTTGTCAACGATTAGATTTGCAGTGTTAATTTAATTTGTCGAATGGCGGACGCCTTCAAAACTAGTACATTAACATTTTAGTAAATACACACATACCCACAGAGACACACACACACATTCGCTACGTCTTGCTAGGGTGTGAGTATTTATGTAACCAGAATGCCAGGCAAAGGCAAAGCTGGCGAGCAAAGGCACACATAGATACTTTTTGGCATTGAAACAAAACGTAGTTCACAAAAAGCACACAAGAAGCACGCGTGTATACAAGTAAGGGTACACAGATACGCGCACACATCGACAGAAATTAGAAGACGGCATAAAGAACGTAGAAGAAACTAACATGCGACGCATAAACACACTTGCACGCTCAAACACTCATACAAACACGCAAAGAGCTTAGAGAGATACACATGGCAACTTTGAATATTTATATACGTATGTATGTCCGATATACGGAACTAAATTTAATTAAATTTTGTTCAGGCGAACTTTAAAATTCAACAACAACAACAACGACAAAATATCCAAAGCGGTTTGGATTGAACAATTGATAGCACTTTTGTAAATGTTCATTGGATTAGATACTCGATATAAGTATGTACATATGTCGTTTCTGCCGCCTGCGGGCCACTTTAATAAATGTACACACATTATGTATGTCAGTATATATGTATATAGTACGGCAGCACTATTTGTGCCTATTTCGTTGTAATATTGTTATATATGTAGCATATAAACAAAACTCACTGATGACGACGCTCTGACTCTGACTGAACTCAACTGAACTGAACTGGACACTGAACGTGCTCGTCGTATCTAAAAACTGCCTTGGCTTGCTCTACTTACATATGTATGGTTTATCGCTCTTTGACTCTCTCGTATTTTGCTGCTTCTGTTTGTGTTTCTCTGAGTAGCTGAGATTTTCGTACAGAACTTAAAATTCCGATGGTGATGATGGTGGGCCAGTCAGTGGTTGCTCGCAGTAAACACACATACATACATACACGTGCGCACATCAATGCATGTTGTGAGAGCACTGCATATATGTGTGCCTGGCATGTCGTTGTGTGTGTTTCAATTTTGCTTTCGTTGCCCATTTCCAATTGGAGAGCAAGAGCAAAGTGTGTAGCGTTCTCTCATTGTGTCTCTCTCAATCCATTTGAGTTTAGCCGTCCCTTGCTCGTGTTGGCACTCAGAAGACAACCACTTCACGCTCAATGTGGATTCAATTTAAACTTCTATTGTGCATTTTCCACACAGCACGCGTTCTTTGCTAACACAATTTTGATGGGGGCTCCATTCCCACAAGGAACAATACGAAAACTGTTATCAAAACAATCCCATTGATGCACCCCACGCGGGATGAGCGATGGTACGAATGTTAATTGACAACTTAATTTTTAATTTAAGTTTAAAGCTTCGACAACTCTTTTGGGACTTTACAGTTGTCCCAAGCAATTATATACCTGATGTTTTAAAGAGTATTGTATTCGTTTTTATACAATACATAAGAAAAAACACTCTATCGTGAAATTTAAATGGATAATTAGATATATACATATAGATATATATATAGTTTAGCAATCATCAAATAACTTGTTTATTTTATTCTTTACATTTTTGGCAGTATCTGAAAACGCTATAAATCCAAGTTTCGTGCTCCATTGACAATATTTTTATTTAGCAACCCGAATGAAGACAAAATCCGCTTTTATTCGAGGTACTCATTTTTATATCCTGAACCCATTGAAATTGAGTAAAAAGGGTAGAATAACTTTGTGAATTGTATGTAACAGGCATCAGGAAGCAACTGCGACCCCATAATGAGTATTTATTCTTACTCAGCATTAACAGCTGGTCGATCTAGTCATAACCGACTGTCCATTCTTATGTTTAAAATTAACGATAACTTCATCTTTTTTCTTAAAATTGATTCTATAAAAAATTGGGGTTTTAGCATATGTCCAAGGATTTAATAACTGGATATAGTATGTAGACTCTCGTATAACATAAAAAAAAATTAGAGATACAGTTTTAAATTTGGCGTTTGCATACGTTTGGCCTTACAATTTCATAAAGATCGGACAATAAACACTGAAGTAAATCACGAAAGCGTTTCCCATAGTGTGGAGCTAGAAGAAGCAGCGCAGAGCAAGTGTCGTGCGTGCGTGTGTGTTGTATTATTCTGTGTATGTATTTGTGGACAGCTCAGCGTTGGTTTTAGGGAAGCTCCGCGCACGGCACGGCTCGACTAGAGCACTCTTACTTTTTAAACTAAAGAATTTTATCCAATTGTTATTTTGCGAATATGATGATATATTTCAATTTTTTGGTCAGCTACTAAATTATGAAATGAATCATTCATATACAGTCAATTTTTATGAATGTGTCGAATAAAATCGTGTTTTATCACATCTAATATTGTAATACTAGACATAAAATTAATTTAAGAATTATTCGATCAAAGGTTTGGTTGCATAAAATCGATAGAGATTTTAGAAATATCACACAAAACAAAATAAAATTATTAAAACTATACGCAAAGCCCTCTTTTATCGAGGATTCCATTATAACTACACAAAACAATAAAATGTACGTAATTGAGATTCACATACGCAGTGTTTTGCTGTTTGGTCAGTATTAAAGTAATTTAACGTGCTTAACTATAAATTAAGTTTGCGTGCATTAACCTAGTCAAAGGTGTTCCAACTTTTACTGCCTGAGAGAATGGCTGCTGTTCAGCTGTCATTGCCAACGTTATGACTTATTATATAGGCGGCGGTTTCCATAGGACATAGTAAAGGCGCCAGTTTCGGCTCAAACTGTTCGAGATCTTGCAGGAATGTTAATGTGGTGCGCTGACAGCGGTCGATAAGTTTCGGCTCCTCTTCATTTTGCAATATATTACATACGTTAAACTGATTAAAAAATATAATATTTATTGTGATGCAGTAAATCGATATCAGTAAAGCGGACTCACTTTTTCCACTGGTGACTCGTCGTTGCACTGCAATAACTGTGTACGGTGCAATACGCAACCAACGCGCTGCTTCTTGGTCGTACTATTTGTTAAGCGGCGCAATACAACGACGTCTAGATCCTCGTTGGCCGGCACGTGACGATATCCAAATTGCTCCTGTACACCCGTCCACTCATTCTCTGTGTAAATAAGCTTATCCAATGGATCAAGCAGTTCTTGGGAAGCCTTGTGTGCCTCTTTAGTCATGTATGTAGCGGGATGCTCTTTCGAGGGACGTACACAACCGTTGATCTTCTCAAGAATAAGGCGATAAATATGTAGCACTGGCTTATTGTCCAGCACGCCCTGGTCTAAGCCACGTTGATCGTCGCTTGCTAGTCGCCGGTCTTGCATTATTTCTAGCTCTCCCGAGGCCAGGGAGGCACCACCCAACGGCTGTCCTGTTAGCAACGTCAGCCGCATGTTGGCATCCTCAATAAACATGGCTGATGGCACCGGATAATAGTTTGCCTGCAACGGTAGTTTCTCGAACCGTCGCCGCTTGATTAATTGCAGTCCATTTAGGTCCGTGAAGAATGTACTGCCGCTGTCAATGCGCGTCTGTAAGCGCATGACAATTTCAATGTTGTCGGTAACACCAATATCCACCAAGTTGCGTATTTCGGGTGCGTCGCCACGCAGAATGGTCTGATGGATCACGTGGGGCAAGCCTACGCTAACATACGACTCCAACTTTCCCTCGCTGACAAGTACAACAGGCGGATTTCCCGTTATCGGCACTGCGGGCCCATTTGGCAGAAACAAATAGGCGCCGGACTTATCTCCATGCGTGCGAGTGCCATACTTAAGGAACTTGAGGTGCACGGGCACGGGGGGGCCGTCAGGTGTTAGCTGCATCGATTTCAGCAAGCCATATTCGGAAAAAGCCAATATGGGCCCGGTGCCTACACGCAGTGAAAACTCGCTATGCTCACTAAACTTGGTATCCTCTGGATATTGGCCTAAACTCACCGAAAGTGGACTGCCGTTGAACAGTAAATGGGAAGCATAGGAGGTGTGACTACACATTATCAATTAAAGAAATAGGATAAAGGATTTGTAAAATATTTGCATTGTTTAACATATACACAACTTACGCGGGCTTTGATGTTAAGACCGTTAGTAAATAAGTCGCCAGTCCCATGGGCGGCACGCGTGCCTTAAAAAGAATACGGTACTTAGTTGTGGAGCCTTGTGGATTGACGGTTTTGCTGATCGTATCGTGATGCCAGCTCCAGACGGGTGACACTTGCGCTTCCACTGAATTACCTGCTAAATCGCTAACGCTCACAAACGGGCTAGAAACATAAAAATCCACTAGCTGCTCCCGCCAGTGCGGAACAGTGTTGTGCAAGACAACATGCTTTGTGGGTAGTTCCTCGCCGAGAATAATTGTAGTGCGGCTCTCCTCCACACCTACGCCGGGCCAGCGCGAATCATCCAACGTAAAATAGTGAAAATTTAAGTCCGCACTGTAAATTGATGGCTTCGTGAGCAGCCGATAAACTGCCTGTTGCATTACAAACTGACATGTCTTAAGGGCATCTACCATGCGCTTCTCATAGTCCTGCATCACATGCGTTTTAGCGGTGCCTGTGATGCCGTCGTGATGCTGAAAAAGCGATAGCTCTCGGCGAGCCAGTTCTAGCTTTTGGCTAAAACCAGCTTGCGCGTCCCAATTCTGCCAGGCATGAAGCATTTCCGCGGCTCGCAAATAGTGCATGAGCACGCGATCCATGCGCTTATGATATGGACGAGAGGTGTAATAGCCACTCCAGTAGTTGTCAGCTCGGTCCGCATAGGTAAAGAAATCGCCGCTCAGAGAAGGAAAATTCTGTCCAGTTTGATGCACGGCCTCAAAATACTCATTTAGTGTACCAAACTGGGCCTCCACGTTGAAATTCGGATTACCGTTGATGTATTCAAAAAGCTTTTCATAGTTAACACGTTGCACATCCCATTCCACGTTCTGTTTATATCGAAAATCGTCGCCCAGGGGCACCAGCAATACGTTCGTTCGGTACAATTCGGCCTTTTTCTTCCACTGATCCACCAGCATTTCGGAGCGTGCGGCCACATTGCTTTCGTCGATTGGACGAGGCGGGACGCGCCAAGGGCAGCTCAGTCCAAATCCACCTATGCGCTTAAAGTCGAACTGACAGCATACCTTGGGATCAGGACCGCATGTATGCGGAATATCATAGGAGTAAAAGGGCATCATGTGCGTGAACAGGGCTGTGTTTTCACGCGTTTCCCATGTCTGACGCCAATAGAACTCCAGCTGCCGTTGCTGTGCTAGCTCTTTCTTCACAGAGTAATGTGTACGCTGTATAAGTAGATTCCTTATACCGCTTCTTTGGAGTATATAAGGTAAAGTAGGGCTGTGCCCGAAAGGGTCTATAGCCCAGGATGCGGTGGGCGTTACGTTCAGATGCTTATTTAACCAGGACTGACCCTCCGTCAGTTGCAGGAGCACATTACGCCAATGCGAATTGGCCTCGTCGGGCATTACCCACCCACCGGTAACGAATTCTAGCTGGCCCTTCTTTACAATCCTGTAAAAATTTTTAATGTGCGTTACATTAATTTAAAATTTCTCAATTCAATTGCATACATTTTCATTTGCTGCTTCTTGTTTTCGCCTAAATCTTCAAAAAAACGTGAAAAATATGAAATTTCAGCCCAAATGAATTTCATATCAGGATTCTCAGTTAGATGCCGCAACGCATTCGATAAGATGTGTTTTGTATCTGTCAGAAAAAATTGATAACTTTAATCAAAGCAATTAAAAACACGTGTTTAGTATGCATGTTTACTGATTTTACCAAAAATGATAGTTTCAACATTATCAACACATTATTAGGAAAGTGTTAAACTTTTGAGAAGACAACTTCGACCACAAAAAAGTAAGGCATAGTAGATAGTCTCTTAATTTTAAAGCTTACTTTTTTAATCACCTGATGGTTATATATCTTATATTATCTCCAATAATCAAATACTGATTCCTTGAATTACAAAACTTTTCGTTTGAAACATTTTTCAGGAATTTCGATTTAAATTAAGCGTTTCCTAACTCATTGAATTCAAATAATAAAAACGGCTATCATACCATAGAGTAATTATCTCTGGAAAATGTTAATTAAAGTGTATGCAGATGATTATCAAGTCTGTTGCAGCAATATTCTAATTGAAAATTAAAAATATACTGTTAACATTGTATTGGCTTGCTTTTGTCGCGCAAATGTTTTAAGTGCTTTAAGCCAATGCATTTAAATTGAAAAATGCAGTAGTTTCGCGTACGGCGAGTAAGACTAGTGTAGAACTTTGGATGGGCTCACCAGCGTTATAATAGTCCTCGAACGTTTTTATCCAGCCGGGATCGTTATGGGAGTGCGGCACAACAAACACTTTCAGCATGTGTTGTTGATTGTACTTGAGCGGATCGTATTTTATGTTCCACCCTTGCTTCCAAACGCCGCCATCAATATCGGCAAACGACATTTGGTCATATAATTCGAGCATTTGCACATCCACTTGCGGCAACTGATTAACTACGTCAGCACATTCTCCAGCTTCGTCGGCTTCATTGTTGACTGAATCGACGGCTAGAATATCGTCATTTTCTCTGGTTTTGGCCGGTCTTTTTGCAGAACGTTCGCGTGAATTTCGCATTTCGTGGCCCTCTTGTAGCAATACATTCTCCAGTTGTTGCAGCTTGTTTTCAAGCGCTATATAATTTGGCTGTCAACATATAAATAAACTTAAGAGTTGGTACTAATCAAAATCCATCACAACCACACAAGCACATTACCTTTTTCGCATTCGGAGCCGGTGCCGCAAAATTAAGGACTACATACAGGCTGAGAAAAATGAGGAGACATCCACAACAAATAAGTAGCGCAAAGCGACGACGAATGCGCAGCATGTCTGTATTAATTGGGCATTGATGCCCTCAATGTTTTTAAAAGTAGCGACGCTGCTGCTTTTTATACTTCCGAAAAGACTTGCGTGGTCTTTTCACATAAACAAATGCCAAGCTAAGCGATGAACCGATATATCGATAAGCAAAAAATAGGACTGCCACCTATCTCACTTCGATCGAAGTGACAGCCCTGCCTTTCATTTTCCGATTTTCCCGCAAAGCGTATCGGTTTACGGTTAATTAAATAAAAGTATATTTTGTTGGAAATATAAAACACAGTGTGATCATAATGGTGTTACATGTGAAAATTGTAAGCCCAGCACTGCACTGAGCTTTGAAGCCAGGAGAATATAGTAAAGCGTTGAATCTTAAACTGTTCGTGTGTATGTGTACGCAAGTATATCGATTTCTGCAGAATCCTTGGCAGCATCCACTACAGAGGCATCCATAAGCAAGCGATATAAGTAAATAGCGTAGCATTGTGCAAACCTCTAAGCCTTGCATTAAGTGCGTCCACAAGCCGCGCCCATGCCTTGAGCTTTACATTTAAATGCTAATTGAACCTTGTCGCCATACATTTTTAGAATTTGTTGTCCATTGCGCCATGAAGCGTCAGAACGTTAGAACCCTGTCGCTGGTGGTGTGCACATTTACCTATTTGCTCATCGGAGCGGCAGTCTTTGACTCGCTTGAATCACAAACTGAAGCAAAGCGTTGGGAATTTTTGCAAGGTACATATACATATATGTGATCAGTATATACTCCGGCAAGATTCAAAAGCACCAACTACTATTCGCAATCACCCGTCAAAATAAAACAAAAAATTACCTTAAATCCAAATCATCTTCATCATGCATTCCCAACGTTTTATAACTGGCTCTTTTTTTTTTATTTTTGTAACAGATTATATATGTATCTATGTTTTTATTTAAAATTCGAATATAAAATTAACCAAATACCTATAATTTTGAATACCCTAAACCAAACCAAAATGGATAAAAAGACTGTAAGGTTTTTTGCAAATGTGTGTACATTTATTCTTGGTCAACATCAATAGTCGAGTCGATCTAACTAAGTTCGACTGTGTGTCCGTATGAATGAACGCGTCGATCTCAGAACCTATAACAGCTGGCGACTTGAACGTAGGTCTTCGTTGTGTACGCGCAGTACCATTTTTTTTAAATCATTGATTACTTGCTCCCTTTCCAAGCAATCAATATGAATGTATAACGAATTTCGGTTTCGAATGTACGAATATTCTATACAAAATGAGCTACTGCGCGAAACTTCCTTAGGATCAGTTAAGAAGCTATTGAAGTTGTTGAAAAGACAGGTGACAGCTTTCGCAAAGCACAAGAACTTCACTATACATAAGCACACATAATAGAATTGTTTTAGTTCAGTTCCTCTTAAATCAATACCAGTTCTTGAAAGGGATGTAAAATATGTGGAAATGGCAAGTGGCTCTACACCGGCAGAAGGGAACTCACTTTTGTTATACATATTTTTAATACTGCTAGTTATCCCTTTACCCATTGAATAGGTAAAAAAGTGTTAACCTTGGAGAAGGTTCAGGGTATCCCCTAGTCGGGCACCCCCGACTTGTTTTTAATACGAGCTATTGATCTGTGTTATCTTATCGCTTCTTATGCTACTTTTTATTTAATAATTGGCCCTGAATTTGAATATTGATATTGGATCTCGGATCAAATTTTGTTTTCATGCCGTAGCGATAAAGAATAATTTCGTTGAGAAATACAATGTGAGTGCAGAAGACTACCGGATGATCGAAATAGTAATAATAGAGAACAAACCACACAAGGCGGGACCTCAGTGGAAATTCGCTGGCGCATTTTATTTCGCCACTGTGGTGCTAGCAATGATTGGTAAATATTACATGTAATGTTAATGCAATTAAATTGTATTGATTTAAATATAACAAAAAATTAATTATAAAGCTTATGAAAGCCGCACGAATCCAAAATACATCAAGTTTTTAAAATATAAATATAAGAACTTAAATGACGCGTGCAAAACACACATCAGTATAAGAACCGAGACAATATATTATTTATTTGTGTATATTTAAAAAGTATAGTCAAATTCATGAGTTAATCAGATAATTAGGATATTAATGCACATTTTGCTAGCTCATTCTAATAACTTTATATGAAACGATTTTTCAACTATTTATGATCAGATTATGTCAAACTCAATAAATAATTAATTGAAAAGTGCCAAAGTTATTCAGACTGGTGTATGAATAGGGCTTAGAAAATGTGGTCTGATTAATTTTTTTCACGAATCTAAAACGGCTTAAGACCAATATTGTTACGGGAATATATATATATGTATATACTAGCGGGTATATATAAAATAAATTTTCTCAAATATCTTTGAAAATTATTTTGAAACTGATCGGACGGTAAACGGATAGAATTTCCCAAATCGCTGAAACATGTATTCATTAAACTCTTATGCAGAGCTCTGAAAATAAGTTTGAAGCAAATCGGTCTAAACTTAAAACTTCCCCAAAAAAGTCATAGAATCTCACTTTTTACCGAGGATGCTTTGATTCTGCGAAAAATGTGAAACACGTCCCAAATGATTTTTCATAAAGATTCTTGAAAATGAATTTGAGCGCGAAACGTAATCCACCAAATCTTTGGTAAACAAAAAAGTAGCATACAAACTTTTTTCGCGATTTTTACACACTTAACGTGCACCTACATCACATAAAGTAACTACAGTGCAAATTTCAGCTTCCTAGCTCTTTCGGTTTGGGCTGTGCGTTGATCATCAATCAGTTAGTCAGTCAGTTATATATATATACTAGCGGGTATAACCCGACCTTGCCCGTGGCACGTATGTTATAAAATCAATGTTCTCAAAAAAATTTGAAATGATTTTGAAACTGATCGGACGGTAAACAAATAACTTTCATACAAACGTTTTCCACCAATTTACCACTGTATCGGGTGGAATTTCCCAAATCGCTGAAATACGTACTTATTAAGTACTCATGTAGAGCTTTGAAAATAAGTTTGAAGCAAATCGGACACAACTTAAAACTTCGCCCAAAAATTCTTTAAATCGCATTCCCCCCGAAGAAGTTTGAATTCTGCGAAAAGTGTGAAACACGTATCAAATGATTTTTCTTATAGATCTCTGGAAATGAATTTAAGCGCGAAACGTCACCCACCAAATCTTTGACCTCCATTTCCACCAAGGAGGAACGTATTTTTCGAAAAGTGTGAAACACCCCTCAAATGAATTTGAACAAAGATCTTTGAAAATAAGTTTGAGGCCGATCCGATGGTAAACAAAAAAGTTACATACAAACGTTTTTCGCGATTTTGCCACACTTGCGGGTGGAATTTCCTGAAACCCCGTCTTAACGTGCACCTACATCCCATAAGGTAGCTACAGTGAAAATTTCAGCTTCCTAGCTCTTACGGTTTGGGCTGTGCGTTGATCGCCAATCAGTCAGTCAGTTAGTCAGTCAGTCAGTCAGGACAAACAGTTTTATATATAGAGATTACCTTATGTGATGTAGGTGCACGTTATATATATATATATATATATATATATATGCAGATGCATGTGTGTATATTTATATGTATGTGCGGAATATTTATATTTTTCAGGATATGGGCACTCCACGCCAACCACTGTGGCCGGAAAGTTATTTACAATGTTCTATGCGATGGTATGAAATACTAAATACTTATTAACTAGCACAAGCTGCTCTCATTTATCTGAAGCTAATATATGTTTCCCTTTTAGGTGGGCATTCCCCTTGGGTTGGTTATGTTCCAGTCCATTGGTGAGCGTTTGAACAAGTTTGCGTCCGTGATAATTAGACGCGCAAAGCGGGCAAGTGGAGCGCGATGCACTGACGCCACTGAAATGAACCTGATGTTGGCCACTGGAATGCTCTCCTCGATTATTATAACGACCGGAGCAGCTGTTTTCTCTCGCTATGAGGGCTGGAGCTACTTTGACAGCTTTTACTATTGCTTTGTCACGCTGACCACTATTGGTTTTGGAGACTATGTGGCCCTCCAAAATGACCAGGCGCTGACGAACAAGCCCGGATATGTGGCCCTAAGCTTAGTATTTATACTGTTTGGACTAGCAGTGGTAGCCGCCAGTATTAACCTGCTTGTACTACGATTCATGACAATGTCAGTCCCTTTTTAGATCTATAGTTCAAGAGCTAAGCAATAATGGTTTTTATTCTCTATTTTCGCTGTAGGCAAGCCGAAGACGCCAAGAGGGACGAACAGGATGCCCAAAATCTTGCTGCTGGCAACCAGCCACTCACATTTGATGACGAGTCTACGTACAACATGCACGGGAAGCTCTTGGAAAACAACTACACGACCGAAAACGATGAGACGGTGTCCCTGTGCTCTTGCACATGCATGGGTGGGACACGGTGTTTAAACCACGAGCAATTTGTTGATCCGGATTTCCAGCCGATGGATATAATTGAAAGCACTCTTTGTCTGAAGCGTGCATCCGTTTAATAGATTCGGCATCGGCAAATTCCGGCAGTCAAATGAACATACATATGTATATGCCAAATTCTTCTAGTGATAATACAGAGTCTGGCCTCTGCAGAGGCTGCCAAATTATATCTGTTTTTGAGAGACCCACGTAGAGAACCCAACCACCATAAGTAGATGTATTCCTCAGTTCTAAATATAGAAAAATAGAAGCTAATCCTTCAAAATATAAACTATACATAAATATTACTATCTATCAAAACTATACAGACTGTATTATTAATAAATCGGTCAAATATATGTATGTATGAATGTATGTATGTATGTACCCATACACATTTACCTAAAAAAAATTTTTACACTTTTCAAAATTTGTAGAATCGAAGTAGTCTAGCATAGGACATTAGCATTTTTAAGTTGTGCCAGTCTCATTCCAACATCGACTCGACTACGATACACGTATAGAGAAAAAGTAAGAAAATTATACGTAAAAATCATTTAAATCGGTTTCTGCCTTCCAAATAGGAATTGCTCTCCAGAAAATTCGGAAAAATATTTCCAGCAAAATTGAATTTCATTGTTTCTCGTAGTCGTAATCATGCGTGAAATCGTGCACATTCAGGCTGGCCAATGCGGCAATCAGATTGGCGGCAAGTTCTGGGAGGTCATCTCAGACGAGCATTGCATCGACGCGACGGGGACATATTACGGCGATAGTGACTTACAGTTGGAACGCATCAATGTCTATTACAATGAAGCCACTGGCGCCAAGTATGTGCCACGAGCTATACTTGTTGACCTGGAGCCGGGAACCATGGACTCTGTGCGTTCGGGAGCATTTGGTCAAATCTTTAGACCAGATAACTTTGTGTTCGGCCAGTCTGGCGCGGGCAATAATTGGGCCAAGGGTCACTACACCGAAGGTGCTGAACTAGTAGATTCTGTGCTAGATGTGGTTCGCAAGGAATCTGAAGGCTGTGATTGTCTACAGGTAGGTACTAATCATATTTTTTCCAAAGGCGAGGTAATCACTTGCTCAAACAGGGATTTCAGCTTACACACTCGTTGGGTGGAGGCACCGGGTCCGGCATGGGCACCTTACTCATTTCAAAGATACGTGAGGAATATCCCGATCGTATCATGAATACCTTCTCGGTGGTGCCCTCTCCCAAGGTGTCGGATACCGTGGTCGAGCCCTACAATGCTACCCTAAGTGTTCACCAGTTGGTCGAGAACACTGATGAGACGTACTGCATTGACAATGAGGCGTTGTATGACATCTGCTTCCGCACTTTGAAACTGACCACCCCGACATATGGTGATCTGAATCACTTAGTGTCGGCCACAATGTCTGGAGTTACCACCTGCCTGCGCTTCCCGGGCCAGCTCAACGCTGATCTACGTAAGCTCGCTGTTAACATGGTTCCTTTCCCGCGCCTACACTTCTTTATGCCCGGTTTTGCACCGTTAACTTCGCGTGGATCCCAGCAGTATCGCGCCCTGACCGTACCCGAGCTGACACAGCAGATGTTTGATGCCAAGAACATGATGGCTGCCTGTGATCCACGGCATGGGCGCTACCTAACCGTGGCGGCTATCTTCCGCGGCCGAATGTCCATGAAGGAGGTGGACGAACAGATGCTTAATATACAAAACAAGAACAGTAGCTTCTTTGTTGAGTGGATTCCAAACAACTGCAAGACAGCCGTGTGCGACATTCCGCCTAGAGGCCTGAAGATGTCGGCTACATTCATTGGCAACTCGACGGCCATTCAAGAGTTATTTAAACGTGTTTCCGAGCAGTTCACGGCCATGTTCCGTCGCAAGGCCTTCTTGCATTGGTATACCGGTGAGGGTATGGACGAGATGGAGTTTACAGAGGCTGAGAGCAACATGAACGATTTGGTATCAGAATATCAGCAGTACCAGGAGGCCACTGCCGACGAGGAGGGCGAATTCGACGAGGATGAGGAAGGCGGCGGCGACGAATAGTTTGAAACAACAGTTCTTACACATGCGCGCAACCCCAATCAGAAGAAACAAACGACCGACTACATACTTAACCACTTTCCACTTGTGTTACGTATTTGTTACATAGTTTAGAAGTTTTGCTTCCCTATTGATGGTGCGACATACATAGCACACAAATAAAAAGCCGCGTCTAAATAAATCTGCCATGGTGCCAATATCAATTACATACATATATGTCTGGCAACGCTGTGGGCCCGCTGGGAGGGACTGTCAAAGTGACATTTTATGGTCATGTCTTCGACAATGCCCGAAACGCCGCTTTCCTCAAGATGCGGCTTTGTACGCGGTCGCAAGCGCATTAAACCGCATCCCGTCTCGGATCTACGGAAGGCAACCGACTTTGAGATGCCCAGCACAGACGAGGAGAATGAAGAACATTGTAACTTGCTGTACTTCGCGGAATCACCGATTATACCACTGGCCAATATTAGTGAAAGCAACTCTTTCCAAGAAAGAAAACCTGCCAAGCGTTACCCATTGCGTAAAAAATCCTGACTGCACCAACATTTTCGCAATCAATTTTTTATTTTATTGAAATGTTTACAATATTTGTGACAGGAACAGCAGCGGGAGCGCTTAAACGTAAACGTAAATTAAACTAACTAAATAACTTTTGAGATAATATATATAAAGGTATACATAGACATAAATAGACAATGCAATTTTCGAGCTTATACATCATCAAAAAGACCCCGTGGTGGCGGACCAACAATGCGACGTTCGTTCTCCTCGTCGTATGCATCTTCCTGCTCGATAGCGCCACGGAAACCGACCTGCATTTGAGTGCTGACACCGAAACGATCATTGATTTCTTCCGACAGCGAGCGTGGTACGTTCAGCGCCGAGGAGGACGCTACCGCAGCGTAGTCATAACTTACGTCACCATCTCGTAGCAAACCATCAGCTGGCGTACGACTGCTGGTCAATGGACCAGCAATGCCCCCACTACTTAAGCCGACAGCGCCACGATATTTGCCAATGTAATCATGGCTAGACAGTGTGTCAGGTCTCGAAAAGTCACGCCGTCTGGCAATTGCCTCCTCGGCCCGCTGTCGGCGTCGCTTCTCGCGAGCTATTAAATCTTTGCCCTCTTGCACCAGCTCCGTGGCGATAGTTTCATGCTGCAAGAACTGTTGAAAGCCCAATGCGTTGAGCGCACGACTGCCCAAACTGAACCAGGTGGCGAGACAAAATGCTAACATACACATGGGAAAATAAATGTTGAAGCCATTCGAAATAATACCAATGACATCCATATGACCCATTATTTGTGTGTAATATGTTTCCATGATACGCTGCAAAAACACGAGTGTAAATTAATGGCGTACAGTTTTTGAAAGTCATTTTCAGCGAACTCACCGTCTGTATTATGTGCGAATCCATGTGAATGAGTCCCAAAAAGTTAAGACACATGGGCGGCGTTAGTCGGCAGAGCAGCATTCCACTGAATATCAAGCTGTGTTCGTTGGTCTGATGATGCGGTGCCAAGTAATATAGGTTCAGGAACCGAATGCGCAGAATTGTGGAATAGGTGCAGTAAAAGAAGTAGCACAGCACCATCATAGAAAATATCTCAATGGTAAAGAAGTCATTGCTAGCGTTGGCCACATTAATGACATTCGCGAAAATGGAGAGCACTGGGTGGCGACTAAAGAAGGTGAGCTCGCTCCACACGACCATCGCGGACATTGTTGCCGTTAAAACGCACAACGCTTTGAGAAACGGCGCCTTAAATAGGCACTCCCAGTACCATTGTATCGTGGCGCTATAACAAATTCTTTCCAATTGCGAGCGTTGGCGGGGAAACTCTGTTTTGAAGCGGTGTTCCGCCGAGTGTATATTCCGAGCCACATCCTCGAGATGCAGAACCGCATTAACCTGCACGCTCCAAAGCGCCTCAGTGCGCTGCAGTGTTTGCAGTGATTTGATCACCTGCTTGTGTATACGAACCAGCGCCTTCTCTGAGGGTACGATGGTAGAGGTGGTTCCACCCATGCCGTTGCCTCCGCTGCGCGCAAAATTTCGACTGGCTCGTTCTTGCAGCTCAATAGGTACTTTTCGCATTATTGTCTCGACGCACGGACGTAAATCATGATTGTTGGGTACAGCCCGACTGATGCATTGCAGCGATTCGAGTACATCGTCTACATGCTCCTCCGCCTCTGCCTTGTCCGTACTGAGCTTCGCAGCTTTAAAGTAAGCATATTGCAGCGTAAATCCCGGTTTCGCATTGTTCCACAGCGAACGAGGCACCTCTACAAGAGCATAGCCGAGTAACAGAATAAGTAAAAACAGGCCCCAAGTGTTGGAAGCTGATGAGGCGATCGCCTTCAGCTTCTGCCAATCCAGCGATACGCCCTTGACGGCAATGTAAATGAGCAAAACGCCGCATATGAACAAATAGGAGCCATAATATATTGCATTCTCGATCAACGCCGACCTCAGTTTGCCCTTGATTGTGAAATCACCCGCCTTGAGATACGACTGCATCAAAGGCATGATTAGCCATGTGAGGAACTGCGAGCTCCAGTAGATGATGCGCCACAAATTTGGAAATACAGACGCTGGCACCATGCCCCAGGGCTCCTGGCAATCATCTGGGTGCAATTTTATTGTTGTGATAGTAGTTGTTGTTATGTTGCCATTGCCCATGGTGTTTCCCACTGCTGATTCTGGCACCGGTTTATGCTTTTCCTCACACTGTCGATACAGCGTCTGCAATAATGAATTCTTGTTCAATATTTTATTCACTGTAATTATGAGTTACTTACTGAGGTTACGTCCAACGGAATGGTAAACACTATCAGGAAGGAGAAACACCAGGCCGTCAGCACGGATAGCGTTACAAGGATATGCTGACGTGGTATGTTGCCATAGCGATACAGCATCACACTGGCCAGGAACAAAGCACCGATGATACCAAATGTCAACAAGTATGCCATTTCTAGGTGCTTGTTTACGATTGCAAAAATGTGCTAGTCTTAATTATAATAAGCCGCAGCCTATGCGGCTTCCTGGTGTAGCTCACCAGCGTTGTTCTTGTTGCACTTCGTGCGTTTTTGTTGCAGCTGGCGAGCTGTTTCGCGATGCATTTCCTCGAGACTCTCCAAAGTGTGAGACTTTAGTGGCATTAAGCGCGGTTTAATAAACACTAGCTCAGTTTTGTGTTCGAAAAACAATTTTCCCGTGCTTGGCTCAATTAATTCGATTTTCTCATTTACGTTTCTAAGCAGCTCACGCTCTTTTGTCGACATACTCGGACGGCTGCCGGTAGAGCATTTATGCTAACTGATCAAATTTGCACTAGTTCGGCACCATCAAGTGTGGACGGCAAGGTTGATACGAGCAAGCGTTTGGCTTGTAATTTTACAAATATGCGTCACTGGCAAAAAAGATAACAGACTGTATCCAATTTGTTGTTTATTTCCTTTGGGCAAATTAAAAATTATCGATTTTTCACAAGTAATCGCGATTGGCAACGCTAAAAATGTTTGTTGGCAACAACCACAGTTTAATTACCGAGTTGGCAGCTCTTCGTTTCTATTGTTTTTGTTTTGCTGGCAAACAAGCTGACAAAAATTGTTTGTTGTATTTACTGATATTAAGCAGTTTTTTTTTTAACTTTACAGCCATGGATGCAAACGTCTTAAAGAACGATGGCGAAAAGGTGCACACCTGCCGCACTAGTGGTGACGGCATGGAACAGACCGAAATCACGCCAACTGCGAAAGTAGAACAGGAAAGATCATCAGCCAGTTTCCAAGTCGTTAATAAGGTCAAGCGACCGCAATTGCCGCGTAAGGATAGTACTTCAGTCCAAGAAGCGGTAATTGTGCATAAGACATCCGTAGGCAACTTGTGTTCGTTGCCTCTGCCCTTGCCTGGCCTACACACACTCTACCGGCGCTCCGAAGTCGTAAGCCGGAGCCTTGCACCTGTGCTGCCTAAGGGTGAACTCGTCCAACTCAAGCCCAGGCTGGTGAGCACCTCTGAACCACTGCCGGAACATAAGAAAACTAAGCCACCAAAATTCGTGCCTTATGAACCATATCCAGGTGCCGTGAATTCCATGACACCTGCTCAGCAAACCGCAAAGCACAAAGTTCAGCGTGTTAGCAAAAATAATTTAGACATTGGAGTGCTTGCGGATCAGGTATCTACGTTGCGCACCCTTGAGCTAGACCTAGAGGATGCAGATGGAAAACACGCTGATACAAGCAACGCAGGCAGCGAGGAATTGCGGCGACTGAAGCAAGAGTTAACAAAAACGCGCCAGGAGCGCGATCATTTTCAAGCACAGTATAAATTCCAGACTCAGGTTAACGGAGAGCTTAAAAGCCTGTTGGTAGCCTCCGTTGGTGAGGATTTGCAAACCCGCGTCAATTTGCTAACAGAGGATAAATTGCAACTTGCTCGCGCCTTGCTCGATACGGCCAACAATTTAACCACACACACAGAACAAATCGAATTTTTGGCCAGCCAGTGCGAGGTATGGCGCTCCAAGTTCTTGGCCAGCAGCGTTATGGTCGAGGAACTAGCCCGCTGGAAAGCCGATCTGACGCAAAAAAATCAAATGCTTAACGAATCAACTAAACAACTGATGCACACCACACATCAAATTCGGGAAATTCAATTGGACATACTAAAGCAACTGAAGTTCCTAGCCAAAATACGCTATCTAAATTTGCCCGCCACGGATGTTATCAGTCTAAGCGCGGAGAACTTAAATATACTACAACGCATGGTGTTGCACTCAGGTCTGGGCATTCCTGAGACAACGCTCAAGCTATCTAGCGCCACAACGAGTCCGCTCTGTGATGCAGAAAAGTATGCTGTGCAAGTAAGTTGATCTCCAGTAGCAATTTTCAGATGGAATTGTACATTAAATGCTTTTCAGGCCCTGGAATTTGTTAGTCAGCCGCTGATGGCCACGGATGAAGCTATTCGAGCGCTTTTCGGGCAGGTGCAACGTCCGAATTACATGTCAGCAACTAGCGAGTCAGAGACAGCATCTACCCCTCAGCTAGCGGATTATTAACAATTTTAGATTTTAAGAATATTAAATGTTTATAATTGACAAATGCGATAATAAATCACTTGGACTTCTTTTCGGTGCTATACAGATCAAGACGCCGTTGGCTGAACACTGGAATTTGTTGGCGTACTTGTTCCACCAAGGTAAAATCAATATCGGCTGCCAAAACTTCCTCGCCTTCGCCAGCGGCTTTGACGACTTTAGCCCATGGGTCCACAATCATAGAATGGCCATATGCAACGTACTCTGCACTGGAGTCTCTAGCCGGCGATGTAGTTACCACAAAGAGCTGATTATCATTTGCGCGCGCACGTTGCAAGAGTTCCCAATGCAAAGGACCTGTTGTCATATTAAAAGCGGCCGGGTATATGATCATCTCACACCCAATGTTCCGATAAAGCCGTGCCATCTCCTCAAACCGAATGTCATAGCAAATACCAATCCCAATCTTATGCCCATCAATGCTGATGATTGTAAAGTCGTTGCCAGCAGACAGTGTCTCAGATTCCTTAAAGCGGATACCGCCTTTCACGTCAATATCAAACAGATGCATTTTGCGGTGCTTGCCTAATAGGTCGCCCTTGGGACCCCATACGGTGCAAGTATTGTATATGGCATCGTTCTCGCCCAACTCGGGTATTGTGCCACCCACTATGTAGACCTGATTATCTAGAGCTATTTTCGAGAGCTGCTGGCTGGTGTAGCCATCCGGGATCTGTTCCGCATACTCACGAAAGTATTTTGTGCCATAAGGACAGTTAAAGCACTCGGGTAAGGTCACGAGGCGTGGCTTATGCTTTTTAACAGCCTCTTCAATTTTGTTAATGGCATTTAGCACATTCGCTGTTTTGTCTTTCGAACCCTTTAACTGTAATAAAACAAGACGCATAACTGCCCAAGGAACATCAATACTGAAATGAACGTTAATTTAATCGCCATTTTCACTTACTATTACTGGACTGGCTCATTATACTTGTTATGCGTATTTTGCAACTTAAAAAATATATGAGGTTCCAAAATGCATATACATTAACAAAACACAAACCGATCGAAGTCCATATATTTTGTGGTAGTCTGGCAAGGCTAATTAAGTAGAGCGCAACCAACTTCATGTGTTTTCTACTCAATACCGCCATTGATTCCTTTTTAACTGCCTTTCTAAAACCATTTAGGCCAATGCCATGCTGATAAAATTTCTATTTTGAAAAAATTCAATAACTGAGCAATGCCGCTCAAAGTCAATATTGCAAGCAGCAGGTCGGTTTTCCTAAATGAATCAAATTTTGATTTCTTTTAACATTCACCTCAAATTACCCGCACAGTTGAAAACAGCTGAGCCACTTTAAGTATGCGCGCTGGCTAACCATCTCTAGTGAACTGCCAACCTATTAATGTAGCGTTGCCGCACTATGACATAAAATTGCGAACAGGTGGCAGCTCTATTGCTAGCAGCTGTTATTCATAATTCGTTCGGCAATCACATAATCGTAAATATTTACTATTTGTTACAAGTTCAATATAAAAGCAAAGATTTTCCCACAGTATGGCTGGAACTAAAGTGCTTCGCGCCTTGTTACACGAGCTGCGTCAAGCTGCCCATGATCCTGGCAGCATTAAAAACTCTTTAGCTGCACGCTATATTCTGGCGCAGTACAAAAAATTTGAAACAACCGATCAACAGCTATGCAAGGCCCGAAACGAGGCCATCTTTCTGGGTCAAACATATTTAACCTACCTGAGTAGTCTCCGCAAATACAACGCGCTATACAAAGATTATCATGGACGTGGCGAACGCACGGTGAAAGAAACAGCGGACCTTGTGGGCTTCAAGTTACCTACGGATCCAAAGTGATCGTAATACAAATGTATTTTACGTGAACTATGTAGATAAACTGTGAATTGTAAGGCAATAAATATCCGGATATGATGTTAGCATCCACATTCTATTCGATCATTTGTCTGATCAACGCAAAGACGCGATAAGTCACTGACATAACCTACGATTTAAATAAGCCTGTAGTCAACGCCTTATCCTGGCTCTGCTCTTTACCTACTTGCTTAAAAGTGTCCAGCGATACTGGTAGATAGCCCATGGCGCTTAATTCAGCTGGCCTCTGTGCACGTGTGATGATAATCAACAAGAATTTTTTGTAAGCCGGCGATGCATCGGACCAGTTGTGGTTATAGGCGGCATGGGTAATGTTTGTGCTCTGAAGAAATGAATTGTCTGTTATATCAATTGAAATATAATTGCCTGTAATAGGTACCAAAATCCGAACTAATTCGCCATAGTAGCACACCAAGTAAACCTGAGAAGTTGCCGTCATCATAAATACGATGTAGGTAATTCCTTCTAGATTTAGTCCCTGAAGCTGAGTGTAAACTGCCACAGTGCAGAATACGCCCGAAGTTGTAATCAGGCTTAACAAAAGTGAACCCCCAAAGATGCCATTGAGGTCATCCTGAAGGCTACAAGCTGAAATGGTAAATAATCTAACCATTGCAAATTGGCACATACTTACTCTAATAATTGGACATGCGTGTCCACCAGATCGGAAATGAATTTCCTATCGACGGAGTCACGCGTCCAGTGAGGCTGGTAACTCTCTAGAGATCGCGCAATGTAATCAAAATGCATGCATATCTGCACTTCAAAGCATACCAGCCACAGATCTGTGCTCATATTCGATATGACCATCAAAGTACTGTGCATCCATTCCAGAACATAAATCACAAAGTAATGCCATAATGGGTCCTGCTGTGGATCAAATATGTAATATGGATAGCAATGCATAAAGGGAAAGCGTTTCTCCATTAGATAGATATAACCCGACTGCAGGAGAGGTCCTAATACGACCATAGCTGACGATCCAAAGTACACCACAATTAGCATGAGCAGTGGGCGTGGCCAGTAGAACTCGTTGACGCGATGGTCGATCCGTGCCTGTGTGGACTTTGGAAAGAGCGCCGCAAGTTTACTATTAAGCCGTTGAAAGGCGACTCTCTGTTGAGATGTTCCGTACTTTGTGTCAGAGTTTATGACATACGTTACCAGAGTAGCATAACGTATTATCAGGGAGACATCGGTACCAATTGTATCCCACTCGATTATCCGGCGTATCATGAATAAAACAGAACAGACGTGGCTGCCCACGCAGATCAAGTGGTAGAGCTGTATTAGCATATGGCGACGTGTCCTGCCTGTATTTAGTATTTCATAGCCGCATAGTCGATAGCTTAGGCTTGGTACCCATGTAAAGTCGTCGTAGTTATAGGGAACAGATTCCATTCTGAAGGTGTTACTTGTCTGTGAACCGTTTAGGCGAAGCAGTCACATTTATACTGGTGTGAAAATGAGAATTTCCTGCGGTTACGTGTGATTTTTAACGGGTGCCAATGTGGTTTTGTCAAAGGCCCGGATAACGGGTTAGAGACACATTACTTATTTCCATTATATATTATAAATACATTGAATAATTAATTAAACGAATAATTGCCTTGTTAAGTCCAAAATTATATCGGTTATTACCCTTTATAAACATTCTGTTGAATCTTCTTCCAGAGTGTCGTGCTGTCTTAAAAATACTTATCAACAAAAATATTCATTTTTCCTTTTTACATCTTGAACTACGAGGCATCAAATTAACATTAATTAAAATCAATTGAGGGAATCAATGTGTGAATCGAATTTGTAAGAAGCAAAGCTTGTGCGTAATATATATATATTGTTAATTTTATATACAAATAGGTTTTTTTTATTGAATAAATAGAAAGTTGCAGTTAAAAAAAATTTTTCATTTTATATAAAGTTATTTATATACATTTACATTTGTTATTCCCGGAACCCATTGAAAATAGTTAAGAAATGTAAAGGCGTTTTGTGCAAAAGTATGTGACAGCCGGAAGAAAGCATTTTCGACCCCATAACGTATATATCTTCATGGTCATGACCGTTTGTCTATCCATTTGCACCAACGCGTCGATCTCGGAGCCTATAAGAGCTAGAGATATTTTAACATAGGTCTTCCTAGAGAACTAGTCTCGTTTATAAGCAATCGATACAAAACCATATCCAAAAAATTTTATTTTTTTTAACTCATCTCTAAGGCTTAAGAGCTAGCCACTTAAATTGCCACGTAGTAAGGCACTCCTGGGTAGAGCTCATATAACGAATATATCCAAAAAAATCGTATAAAATAAATTTTCTCAAAAAGCTTTAAAAATGATTTTGAGACTGATCGGACGGTAAACAAACAACTTTCATACAAACGTTTTCCACCAATTTACCACTGTTGCGAGTGATAATTTCCAAATCGCTGAATTTGACTTGATTTTGCGAACAATGTGAAACCCAACTCAAATTATTTTTCATATAGATCCTTGCATGTGTATTTGAGCGCGAAATGTCACCCACCAAATCTTTGACCCCCACTTCCACCAAGGAGGAATTTATTTTCTAAAAAGCGCGAAACACCCCTCAAATGAATTTAAACATAGATAATTGAAAATGTGTTTGAGGTCGATCGGATGGTAAACAAAAAGTTTCATACAAACGTCTTTGGCGATTTTTGCAGACATGCGGGTGGAATTTCCCGAAACCCCGTCTTAACGTGCACCTTCATTACATAAGGTAACTTTAGCTCCCTAGCTCTTACGGTTTGGGGTGTGCGTTGATCACCAATCAGTCAGTCAGGACAAACAGCTTTATATATACATATTACAGAGAAGACAATTTGAGAAAATTATTGTATCGATACTACGAGAAAAGGCTTAGATTATCTGTGATGTTCAGCCATTGGGCAATTGGTGGCATAGCCTTTTCTCAGGATCCATGAGACACGATATTAGAAACTACATTCATAAAAATAATAATTTAAAATTTTCTTATGTAAATTTATGAGAAATAGTTAAAAATCGGCTTTGCCCTAAAGACCTAAAGTAACAGATAAATTTAGTAGGAAAATATATTTATTCCTATTTGTCGTTTGTTCAATATCAACATTCCAGAAATTAAACTGCGGATTACATTATTCTGTTATGCATATGTAATATGTATGTGTAGGTACGATTGTTATAAAAGTAAAGCAAGTATGCCGAATTCCGCCAAAAAAAAAATGTTTACACTTGTTGGTGGCTTAAGCCGTTGCTTCCAAGAGCTTGTAATTTCCATAAATGCGTTTTCGTAACCTCTTCAGTTCGCTTGGGCATTTTTACCGTTGCTTACTTGTTATACCCTGTATCAAAAATCTTTGCAAGGGTCTACAACAGCCAGAATGTCCCTCCATCTTCCATATATAAATTGCGATTTGCAGTCAACGGTCTTGTTTGGCTTGCATATGCCGAAGATTATCTAGAGGCACCAAATTAGGTATGCCGTAAATGTACAGATAAATAATATATAATTTTTCCCCAAAAATGGATTAAACTTTTATAGGAGCAATAATCTTGCACTTTGTTAAATACGCTGATTTGGATTATAGACTTCCGGAAGATATTCAGGAATACATATACCACAGTGTGGGGTTGAGCGAAGACGAAACATGTATTACGGAATCTTAGATCTAAGTAAAGGGAAACTTCTCGTCGGGCATTCTTACGTTTTATTGTAGTTCTTGCCATTGTTGCTGCACTTGTGACCATTGCCGTGTTTATATTTGTTGTGGTTGTCATATGAATTCTTACACATACCAATAAATGGGAGCTGGTATTGCTAGCTCCCTCAATAGGTTCCATCTGAGCGGAATGCTAAACAGCAAGGAGCTGTTGGAATTTCTATTGTTTGCAACGCAACAAGCGTCGTGTCTTTTAAGTTTAATTGTGCATTCGCGCAGCAGTAAGAAGCGTGAATCCATATACTTTTTAAAATATTTTTATGCAAGCGAAAATACTTAATAGAATGTGTGTATGAGTGTTCATGTTTAATACAATTCCTAAATTTTCACTATTCATATACATTCATATTCATAAATATGTGTAACTCCTAACCCCATAAGCGATTTGCTTTTCTTTGCTCCATTGCGCACTTTGTACTCAAACCCAAGGCAATTTAATTTTCTCGCTTTAGATATTACACAATTTAAGAGCTTGTCACTTTCCTTTTATTTCCAATCCTAGTTCACAGAGACTTAGTGTTGTGTCGTGATGAACTGTGTGCATAAATGGAGAAGAAATTCAACTAGATCTTGTATCTTGTATTTTATACCTAATTTATTCAATAGGTTCAATTGAAGGATTTTTAAAGGGTAATAAAGTTGCTAATAATCGGCTTTTGACTACACATTTCATATGTTTCATTTCATTTTATTTTGTCCCACCCCAAAGGCGTATTTTAAATTTTAACGCCACATTTCAAGTGGTTTATGAAATAAAGGACAACAATCGCTTCAACTAAAGTTAGATTTTAATTTTATTATGAAGCTGCGGTGTTTTCTACCGCAAAAAATAATCTTAAAATGGCAAGTAATATATGTATATTCTTACCTAGACTAAACGGAATTGAGGTAAAAAAAAATTATAGGAAATTGTCAAGTAAATTTAAGGCATTTATGGACAGCTCATAAAGTGACGGGTCGCCGGCGACCTGAGTAGTTTATGAGGTTGCAGGGTGTTTTTTCTGGGACCAACTTGAACAAAGATAGCGCCCTGGTCGACGCATAGACAGCGACAAGCATCCTAAAGCCCAAAAGACAACACACACACATAAATGAGTGGGTGGCAAAACAATAATGATAACCAGGCGGTGTTCGGGGTAGTTAAAAGTGCAACAGGCTGCCTGTCTACCGCAGTGGCTATCCATAGTCAGGTTCATTTACCGCCAATGAAATCAAAGGCAATCGCTGGCAATTCGAATTGATATTAAATCTGTTTCTTAAAAGCATTATTAAAATGATATAATACGGAATAATTATTTAAAATCTTTTCAAAAATTAATATAAAAAAGTTCTTGCTAAGAATATAGCATAACAAAGAATAACAAACTTAATAGTAAATGAATATGATATTGGCGAAAGGATTTTTTCTCCTTACCATGCCATACGTAATGGATGTAGCCAAAATATTTGTGGATTAATCTATAAATGAGTAGTCTGCATGGCAAATCTGCTAATTCTAGATCTAAAGCTGTGGAAGATATATATACATACATACATTTAACTGACGAGTATATATTGCAAATTTTAATTACGCTGAAAGAAGTTGAGCTTATACGGAAGGACGGAAAACAAGACACTGCACAAAGTGAGTGTAAAAAGATTAACGTAGTTTTAGAAATAATTTCTAAATTTAATTTCACTTCAGCTCGAAGTCAAATGAACCAGCATCACCGCTACTAAAAGTACCGGAGACTACAATCTACATGTTTACGACATATAATAGAGGGATCGTACGGAACATGATAAAGTTTCAATGTTTAAATAGCGAGACAATGTTTAAAAGAATTACAATTGAAATACGAAAACACTTGCAAGTTTCCCTCTTCGTATTGCCGAACTAGCTGAGCAGGCAAGAGCTCTTGTTATGCTCGATTTGTTTGTTGGGTTATGTTCAACCGGTTCTCTGAAGCTCTCTAATGGCGCTCGCGACGCTCATTCGTTGCATCGTCGCCAGCGGCGTCGTTTTTCGGCTATGTCAACATCGTCTTTGTTAGCTGACTCTCAGTTCGCGCTGAGCATTCGAGGCAAACGGTTCGGTTCGGTACGTTAAGGTTTGATTTCAGTGCGGCGCACTCTGCTCTGTGACTCTGGCATCCGTTGGATTGCTTTGTGAAATGGCCATGTGAGGCATCAAAGCATTTTACGATACGCAACTTGTCTCCATGGTAACCGGGTCGGGCGGGCATTCAACAGTTTAATAAAACATATATAGAAAGATCTATTTACGTATATGTAAATAAATAGATAATGTATTGTAAGGGCTTGCGCGCTGATTACGCGAATCGCAAGTGACACCCCCATCCCATAAATAACGTGTTAAAAGCAGTTTATAAGAAAGGCAAAAATAAATGTCACTGCACACACATATACATATATATGTAAATGTTTGGTTGTAAATAATGTTAAGTGCAGTTTTTAAAACATTATTTACAATTTTATATACACTTATAACGGCGCTTTCGTATACACGTTCTGGTTGTTGTTGTTGTAATTTATCTATAACTGCAGATGTTCCCCAGCGCAGTTGAAGTTCTTGTTGCTGTTGCCTGTAGCTGTCTGTACGACTGTGGCTGCGGCTGTCTAACCCGTTTATGTTTAGATGACTTGGTAACTCCTATATAGACGAACAGCAACACGCACAGACAATAATACATCAAACTGTTGTTTGTGGGGCGCAAGCAGAGTCTGGTCTGGCGTAGTATCAGTATCAGTATCTATGTATCCGTAAGATACACGTACTTGCACTGTACGCCGCTGACGTCGCGTCGTTTCCTTATTGACTGCCTCACAGGTCGCCGCGTTTGGGCCAATGTTTATTTTTGTTTGCTTGCCAGCAAGCGGGAAAAACAAGTTTGGCTCTGTAACAAAAATGGTAAGAACTAGAGAACTACGCAGTTCAGAAAATCTTAAGAAAACTGCAAATGCAAACGAGAAAAATCAAATAAAGACACGGAATAATACAAGATAAAAGCACACATTTTAATGAGATTTAATCATGCAAATTTATTGTCATGCAAAATTTCAAATTTAATACCCTAATTAGCGGCAAGTGTAAAAATCATCCTTAATGATGTCGTTAATCAAAAGTCGTCTCGTATTAGCAAATTTAGCAAATGTCGCGGCAAGTGCAAACGAAGAAGTGAAAAAACAACAACCACTGCATGTGAAAGTTAATTGTGGCTGCGCGAGCGCCTTTAAATGTATATCGCAAAATGTGTGACAAAAATAATTGATTCAGCTCCAGCGGCAGTGGAGCGATAAGGCGCCGGAGTGCGATCAGCAGACAAAGTGTCAAAAAGAGAGTGGAAATAAGCCGCAAAAGCGGGTTGGCCATAAATATTGGCATGCAACAAGTGTTTGCCATATGTCTGTACCTTTTTTTGTGTGGTGTGCGGGTGTGTGTGTGTTTGTGTGTGTGGTTGTGTGTTTGTGTGTGTGTGTGCTTTTGGGGTATGTGTGTATGTTGCGCAATTCTTTTAAGTGAAGTTTTTCCACTGCTGTTTCATTTTTAGCCCGGCCCAAACAATATAAGCATGCAATTGTGACTCATTGGCAAAACATTCAAAAACTCTATAAATTTCGAGCGTTTCGATAAACAAATACGCGGCAAAAATGGGCTTTTCTTCGGCCCTGCAGGGCCGCGCCGCACACGAGGCACTAATCGTGCGTCAAGACGCGGAACTGCGTCTTATGGAGACCATGAAACGATCCATCCAAATGAAAGCCAAATGCGACAAGGAGTACGCAATCAGTTTGACAGCCGTCGCTCAACAAGGACTAAAAATTGATCGGGCTGATGAAATGCAAGGTAAGTTCGCTCCCAAAATACCATATATACTTAACTGACAAAAGAGAGCTTTCACATTGATTGGCCTGCGATATGCGAGTGTGTACTACTCTATACGATGAGTTCAAGCATTTACTTGTATTCCCAGTTTTTATTCTCTAACTCAAATTGAAAAACATTCAGAATCGACTAGAATATACCCTGTACCCAGCTCAGAGCTGATTGAAAATAGTATACTTGAACTTTTTTTATACATATTGCGGCAAATACACTCACAGACAAAAGCCTCCGCACGGCGAAAACTCCTCACTTTCACGGTATTTCCTTCTTCTCATTGTAACGCATCAAAGGAGATATGTATCAGCAGCCGTGTCAATATAGATAAGTCCGTTTGTTGCAAACCAGTCTCTCCGTTTTGAGACTATTGGCTCGAAACTTAGCTTAGCTTGGAGAAAAGTGAAGACGTAATTTCTTAGTGTCAATAAAACATCTTGAAAAGTGTGACAACTATACGATATAACAACCTGGAGAAATGGCTGAAATAAGCCAAGTTTTGTTATAGAAAATCGACAGACGGAAAAATAGGCATGACTTCATAACTTAATCAGTTTTGAGCAATTTTTGGTACGTTGACGCGGTCGGTATCGGAAAAGTCGTTTTTGACTAATTTGATTTTAGGTTTGAAGCTGATCCGATGAAGAAGATAAATTTCTTAAAATGAGCTTGAAGCCAAACGAATGAAAAACAATAGAGTAACGTTTATTAAATTTTCGGCCACACGTTCTGTTTTTTATGTTTGTATAAAATATAAGTAAATATAAATAGTTTAAATTTGAGAAAATATAAAAGATCCTAAAAAAATTTCATAAAATGTGTCACCTCCTAAATACATGTTTAGTTCGGAACATTCTTCAACGTGTACGTCAAATGCAATCGCAAATTTTGCACTTAATTTTCGGATTTTATATACAATTTATGGTGAACTTACATATGTACTTGGACTTGCCTACGTCATAGCTTAACGTTTTGGAATTTACGCTGAGCTGTCTGAACAACAAATGTCTGCATTACTCACGATGAAAGGTTGTTACCGCGCGTGGAGCCCGCTTCGAAAGCCCTGAAAAGCTGGCTCAAGCCTCTGTAGGAGAGCCTACTGCCATTAGTCACAAATGGCGGCGGACGATAAGGCTGCGACTGATGCACCAGAAGGCTTTCACTTTCGCTGGCTGCCGTCCAGGGAATATTCAGTGCCGACTATTGGCCCAAACCAAACCTAAACATGAAAACGACTAATGGGTGATAATTGTTGTTGATAATGGTATGAATTCGATAGCGGCCACCTTCACAACAGTGTGAGTGGATCGCATTTCGAGTTCCAATTTAGACAGACGCTTTATATGTTTTTCGGAGAATTTACCTGTACTAGAGTCTAGAATCATATCATACATATCTACCATTATGTATGTACATGTTTGTGCTGATATTTGTGGTGGCAAGACATTCTGACAAGAATCTATGTATGCGTATATTTTTGTAGCTGAAGCTTTGCAGCTTGCCATCTAAGCTCATCAAACTGTCGACAAAATGCAGCTGCCTTTACTCGCACCCATCCAGACAAAGACATACACAAATATACTCGTAAATAAATAATTGGTGTGATTTTCCGTGTCAGTTTTGTTTGCCAAAGGCTTTTCAGTTGCTGCTGCTTTTTCTCTACTGGGCTGCAAATGTAGCCGCTCGGTGCAAACGCAAACCCAAAACGAATTTTGTGTACAATTTAAGCGAAACTATTTATTGCATTTTGCCTGATAGTTCCAGAAGCTGCAGCTGCCCGTAAATTGTTTTACTTTATTTTTGACCATTTCTGCCACGTTTGCCATGTTTTTGGTGACCTGTTTTAGATTAGTTTCACCTTGACCATGAACGTGCAGCTCGATTTAATGATATAATGGTAATAAGACCGAGGTAAATAAAATATTACCAAAGTGCAAACAGATTTTGCTATCAACCAGGAATTGTTTACAATTGGCTAGCCCAGGTTGACTATCATCGAATATATGAATTTAAACTGTAAAAGCACTTCAGTATTTTTGGTTTTTATTTAAGTAGATTCTGTTACAATGTGAATGAGTCATTTAAGTAAACTTCGTTTCTTCCCGATAGCCAAAAGTGTTGGTGATTAGGGTGTGACACTCGATCGGCCATGAGTCACAGGGAATCATTTTTGAGCATAAAGTAAATTGAACATTTGTTTAGCTTGCAGTGCAATTATTCATATTAAAGCCTATTTACTTGAAACTCATTTTAGGCAGCCTTATTACAAAATCCTGGCGATCTTTTATGGATGAGTTGGATCAACAGGCCAAACAGTTCAAGTTTAATGCCGAACAGCTTGAGGTGATCTGCGACAAACTCTCCCATCTGTCACAGGACAAGCGGAAGGCCCGCAAGGCCTACCAGGAGGAGCATGCCAAAATTGCCGCACGCCTCAATCATGTGAGTAAACGAATCACTGATCATTCCAAAAATTCCTAAATAGCATTATTTGGAAATTCTTCAGCATGGATTGGCACTTATTGATTGATTTCTATGTATAGCAATAGCTTTAAAATTTATATTACTTAAGGAACTAAATACAACAGATAAAGTTCAATAATTTTTTGATCGCGTTTAAACCCTAATTAAAGGGTAATACCTGAACTTGCTGAGGCACACTGCCAGCCACTTTATTGAAGTTGTTTTCTGTTGTTTTCAAAATTCCACAATCAAAATAAGTGTGCATACATACGTGTATCATATTCACCGACATCTATAAGAATAGGTAAGCGTCAAACGAGGCTGACAAAAGACTTAGATCTGTAAGCAGCTTAATCGACTCTCAGCACCCATAGTGAGGGATTGCTAAATGCTTTTGTTATGCCAGAGAATAAACTGAATAAAGGTGTTGATTTATTATCATCGCGAAGACAAGTTTATTAACCCAACGGGGCTAGCTTTGGGATACGCGTCAGCCACAACTGTAGGCCTGGAAATGTAAATGTTTTCTGCTACGAAGCATATTTATTTGTTGATAATATTAGCACAACACATGGACATATGTTGCCAAATTATGACCTCCGAATATGGTAATGCCGACGATCCATGCCGATGACCCAATCAATTATTCATGCATTTTCTTGGAACTGTTCAACGCCTTCCTGCGGCCTTGAACTGAGACAAACAAATCCTTATCAATCGTATATCGGCTTAGTTCATTATATTAACTAGGCATCGAATTCTAATTTTATCGTAGTATTTGCATATGCCTCCAACATCAAAGCATGTAAATGCTTATCCCACATGTACAAAACCTAGTCATTTGACAATTTAAAGAAGAAGCAATAAAAGTTACAAAACAGCAGACACCAGCTACCAAAAGAGAAACTGATTTCGAAGCAAAATCCCGGTCAAAAAAGGCAGCAAACTTCCACTACCCAGCTTGGTTTTTCCCCATTGGACTTTGACTTATAATATTTATGCAATGCTTTGAACACAAAAGCAACAACTGCAACTAAGTGGGTTGTTGGGGAAAGAGCGGAGCAACAGTTAGCCGGACAATTGCGCTACTGTGGATTTAATAAGTCGTGTTAAACGGGTGCGAGTTCGAAGTGCACAAGCTGGAAATATTCTCGGATGTTTTTCTCGTTTGAAATTTTTAAGCGGCCTTTTGTCACTTTCTTAGATCAAAAATGTTAGTCTATATATACATGGGCAGTAGGATCTTTATAGCAATAGGGGCCGTGGTAAAAATTACTTTTCGATAAAGCACAACATATAGAATAATAAACATGTGAACCCCTTACATACCAAAATAAATTTATTCGTTTTTAGCAATATTTAATTGTAACTATAAATACATGCCTTTATTGATTCTGTTATTATCTAATAAGGTATTAGAAAGTCTTCTTCTTTTTATTGAGTTTGGCAGTCAGGAAACAATTAATTGTTTAGTTAATATTGAAATAGTTTAAGAACAAACATTCCAAAGAATAAAGATTTGTTATTAATTTTCTAAGAAAGCCGACACGATATTTATTCATTATGCAATTATCATGTTTAGCCATAAAACTATTTCAATTTAAAACCTTCTTGTATAAGTTGCTAGAGAACGAAAGCAAGGAATAATGCTCTATAAAGGCACACAAAATTTGGTGTCCACGCACATCAATGGGCCACTTTCCTATCATAGTGCATTGACTAATGCTTGAAAAAAGAACAGACGAATTGCCGCCGACTCCAGTTATTAATTGAATTCACTTAGAGGCGCCAGCAAGGGCGCCCGCCCACACGTATAGCTAATGGATATGAAATTGGTTGAATGTATCTAGTTTATTTTAGAATACATGCGTTGCACTCGCCTCTCACATGTGGGATAGAACGAACAAAATGAGCTAAGACCCAAAAGGCAATAGTCCGTCCTAGACTACGATTGCAATATGTCTTCCGGTTGGGTTTCCACCGGCCTTCATTAACATGGCGACTTTGTTGGGGCTTCGCATTTATTTATTGATAGACCGCAAAAAAGGTTCTAAAACTGACAGCATTGAGAACCACCCTCTCCGCCCATCTCCTTCCATCTAGCTAGTGTTCGCAGCAGCGAGCACTCGTATTAATTACAATAGGTTCAATTGAAGTATCTTTATACACACAGAAATACATGTACCAGCATCATCAACAATAACTGGCAATTCAGTGCCCCTTTGGTATGCCAGATAAGCCGATAAGATATGGCTGGTAAACAAACAACAACAACAGAACCGCAATAATAACAACACAAACTACTTCACTTTGACTGCGAATGCAGCGTCGCCATACATTTATATTTATATACACAACCCCAGTCGGATGGCCACTTAAAGATACATGCATACAAACTTACATATGTACTTTTAGAGCATCATGGAAAAATGGAGCATTATTGAGACAGGCATCTTGATTAAAGTTCTAAATATATGTAAGTTGAAAAGGAGGTTGGTCAAGTTTACGGGGTATACCAAGCGAGTCATTCTTCTTTCTCCATAATATTTGAACATAAAATGAAAGCTGTCAACTTTATGGTTATCCTCATGAGGAGTAAGCCGAGAATTAGCCGACCTATATTTCCCTTTTCAAAACTTGTTTTAATATCGAACAAATGCGCCAAAAAAGTGACTGGCGAAGCGTTTAATTGAGCCTCATTGATCTCCAATCAAATTCTTAAGGTCTGTACTGCCCCTAATTGGTACACAGACTACGATCCTACACATGTGTACAATTAACACAGTATATCTGTTCTTTCAATGCTAAAATATATGTCCACTAATAATTGGAAAAGGGGTTTGGAATTAACATTTTATTTAGCTCGGCCTAAGCTGGAAAAGTTTCTTGACATTGCGACAAAAGCTGGTAACTTGCACTAACAACGGGGAAAGCAACAGTCGCAAAAGACAAGGCGAGCGCACACACACTGCTTGAGCGCACCCAACTCAGATACTTTTGTATCTGTTTTTCTTCTACTCACAGCCATAAGTTGCATGCAAGTTAGGCCAGTGATTTTATCTAAACAGCGGCTGCAGCTGTCTACTAGCTGCGAATGGCACGCAGCACAAAAATTAGAGCTGATATTTGTTGACAACAAAAATGTGGCCATGTTTCTGATTTTATTGTTGTTGCTGTTGTTGTCGTAAGCGTGCAAAGATTGTGTGTTTGGTCGCGTGCACCAACAAAACAACAACTTCTATATACTTACCAGCCAAACAGCTGTAAAATTTGTGAACCCCGAGCGACGTCATGGGGTGCACCGTCTGACGGTCGCCAAGGGTGGCACTGCCCAGAAATGCCCAAACGATGTAAAGGGCATTTCCGTGGGGGTTGTTCGCATAATTGCAATGTAATGGCATGGATCGGCATCGGCATCGGCATCGTCGGCCAGTTTACAAGTTCCGCCATCAATTGCCAAGTCTGCAGCACTTGCATTTCAGCAACTTTCGTTTTGGGTTGCTGTTTGTTTGCGGAACTATTAACTCTCGTCCAAGGCAAAGCTTATCGACTGAGACGTCTGCGCCATCGTCTACACCAGAGGTCTGGCGTCTAAGTCACAAAAGCAATTGCAATGCGTGCTTTGGAAATCCACCGATGACAAGGGCTATTCCAGTGTGATAATGACGTTTACTTCCGTCACTCGGCAGCCGACTGCAGTGAAACTTGAAAAGCTGCCCAACATTTTCCCTTCAGCTTCAAAATGTAACACAAAAATAAATAACGAACGGAATATCAACTTAATAAACAGCAGCAAGAATTTGTTGACTAGTGTATAACAACAATGTATATTTTTACATAGAAAAATTTCAGTCATAAATACAACATGACAACATTTCCCAAACAAAAAGAAAAGTATAGAAGATTTACTCTTCAGCCGACTACTGTATAAATATACAATCTAACGTTTAAAAAAATAATACCTTTTAGTACGAAGATAGACATTCGATTTGTGTACCAAATCGATCGTTATTGTATGAACTATATATTTCTGTTGGTTTTTTTACCTTTGATATTGTTAATATAGACAAATATCATCAATTAGCTTTTTTGATCTGCTTTTCCTGTTGTTGCCTTAACATATTTTTCTTCATGGCGAGGTGCGGTACGTTTTTCGTTTCTGGCCCGTTCAATTTTAAATAGGCTGGGGCTGCCGCTGCTTCTGGCTGTGACGCCCACGCTGGCATTCAATATATGTGCACATATAAAAATTGTGTACATATTTATAAACAAAACTTCATAGATAGCTAATTTAGAAAAAGAGAAGAGATTTCTAAGATATTTTTTTTCATTCAGTATGTGTATGTAAACCATTTTTAGTAAGTTTTCAGTTCTTATTTTAATTTGAAATTAGCTATGACGACTGCTCTTAAATTGTTTTTAATAGGCCTGTCAACGCGGACAACCAATTAAGAACCGTAAAAAATGACAACAGTGAAGAAAGTCCTTAGATCCATAGGTAAATGATGGATGGAACAGGACTCCTGTGCGGGCAGTTTCAAAACCACTGACTGACTGGGAGGCCAACAGGCTGCGCACATGGGAAACGACAAAAGTGAACAGGGTTGACAGACAGACATTAGGAAGCAGACGAGTCATCCGCCCATGTCGGGAGCCCACACTCATGCAATCCATTAAATTCCATCCAGCTACACTCGAGCCAATTCTAATAATGCCAAAAATGTCGACGCCGGCTGGCAAAGGCTGTGACAACAACAATAACAATAGCAGCAACAATATCAGCTCCTGCGGTTGGTCCCGGTTTGGGCAATTTGCTTAGCCCAAAATGCAGGGAAGTGCCAACAATTTTGTGCAGTCCTTTGCTATATGACGTGTAGTACGCATCCTCAAAGCCATCCCGTCGAGCATGTGAAAAATTGGAATTTCCATTTTGGGCAACTGAATATGTGCTTTGGGAACGTTTATTCTATTTTAAATTGCAAGCTTTTTTCGATTAAACTAATGGAAGCCATAACTCAGCAGCCGCCCCTTATGGTAGCCAATTTAATTATCTTAAATGCGTAGAAATCATTTCACCTCCCAACTTTAAGCAGTCGCAACTAATAACCAAAGTTATGCAGCGCAAAGTTTTTGTGGGGCGTGATGTGACGATGTGGGGGATGCCAGGGATCGGCGGCGGCCATTAACTGAGCGCATTATTGTTTTGTAATTCCCGTTGAATTGCCGAACAAAAACAAAATGGTGGGCGCGGCGTAATCAACAAATCACCAACTCTAGCAGAGCCGTTCTCTAGCAGAGACGACTCCAGCATCAGTTTTTCCCTTGCCAGTATTTGGTGCTGAGGAATTTTTTAATAATGTTTACGACGCGGACGACGGCGAACTCGACGTGGCGACTTTGTCTTGCAACCACCCGTTCATTGCTCATCCGCAGTGTTGGCCATGCAAACCTGCATGCCCTTTAAGAGAGCCACAAGTGAAACGCGTAGAAGCCCCGGAGAAAAAAACATTATTTGTTTGTTGACGGCAAACGTGCTCAAGGCAGAGGAAAATTGAAAATCAAACAGATAGTGACAACAAGGGGCAGGATGGGGCTTCAACTGAAAGACCGCCTGCTTCGGCGTAAATTCTGTTTGCTAATTTGGAACGAAGCCAAAATAAAAAAAAATATACAATTGAATGTTAAATGCTGCTAGAAAAAGTATGGCTAACTACAGTGAGCATTGGATAAATTGAAATGCAAAATGCCCGACATACAGATTGCAATCGTTATTTTGAATGGCGAAATATTTTGTTTTGCTAAATGCCTAAATGCAATTTTGAACAAGCGTCGAGATATGAAAATCCTTTTTATCGATTTTCAAAACGAAGTTTCCCTTGATAAATACACGAATTTATATAAATTAAAATGCTCTTGTTTCGTTAAAGGAAAATTTGTTTCTACGAATATACAAACATAAAATGTGAACTAAATAATTTTTCGGTTTTCTCTTATTCTTTAATACAATTTAATAAATAGGTTTCCCGCTTGTCCACTACAGCCACTTTGCTTTTGGTTATATTTATAATCTAACCATTCACTTTTTTCAATACTTTTGATTATTGATTTGCCTCTCGCAAATCGGTATGTTCGAGTGGCTTGGGACATTTAAATTATGAGCTCATTTGGGTAATTTATACCCCATTTATGTCCCTGCAATTGAGTAAACACGTTGCGAGTATTGTTTTCTTTAAAAATAAGCAGATTACGTAGCCGCAGCGTGTCCCGCAACATGAATTTTAGTTTTGCAAAAACTAATTTTATTAGGTACAAGTGCAGCCGCTAATGCGACAGCTGCAATTGTGGCGAGCACTAGAATTAAAGAGCCCCGATTTTTTGTTTAATTGTAGAGCTGTTGAGGTATGCAGAGCGGCTACGTTTCATTTTATTTAAAGAGAAATCGAAAATATTTTATAGCTGCCACTAAAAATAAGAATGGCGCAGCACAGCACCAAATCGAAAAAGAATCGAGGCTGCAAGCATATTAGATGGTTCTAAATTTGACTATTGATTATGGCTCAGATTAATTTAGGTATCATTCAACTAGTTTACTCCAAAATGTGCAGAGCACAATTAAAAGAAACACTCAAAGTCCACATGCCGCAGTTGGTTTAGTCGTCATTCCGGCTCTTGGAAACCTTAAAAGTGTGGTGTCGGGCCATGCTATTGGCGCACGCGACCCCGACATCACAATACGACATCTTTTCTTTCGCGCATATATGTACTAAAAACTATGTAAATCAATCGATTTCTTTTACAATTTCACCTTGACACGACGATGTTGGTTGCCGCTCAAAGGACAATGCATTCGTTTGTTAAAATGCAGCTAAGCTACCCGCCGAGGCGACAGAGCAGCCCCATACCAAAGCAAGAATGAAATTTACAGCCTAGTTAACTGCAAAAGAACTACATATGTGTAATGAGACCAATGACAACAATGTGATTTAAAGTACGAGGGACGTTCGAACGTTTGTTGTAAACAAGTTTATATTAACAAGCATCTTGACTTTCTGATCCCACAGAACTGTTGCTCTGTAAATTGACATTTGATGGCAGGCGATTGAGGTCAGCGATGCATGTGACGACAGCTTCGTAAATACGTACATACATTATATGTGTGTGGGTCGCTATGTGCGCATTGTGTTAATTAATGTAAGCATGTGTTTAATGTTCGCGTATGTTATGTATGTTTGTGTTAATAAATAAACTTAAATTCAATGGAAAGTGCAGTCAAAACTATGTTCATCAATGGAAAATGAGTCAGTGGCCACAGAAAATAAGTGTAGATGTAGCCTAATAAGTTTGCAAAGGGTATTCAAATGTACTCACATTTTTTTTAAACATATATTGTTGCTAAATTTTTTTTTTCTTAAGTTACCAATAATTAGCGTCTTTACGTTTCTGACAGTTTAAAAAGAACTTATTAAATCGGAGTGCTATTTCATCAAGGTAACCTAAGAACGATCGGCTTGTGCCTCTCCAATAAAGGGTTTTTAATCAACGGCATACAAAGCTATTATTTTGGGCTTCAGAAGATCTGTAAGCTACCGTCATAATATCCGAATTATTTATTATTGTTTTTCGATGGATCATTACTATCATGCATGTGTTTGTATGTGCTCTGGTATATTTAGTTATCAACAGACGAAACTACGAATGCATATATCAGCAGATCTGATGCCGATACTCTTTTTTACCTTGTTTACCTTGCAATACATTTTTATACCCTGCACCCATTGAAAATGGGTATAGTGTATTTGTGCAAATGTATGTTAAAGGCAGAAGGAAGCATCTTCGACCACATTAAGTATATATGTTCTTGATCAGTATCAAAAGCCGAGTCGATCTAGCCATGTCCATGTCTGTCGCAAGGATCTCAGAACCTATAAGAGCTAGAGACTTGACATTTTAGCTGTAGGTCCTCCTAGTGCCCGCGCAGATAGAGTTTGTTTCCGATATTCGATAACTTTCCCCGTTTCCGTTATCGATAAAAATTGATATCGAAATCATGTTTTTTGAGCAATTTTGGTAAATAATAAGAGCTACAGTCACTATATTGCTTCTAGAATATGAGCTAGAGTCACCAAACTTGACATTTAGCTTCTAGAATAATATATATATGTATATCAAGTATCTTTCATTTTATAGCTATCACCGCCTCCCCGCTAATACCTCATAGTTATAAATCAAGTAAAAAAACCAATTTATGCTGCCCATCAATATAAGCCTCAATTTAAATGCAATTGTCATTTTTAGAATACACGAATATTTTATAGAACAATAAGATGTACTGCTAAAAATTTCATCAAGGTCTGTTAAAAAACACAAAAGAAAATGTGTTTTGGCTGCCGACGTGTTTGCGGCAGCTAGCGCAAATTCGGAGAATTTTTTTATACATGTACACGCACACATTCATGCGCGTCTGCTTGGAATTCTATCAACAGCATTGCAATTGCGATTGTATTGTTTTCTGTGCTGCTATTTTAATTCGTTTTTTTCTCATTAAAACTCAATTATTGGTGTGGCTGTTGGGTAGAGGTGGCGGCCAGTAGTTCGGTCTGTTGCGAGTTCGACCCCTACCGAGAAAATAATTTTTTTTTTGGCTGGTGTGGCTGTTGAGTAGAGGCGGCAGCAAGTAATGCGGTCAGTTGCAAGTTCGAACCCTGCCAAAAGGGTTTTTTAACTTATTTTTATTACTACTTAAGCAGAAGAGCGCGTAATGCGAGCTGCATTTAGTGTTGGAATAAGAGGGTTCAGGGTATCCTCTAGTCGGGAGCTCCCGAGTAGAACCTCTTACTTGTTCAATATGTAAAACTGTTTGTCCTGAATAACTGACTGATGGGTGATCACAG